TAAATTGCAAATGCAGTTGATTTATGGCATTTTAAAGCTTTGAGCTTCTCACATGTTTTTCATCACGTCAATTTCCACGTTCACAGTCAGCGCTTGATAATGTATGCATGGAAATGTTATAAAAAAAGCTGTAGCTTATGTGTGCTAATGACCCCAATAGTTTACTTAAGCTTTATATTGCTGATAACACAAGAAAGTCATCAAGTGCTAACAATCAAGTGGAATGATAAACTCAAGTGCTGATAACAAAAAAAAAATAAAGTTGAAGCTGTGGGTGTAATTTGTCAATCCAGAGACTAAACTTTATTGCTATTTTCTATGTATGTGTTTTAGCTTCTTGTTTCGGATGACGAAAACTTTTTTTTTTGTCATGATCTGCACACAGGAAGAGAAGGAAATGAGGAATAATAAGATTTTATGTTGTCATTATCACTGTCCTATTTTTTCTACTTCAGTTAATATTCATTTGTTTAACTTCCACAAAAAAAGATGCTTTTAAGGCACACTGTTGATGTTTTTGAGGGCCCTGTAAAGCATTTCTTTGTCTGTGTGTTTGTAGGCCGTTAATATAGTGACGTTGGTGCTTTGGTAATTATTTTAGTTTATTTGGGAAAGCTCAGAAGGTTGAACTTGCTAAAGCAGTATTTAATGACACGAAAACTCTTTTTTGACTCCATTTGAAAGCCAAGCGGCTAACTTAGCTTGGTTTGTGCAGGTTAAGATCTTAAGGTTCGCTTGGATGTCAAAACTGCTATGTATAAGCATTGATCTTGGATTTTAAACACAGGTCGGGACATGAGGAAGATCCAATCTACTTTTAGGCAGTGCTAGATCAGCCTCCTCATGACACCGCCCTCAAAGTCAAGCAATTCTAAACATACATACATACATACATACATACACACATACATACATACATACATACATACATCGCTGGCTTTACAGATCAATTGCGATCCATAGCCTCCCTTAGTTTGCGTCTGAAAAAGACTCTGTCGTTGGCTCCTCTCTGCAATTCTTAAAATCCCTTTAATTGTGTCTTCTTATTCCATTCTCACTTGCCTTTTGAGTTCTTATTCTAGAAGTTCTTGCAGTCATCATCAAAAATGCGACTAAGAGTAAATAAAAATGACTCGAAGATGTGAGAAAAGATTTATTGATGAAAATAAACATTAAGTCACGCTATGGCTGAACAAAAATATTTTTTTATTGCATGAGGAAGCAAAAAATTGCTCTGCAGTGGCGTGTAAGCATCGAGCAAAAAGTAGGTAAATTATGTGTAAATCATCAACGTCATCAAAATGTCATTAAAGTGATGTGAGAAAGTGAAGATGAAGCTACTAAATATAGAATCTATTTAAACGATAATACAGATTCTTGGGGAAAGTAATCAATAATTCGAGAGGTGTGGAGGAATTTTGGGATACTGTAATCAATCAAGAGTACGAGTAAGAGTATATTTTGTGTATATTATATTGTCTTTGATGCATGGATATGCAATTTTGTTGCAGAATTTCATGAAGTAAAGGAGTTTGAGCATGGGATGTTAATAATTTTATGCAAATATTTGAAAAAGAGATTTATACAATATTAATTAATTAAAGATTTTAATCAATTTTGATTGAAATTTACAATATATTTCAAAAATCTCAGTTGATTCTATTTATGGTAACCGAATGGCAATTCTGGCTATGACAAGACACCCAATACCATTGAAATAATTATTAATAAATTCAAATGGAAAAATTCATCAATTTGATTCATTATTTGACGTCAGAATAAAAGTCAAATTGATATATTTTTAATGGTAAAATGGAAATAATACGGATTTGTTTCTAAGCTGAATTATTTATTTGAGATGGTTTTTAAGCTATTTAAACTTGTTTTGAGCTAAAATCGTTTAAGAATCTAAAGCAAATACTTTGGGTCCTCGATTTGAGTAGATTCAACTTGAACAGGATTTTTCTGGATCTAAACACCTACTCAAATCGAGAACCCCCAGAAGTGTGACATTTTAAGCGTAATCAGTGCTCAAACAGACAATTTGCGGACAATAGAATCATTTTCTGATTGCAAAATGAGTTAAAAAAATTCAAAAACGGGGGAAGGGTCAGGTTTGGGATTAAGCTAATGTTCCTTTTTGGCTATACCTAGAGTGACCATCTTATTTTTATGAAAATACAGGATATTTGATAAATTTCCTAAAAAATACAGGACACAAAGGAAAATTTGAAAATTAACTGAAATTTTCGTGAAAAAAATACAGGACCAGGAACAAAATTTTCAAATTTATACAGGACAGGGTTTTGAAATAATACTGTCCGTTGTAAAACGTCGCAGATGGTCACCCTAGCTATACCTCTCTGAGTTTATATTTAAAAGTGATTGACCCCAACATAGAAAGATTGTTTCGTAAAAACTATTGAAATTTTGATTCAACATGTAACAGAGCAACAATAATCTTTGATAATTGTTTTTCTTAGAACAACCCAAGAACCTCAATGTATTGACATAAGTAGGTATACATAACACAATATAGAAATAATCAAGTATGATTTCATTCGAGATTTTCCAAAAAATTTCTTTATCTTAGGAAATCGGCATATCCAATTTATCCTTAGTAGGAGTCAATGTGTGTCAAGGGTGTGGAACAATCACGTTTCGGTCAATTTGTGATCTATAATCCTGCATCTTTATTGTGTTTGAGACTACTATTTGAGTAAATACTGAATGATGACCTCTAAAACAAGGCGTGGAAACTCCAGTGCTAGATCAAAACAAGGCGTGGAAATTCAGGATTAATCTTGAAAAATCCTCAAAATTCTATAAAATCCCTTAGCCAATAAACATGAAAATGTGATTTCCCTTTTAAATCCCGAAATTATTCATCAAATGTAAAAGGGATTTTCCATTTTCATGTTTATTGGCTCAGGGATATTTTTAGGATTTTTGAGGATTAATCTTGAGTTTCCACACCTTGCTTGTAAATTATTTTTTAATGAACTTCACAAAAATCCAAAATATTAATTTTTTTCCATATAATCAAACTTGTCGAACTTTAAGCAATTATTCTTAAAACAGAACAGTTAAACAAATTTCCAAGAAATACTTTTAATAAGAAAAATGAATTTTCGGCAATGAAATGTTAAGAAAATAAAAGATAAGAAAAAAATACATTATTCATTCATCGTCAGTTCATCTGAATCCTAGCTAAAGTCTATTAATTTAAACGGTGGAACAAAAACTTTTTTCATTCCCTATTTTATTTGTTTTATTTTCATTTATATGATTCGTTCTGTTAGCATTGATTATAGAGTTCTGTGGAATTAATCATGCGGATTGTATTTTTGACTATTGTGAATAGAGAAGAGCTCAAAATCTATGTTGTTTTAGGAGCGTTTATCAGTTTTGTAGGAATTAAATGACAGCCATTTGAGCCGGTGATTATTTTGAGTGAGAAACTCGACTTCTTGTTGAGGAAAAGCCAGATTTTTTGCTTCAATATTTTTACCTCCAGCTAAGCTAATTCAACCTAGTAGCTTCAATCTTAATTCTATAGTCACATGTTCTAATTGAACTATCAAAAGTAACTTAAACTTGACTCAAGCAACTCCAGAAAATCTTAATTCCAACAAAATCTAACCAGAACTAGTCATCCGATTAGAAATTTATCCATCACAAAATTATCTGCGGTTAATCTTTAAATAAATGCGCAAAAATCCCCAAAATCTACCCAGAAAAATCTTTCCTATCAAATCTATTTTTACACAAAAAACAAAAGAAAAATAAGAAAAGAACTAAATTGAGGATGAAAGAGCTGACCATTGTGGTCTACATTCATTCCCCCCTTTTCTCGGTTTTATTTCCAAAAGATTTCTTCCTTTTATCCTCAATACATTTATCTCATCACATGGTCAGTTGATTTTATTCTATATTTCGGCCTGTTGTATGCTCGTATCTAATTCATTGACGTGTTCAAAGTTAAGAGCTTATCTATGTTGATTGTGTTGAGCATTTTAATTTATTGGTTTATCGATTAATATAATTAAATTGGGGTTGTTTGATTTTTCTGGATGGTTGAAATTTCATCAATTCATTGACTTTTGCCGGATCTGCATACATTGAATTGATTGCCACCCAGCAGCCGGATTGATATTGCATAGTTAAAACCAAGCGGCAGTCACTTGGAAGCAACTTTCAACTGGATGCAAAGTGAGTGCCATTGCCAATTTGCTGCTGCTTGATTCTAATTATATTATCAACCCGGCAACCAGTCTGCAAACATTTCAATGAATTACAATGTGTGCCGATCGGGTTGATGTTGTGATTTTTTGTTGGATGACTCAGAAGCAGCTCAAGAAGCAGTACTAAGGGAAAGTTCAAGTAAGTACTAAACCTATCTTTATCTTATTCATTCATTAGACATTCATCAGATGCTTCTTGTATAAGTTTACAATCGAGAGCAATGAATTTCTATAATCTACATTTTTAATCTTTTCTTAGATTGTGTCAAGATAAAACCCATTAATCATCGATGAATGATTCAGCATAATGAAGATGATGACTTGTTCTTCGTGATTTTTACTTTACATCAGTGGTGTTCAACCTTTTTGTGCTTGTGCCGCGGCACACAGGTTGGCCATATCTGCTCACAAAATGAGGTTTTTTCATTTTTAAGGTTAGGTTAGAGTCTAGAATTTTATAACAATTTAGAAACTGTAGTGTTGAAGTGCAGCAATGAGGTCCAAAATAGTTTTCTTAAGTTACATAACTAATGAACGACCCCAAAAGACAATGAACAAAAAGAAATTAATCATTCATATTTTTAGAGTCGTTAGCTCTCATTTTTAATCTCAGAATAATTAAAATCTCTTACAAATCAAACATTTATCAGTGATTAAAGAACACTCGAAGCACACGAGTCTTTCATCTGATCTCAAAAGCTACAATTTTTATTTCTTATTTCTCCATCAAAATCGATATCGAGCTGTATTAGAAGCTCAAGTGCATGGATTGTTATCAGACTCTTTCTCTTCTGCCTCGTTGAATTGAACCATAACGAGCACGTAAGTGACCTAAAATGAGAAGAAAAAGTGATTTTTAATCTGCGATTGAATGAGCTTTTGCTTGTTAGTACTTACGACTGTTCCTGAAATCTGTGAGTGTTTGTGGAAAGTATGAAGAAGAGAAGCTTTAAATAATATTGAATAAGAGAGCTTTGTGCTTTTTTTGGGTGGATTTTAAGGGTAGGGATTTATTATCATGTACAAAATGAGGATTTAACAGTGATGTCAATTAATTTCAATGAGATTTTTGTTCCTCAGTTGCTATGGATAAGTGAGGTATGATCATAGATGTCCTGAAACCTGCTTGCAACTGTTAAACACCTTTATACATCCTAATGGTAATTCCGATAATAATCAACACCCCCCTCCCCCCCCCCCCTCCCTCATAATAAAATCCTGAATACCCCCATGACGAAAAGCATCAAGGCATCTTCCCAAAAAAATCATACTCACACTGAGAATCAATTTCCTGGTAAGATAGAAAAAATTGATGCCTGTCAAAGCGACTTTTCCATTCATCAATTGTTCCGTAAATCGATTCATTGTGATGTCAAAATAGTCTGAATGAATAGACCTCAAAGTTTGAAGTGGTTTCAACGATTCATCGTTAATTTCCGACGCAAACAGACACAGAGCCAATGTACGTGCAATAAGAAAAATTAGTGAAAACCACAAATAAAGTCCATCCAATATTGATGATTCTGATTTGAAGCAACCAAGCAACTGAACGCAAATGAAATATAGATTGCTGAAAAATGATATTAAAATTGTTCCACCGTTCAGTTCGTTCGTTCGATCAACCAATTCCACACAGATTTTATATCCACACCAGATTTCATTCCAAAATTTTGATGAATGCACGCTTAAATTACTTTCCAGCCGACGATTTATGCATGCAAATTTTTCAGTCAACAATACGCTAACGATTATTAAGTAAACATCGATAAAGTTCCATGCGAATGCGCTGCAAATAAAGGAACAGAAATAAAAATTGATTTTCAATTCCCTTGACATTCCCGAGTTCCTTTACATACCAAAATAAATTGACAATTTGTGCAAATAAACCCAAATAAATGTTGAATTTGAAGCTCGCAAAAAAGTCCGTAAATGATTGTCGAAAGTAAGCTTCTTCAGCTGAATGGACACCCCAGCATGATTTGGAAACATAAACACCGGAAGCGATGCCAAGATTGTGCTCGACTAGAAGAAGAAGCCAGTGAAACTGATATTAAAAATAATGAAGAAGATGAGAAGCTTTATTTTTATCAAGAATAATATTGGATGTGATGGTGTTGCTTCTCAGAAGATTCATCCACTTGAATGATTTTCATTATTTTTATGCGACTTTTACTTTCTTGGCTTTTGTGTTGTTATTACTTTTTCTAGATAAGGTATAGTTTGGATGGTATGTTACAATTGGGGATAAAGCTAGATTAAGAAAACAACTGGCGCACTTTTGAGCGAGACAGTCTCACTTTTTAGAACTTAAAAAGTCACGATTTCTTGAACCCACTTTTCTTGGAAAATGCTTGAAAATTTGGTCGGGACTGCTTTTTCAGAGCTGATGTCGGGACATGCCCTGCTTTTTAATGTTACATAACATTCTAATGACCCTCCAGTACTCAAAGCTATGACAGCAGTTCCTAGAAGCTTGTTATTGTTTTAACCAAGGTTGAATTATTTTATTCAGAATTGAGGTTTATTTTTGTAAGTGTTCAGCATAGCAATAAATTATTTAGAATTGAAATTTTCATTTCAAAAGGCCTTTCATCCCACATAGATTTCCAGCTAAGGACTGATAAGATTCTTGAGAACTCACAAATATCTTTTTTTTTGGGCTAGAAACAAGCGTGAGAACTCATTTAGCTGTGACGTTGTTGATTTCTGAATTTGGAGATGGCAAAAGAGCACGTGGACGTCTAAGGAACACTTAGAGAGAAGCTGCTGACAGAGACAGGATTACACTTTGTATTGGTAACTGACAAGCGGTAGCCAGCGATAGAGCCAGCTTCAGGCGTCATCTAAGGAAGGCCATGAATCATTATTGATCTATACTGCCAGAAAAGAAAGTGAATAAGCAAGTTGGTGACTCAAGTTTTTTATAAATTATTTACAGCCATTTGACCAAAAATACTTAAAAGTCCTGCTCAAAATTAAGCAGTTGCCAACAAATTCAGAGCCAAAATCCACTTCACATTAATCCACAGAAAAGCAAATCCACAAGCCTTCCTAATTTAAAGCTTTATAAATTTAAAAGCATGGATTCGTGCCATCCCTTTTTGTCTCTGTATAATTTATGCCTTCATAAAATATCCTATAACATAAGACGATAAAGTTATTGCCTTATAAGCGACTATTACTGCATCACATTTTTCACAAAGCCACACACAGCACAAAAAAGGGGAAGAAAGAAGCATAACAGGGGGGAAACAACATTATGAGGAATTTTTCAAAGAGTTTTCTACTGTTTTGTGAGGGGAGAACAACAAAATGGGAAAAATTCTTAATAAGATTAATCAATTTCAGAAGTTCCCACCAAGTTGTTATCCCCTCAAAATATCCGATCCAAGTTAATAATTTTATAGAATTTTCCCATGAAGCTGTTATCCCTTCATTACATCAGAACAAAACTTAATATAAAAAATAGAAATTTTAAACAATTTTTCCATCAAGTTGTTTCCCCCCTATAAGCACACAAAACCCTCATGAATTTATGTACAGCATAGGGATATCATATGAAAATTTACTTAATGCCAAGAACATAATTACGATGGCAATTTTCCAAATTTTCCTCTGCACTTGTTGATTCTGTTGTTGCATGATGTGAAGCTCGAGAAGCTTTTGCTCGGCACGCTCCCAATGTTTTACATATTGCGGCCATTTCCTAGCCACAATTGTAAAGTTTAAGTAAACGAGAAAGTTTAAGAAGAAAAAGACAAACTTGACTGGAAATAGACAAATAAAATTATGGAACTGCGTCAAAAATTTTGCAATTAATTACTTACCAACTTTTGTGTACACAATTTTGCTGTTGAGCTGTTTATAAATAGACGTTGAGAACATGAAGATAATACACATTTGAATGACCATTGAATAAATGAACGAGAAGCTTTTCATGTTGAATTTCAAATGTTCTGACGTCGGTTGACGCAAACCGCGTACAGGAAATATTCCAAATACAGTTTGTGATATCAAAATTACTTTGCGGCAAAAAAAGGTTAAAAAAAAGGTTTTTATGAACAAAAAAATATTGTCATGATTGAGGCTGGGCTGTTAATTGACACAGAAATGTTCATTGACATGTAAAAATTAAGCAGATAGAAATAAAAATCAATTTTTGACCAATAAAGGAAATAGAATTGACTTGGTCAGGATTAATTTGAATATTTTATGATCAAATGGGTTCATCAGGAGCAGATGGATTGATAATAAGGCACGTAAGGGTAGCAATCGCTGTTTTCTTAATGAATTTTGAAGTTTTAGCTGCTGGTCTATATAAAATGGTGTGGTTCCCGTCCCCAAGGCTAGTACTTCTATGTAAACCCAATAAAATCTTAAATTTTAAAACCAATTGCCACCAAAAATGATCAACAGCTTATCCATTCAAACATTTCCAGCAGTTCAAAAATTTTTACAATCTTCCCAGAACTAAAATCAATTTTAAAAGCCATGCCCCCTCAAATTATATGGAATCGATACTTACATTTCCGTGTGATACGATAAAATCCATTTCCAACAAGCAAATTTGATGTTTTGACATTTGCAGTCAATTTCAATTCATCAAGGATGAATTTGGAATCGGATGAGTAGAATTTCGGTGGTTGAAATGGTTTTGGGGAAATCCTTAGGAAAACAACTTAAAATAGTAATTGAAACTAGTACAAATATAGGAACAACTTACTTAGAATTTCCAACAGTAATTCGTCCATACCACATGACTCACAATCAGCAATTGAAATTCCTTGTCATATTCCTCGTTTGATGAGCACACACGAGCTTACATGCTTAATGCAAAATCATCATTTTATTTTATAATCTTCATGACATATGCAGCACATGCTTGTGATTTAAATACAATTCAGATATGATCAAAGACAATATGAAAATGATAAAGTGCCAACAATTTGTCAACATAAAGGAAACAAAAAAGGCAAAATAGTTAAGGGTAAAATGATTAATATTCACAATGTTGAGCTGTCAAATCAAACTTTTCATGTGAAGCGAAAGTGGCAATCACCATGACATAAGTAATAATTGTTCCAAGTAGCTGTGGATGGAATGAAATGCTAAATCATTGTTGGTATTTAATAAACTAACATTGGTTAACTTGACACGATGTGGGAATTGAAAAATCATTGGATTCAACTAAATCTGGTCATTACTCACATGTAAAATTGAAGGTTTTGTGATGTGAATGATGTCGTATGTTGATATGGCTACTTTTTCATATGTTGCATATTGTTGGAGTAGTTTAATCTGTATTGAAATATTAACATATTAATTAAGATAAAGATCAAAGATTGAGCTATGTCTGGGGCTACTCCAAGGACCCTACAAAAGTCATAGTCAAGCTTTATCAATCCCTCAGAGTTCAGTCATTGATTTTCAATATTTTAAGCGCCAGAGTAAGCCTAATAACTAGCGCTAGTGTGCATTTGAGGTCGGATATGAGGCTACTTACAAATGATCTGCCAAGTTAAAAACTTACGACTAAAGTCTTGTCACCTGAGCTCATTAAAACAGTGGTAAGCAACCTTTTTTGTGCCACGGCACACCTCGGTGACAATCCATGACCAAAACCGCAAGCGACAAACGGTTTGTGGGATTTTTTCAAGTTTTTTCCTGGCACACTAGTGTGCCGCAGCGCATAGACTGCCCATCACTGCATTAGAACCATCCATGACTACCCACCACATAGTAAGAATACGACCACTTACCTCATGACAGTAATAACTTGATGGAACATTAATGAGAATTTTTACAATAGCTTTAGATTCCTCATAAATCAAAGATGCCATCCAACATAAAGTCAATGTTCTACACAACATGTACAAAAATGAGTACCAAAAGTACAGCATTTGAATTAAGGATCCTCGGTGGCTGCAAAGGAAACAAATAATTAAATTTTAAAATATTCCAAGAAAATAAAGGAGGAACGTGATGGAGATATTAGCATGTGGAAAATAATATTACACGATGCGACATTAAAAATCAAAAGCGATGCTGAAATGTGAAATTAAATAATTTTGAGCATAAATTTTAATGTATTCTTAGAAATAGAACCATATGCTCCCAAAATCAAGCATATTTCTAATTTTCATTAATTTTGACAAGCCCAGAAAAATAATAAAACATTTATCGAGCTATAAAATACAACAAATTAAGACACAATAATGTAAAAATTACTTGAATGCTTCCAAAAGTTGATTACAGATAAAGTAAAAGTCATTAAAAAGTGACATTATTAGTAGGAACGACAACATTGAATTTGTCTTGCGTATCTTCTCGTGGAACCGCATAAAGTTTAATCGAATTTTACGCCAAAACTTTTCCTGACGATGCTGATGTTGATGTTGTTTTTTTTTTTGGTGATAGAGGATGGCAATGAAATAAAATGAAAATGGAAGTGAAAAGTTGTCAGAGTGATTTTTTAAAAGAATTAAAAATTGAATTTGAGAATGAACAACGGTTGCGTACCATATTTTTTGCTGCACGACAGTTGCTTGCCATATATTTGCCGCACAATAGTTGCGTGTCATATATTTGCCACGCAACTGTTGTGTGCCATATTTTTTGATGCACAACAGTTGAGTACACATTATCACTGCGCAACAGTTGCGTGTCATAAAATATGGCACACAACAGCTGCGTGTCACATTATTATTGCGCAACAGTTGCGCGTCATAAAATCACTTCCAGCACACGACTTACCAAACATTCCATAGCAACGATTCTCTCATTAAACTTTTTGACTTTATTATAAATCACATAATAGATGACGACAAGAAAGACATTACTAAAGCTCCATATGATGGATCTATAGAAACGCGTAATAATGAAGAAAGCTCCCCAATAATGCGAATATGTAAATACTTTAAAGAATGATGGAATAATTCCACGTGTAAATCCTTCAAATGAGCTCGCATATATATGGAAGCAACGTGAACTGCTTTCATAATCTGTCGCATACGAGAGAATATCTTCAATGAGTGTCATAATCATGAAGATAAAAAGAATGTGAACGGAATTTAATGCCTTAAACTTTCCATTGTCGACGTCGTTGACATGAGCGACATAATAATCAAAATAAATCCATTCACGAAATAAAGTCGGTAATTTGTAAGAGAACTTAAAAATAGCTATTGCAATCAAAAAACAATTGAAATAGCACATTACAATGACAAATTCATCATAAGTAAATTTCCTTCTGATTTTGAAAGGTATGTAGAATAGAATGAGTAGCATGACACAAAACGAGCATTGTACTGCAAAAGTGTAAATATTTTTCAATAAAATACTCAGTAAATTGAATTTTCTTGATGATGATTTTATGCTAAGTACTGGCATTATTCCGAAGAATTGTGCAAACACTAGCACTGGATGTAGAGCATCAGAGATGTTCCTGCAGATAGAGAAAATTGAAATATGCAAACAATTGAAATAAATTGCTGAATAATCGCAAAAAGTCAAAAGAACTCTTATTTTAAACAAACATTTTCTTCATTGTAGATCGTTCTTTATTCGCAAATATTGGAACTTCTGATATTTTTTTCTTCATTCACTTGACACCAAAACTTGTTATTTTAGGACTGAACGAAGATTGAGTTAATGTAAGGATTAATATATCGTAATAAATTTGAATATTTTTTTTATCGGTGGTGCGCGATGAATGCTTCTGTGGGATTAATCTATATGGAATTGTTTTGGTCATAATAATCGTAACCAAACCTTAAAACTCCACATTTTGGTCAATATAACCTCAAAATACTTTACTAAGTTCGTCATAACCTCAAAATTCCAAATTAAGGTCGACACAAATTCAAAATTATTCACTAAGTTTGAAATAACCTCCAAACTCCAAATTAAGATTGATATAACCTCAAAATTCTAAACTAAGTTCAACATAACCCCGAAATTTCAAAACAAGGTCGACATGACCTCAAAATTCAAATTTACTTTTGACATAACCTTAAAATGCAAATTTTTCATCGAAATAACCTCAAAAAGTCAAAATAATATCAATATAACCTACAGATTTCGCAAATCTGCTCAACCTAACCTCAAAAAATCCATTCAAAGCCATTCAACTCCCAATAAATCTCAAATGCAGTCATAAATCCCAAATTTACCAACCCCTACATATCATTTCATCAATAAGAAAACACATGTCAGTAAAACAAGAGCGACCAAGAAAAGTAAGAAAGTTTTGTTGCCAATGTAAAGCATTAAAAGATTGACCTTTAGAACACATTTCATTATCAACTGATTGATCGGCATTTTCGACTATAAAACTTTATTAATTACCAATAAAATGATTAATCTACAATTAATTCATCGAAATCGCTTCATTATTTATTCGAAAAGGATCCAGTAACATATTACTCATTACTTCTAAGGATATACTGGCATTATTTTATGAGTTTCATATTAATTGGGTGATTTATTAAATGAGTGTCAAACTTGTAGGTTCATATTTGGTGAGTGAATTAATTGATTAAGTTTGATATGTTGCTTGTTGACCAATTGGAATGGGTTTAATTGAAAGTAGGGACATGAACATTAAGATAATTGACATTTTTAGTTGATGGGTATTAAATATTTATGTAATGCACTTTAATTTTGTTCAGGAGCTTCTTTAAATAAATTTTATTTTCTGGAAAAATCAAAAACTTAATGGGGATCTTTTATGCGCTGAATGGGGAACTGAATGAGGTTTGTATGGACATGGAGGGACTTATTTGAGCCATATGGGCTGTACGTGCTTCTTATGGGGATCTGATGTGCTTAAAGAGGTTTTATGTGTGCCTCATGAGGACCTTAAGAAGTCTATGAATATAGCAAGTCTAGGATAATTCTCGGTAATTGATCCAGGTGCCTAAAAAATATTCAACCTCTGACCCTAATCTGCTTACATAATTAGATCCCTACAACTAATTTCAGATATCTACTCAAATCCCAAACACAGTGTTGTCCAAACTGTGTGCCGTGACACACTGGTGTGCCGTAGGACATCCTTAGATGTGCCGTAAAAAAATATCTAAAGTCAAAGTATGGCGTGTATATAAAAAGGTTGGACAACACTGCCCTAACATATAAACATCACCACAAAATTCATTGCCTAAAAACTGGCCATAAAGATATAAATTTGAAAAGAAATCGAAGCAATTCAACCTCAATTTATCGTGTCGATAGAAATTGATTGATAAGCAAGCATTTTCAAGCTCCATTCTCTTTCTACTCTTATCATTTTAAATAATGACAAACATCAGGAAGTCCACCAAAGTTGTTAACCTCATCGAGTAGAACAAGCTCATATTTCACAACAGTTCCAATCATCTGAAAAAGATTTGTATAAGTTGATAAATTACATATGATTGGCATATAAGCGAGTCATTTTACAGCTAGAATGAATGTTTTTGTTACGAAAAAGAACCTCCGTCCAGATAAACCGATTGTGTTTGATTTGATTGTGTCATTTAATCGTTGTAGCTGCGGACGGTTAATAAAAAAAGTAAGTTAATTAATTATATAGTTCATTAAATCTTAATGTAAGTTACATCGCTATTCCATTTTGCTGATGGTGTTAATCGAATTAAAATTTCCGTTTCTTTTGCTGATTCATTAACTTTTGAGGCACAAAGAAGCGATGAGAACGCTCGAAGTATCATGAAGAAAAATGAATACCAGAAAAAAACTTTTTCGAATGTATATTTTCCGTTGTTGCTGGAAATTGAATTGAAATTTTTGTCATTTTTAAGGAAATTGTCATCTTGTTCGAATTGCTGTATTTAGGTCTTGACAGAAACTTGTGGCAGGCACGGGCATAGCCAGCAGGATCTGGTCTCCCCCTAGAAGTTTTGAACCGCAGAAAGAGCACGGCTCAAAATTTGTAGGTGGGGAGAATAGATCCAAACCCTCTTTTCTACGCCTCCGGTGACTTCCTTAATTCTATCACCAACTTACCCCATCAAACTCTCAAAAATACTCGTACACAGCGAGAACAAGTTATGTCCAGTTCCAATCAAAATAACCACAGAAAACTCATCATCAACAATCTCAACCAAATCAATTAATGAATAATAATGTTGTCGAATTTCACTCCAAAAATTATCCGGCAACTCAATGCCTTGAGCCTTAATCAACCGCTGATTAATTTGTACGAATCTGGTGCTTAATCCAATGCTAATGATAACAATCAGTAAGTCAATAAAATGCCACGAGAATGTCATTAAAATGTTGACCCATTCATAAATCGGAAATTCGGCAATGTGATATGGAATCACGCTTGTCAGATGATGTCTATAGGCTATGAGATAGCTGTGTATAAATTCAGATTCATTTAAGTTGCAATTGTTGATGATTATGAAGTTGTTGTGGAGGACTGTCCACATGTAGAGGCCTCGGTCGACTGGAAGTTGAAAAGTTATTGGATTCGAACTTTGGATCTAAAGATGTGTTTTATTCAAGGGGACAAGAACATCGTGAGAAAAGATTTTTTCTTAAATTTTCCATCATGTTGTTATCCCCTTGAGAGTTGGTCAGAATTTTCTATCAGAACCTATTCCCACCACGTTGTTATCCCCCTGGCTAAGATTTCAAAACAATAAACAAAACTGTCGATTAATTGGTCCATTTATGCCTGCAAATAGCCACAAATAGAACAATTTTTAACAGTCGTAACTCACTTATTGCCAACAATCCAAATAAAACCGACCACATGACAATTTTCATTTTCAAAGACCATCCATTTATCGTATAAGGCTGCTTTAGAAACATTCTCTCATGCTTATACCACGATTCCATTATCTGTCTCCATTTCCTTGCCAATGTAAAGATGAAAATTGCATTGAAAGTTGAAATTGAATAAAACGACAATGTATTGATATAAATCAATGACAAGCCATTCTTGAAGCCCATTCGAATACACAGAATACATTCGATTGAGGCACATGTGAGGAATGTTAAGCTATAAATCGTTTTAATGGATTTCCATCGAAATTGTAGACTTGAAATATCTTTGCTGGTGACATTATCCACTGGTAGAATCCCAAAAAATTGAGAGACTTTTATAATTGGCTTAATCGCATCGTGAAACGATCCTATGGAGTTACAATACATTTCACGAAAAATTCACATGCACGACTAATTGAATATGAAAGGAAAATGTTGTCAGTTTGCTGCACTTTCCCGACACATTTTTGTATGCACATTATTTTCTTTTGTGGGAATGTTTTCGAGACTGTAGACGGCGTTGTCCGTGTTTTGTCCGGCTGTCGGCTTGTTTGCTCTTTTAATTGTCTTTTGAAGGTTATAGTCTGCTTTGTAAGGAGCAATAGAGCCTATATTCTTCAACATCACTTCTAGGCAGTTACATAAAGGTATTATCTTGTACTTAAAGGTCCACCCTTGACTTTATGCCTTCCCCTGGCTCTTTACTCATTTATGACAATACAAGCTAGATAAAATAGAGTTGGAACTAAGCCTATCCTGATAAAATGCGTCATCATCACTCGCTCATGACCCAATCTTAACCAGCCTTTTAATGTCAACCATTCATGACATAAAAGTCACTGTCTACAACTGGGAATACAGCATGTGAATAATTGAATTAATTACGGACACTTTTTCAGATATCAGCATGTGCGTGCACTTTAGTCGGTCACTCGATTATGCTTCAATCTGCTATTTTTTTCTCCTTGGAAATCACATAAAAGTTCATTTGCCTATTGCTGGATGGAAATGAGATTTTAATGGCTCAATGTAAGTTGATTGCTTCTGTGTCGTTGCGTCTAGATGATGAATGAAGAAGTTTTCCGTGCTTGTGATTCATATTTCAAAATTCCCAACGTGGGGTTTTCTGTGCATTTTTTTAATACTTTTTTTTAGATCATCTTGTTTGAACTAATGCGTATGCCTTATCTAGATCGTGTGGGAATTTCTTTTATAATTTTTAAATATCGTTAAAATAAAGCACGCGGAAATTCATATTAATGATAGAATAGATTGTTTTAGATACAAGCTAATATTTATTTTGTATGTGAATGAAGACGTATGGTAGATTGTTGATACACATGTGCTTACAGCTCAATGAATATTGATGAATGATTTTTTTGTATTAAAATATTTATGACTTGATATTTGACTTTGGGAGGTTGATTTAGACTTCATCAGTTATCAATTCTTCTTTTAAATCTTTTTTGAAGCCAAGCAGCTTCAGACCTTATCAATTCAAAGTCAAGGAATTCAAACTAGCTCTTTCGGAAATTCTCAATTAACTCTTCTGACTTGTACACTGTGTTTTGCAAAAAACAGACATTTAAGACCTTCTCTATTCCCAGTAACAATATATCCATGATTATATTTATCACAATCCTGCCTAACCTTACATAATATCCAACTTACCCCCAACGCATTCTCTAAAATTGATCTAAATTTAAAACTTTATTCAAATTAGCTTCTCAACCAATTAAATATCAAAATTAAAATCCAAGTCTTAAAAAGCTAAAAGAAAAATCTCTAAAAATGTAAATATAAACCTTATTTAAATGTGAAGAAAGAAAAAGGAAATAAAAATCGATTTGCATGTTTTTTCTTCAAGATCAGCAATTTTATTCTCGATTCTCATTTTCATTTTCAATGTCATTCGATTTTATAGGGAAATATTCAGAAAATTTTACGTCTGATTTCATTTTATTAAAGTTTAAGTTGGAATAGCTTTGTTTAATGTTGTGAAGATTGAGCAGGTTCAAATCATTTCTATGTGGTTGTGTTGAGAGATTTGTTTCTGGTGGGAATTGAACCTATGTTCTCTTACATAAGAGTTGATTTTAGGTGATTTTAGATTTTCGATTAGTTGCTGAACTATTCTGGCATTGAGACTTTAATTTAGCACTGGCAGGTTCACCTTTATATGACTGGATACACCCGATTTGGAATGGAGTAGGTGTGTAGATTTATTAGGGGAGAATTAGGTAAGCTTAAATACCGAAAACCCAGCCCTATGGATAATTTTAGAATTTTATTTTCAAAATCCATATCAAATTAAAGCAATTTTGACAGCAGACTCTCAAATCAGGTGCGTAACTAGAGGGACAAATCTCCGTACGTAACATATATTTCTTCATTTTGCTATGGTTTTTATGAAAAATGAATCCCACTAAATTATTGGAATAAAAAAAAATAATAATAATAATAATAAAAAAAATGTTTGCTCCCCCTCTCCCTCTCCTCTTTAAATTCTTGGCTAAACCCCTGCCCCAAATATGCCCTCTTCGCTTCATTCACGTCATCCAATGAATCCTTAAACTTATCTTTCCAAGAATTAATACGAATGAATTTATTATAACCAAGTTACACATTGATATAGTTTTACAGCACTAAACATTATTATGTTGCCGCTATTATCAAATCCCACAGAATAATATAATATTTGTACGAGGGTTTATCACATGTTACACAAGATGTATAGCTTAATCTACCCATAAATGTTATACAAAGTAGTTGAATTGTAAACTTTAAAATTTCATCTTAATCCAAAAAGCTTACGAGTGTAAAATTGAATCTTCTTCTTGATTATGTCAAACATCCACAGTAATAAAATGAAGAAAAGACATCCAAAATAGAGTAAAATGTAATGAAGCATGATCTCGGTTGTGTAAATATAGCAGTTACGTCACATTTTTCCCAAAATATTCATCTTGTCATGACATTAATCATCTCAAAAGTAAATTTACATGCATGACAAAATGACTTATGTGGCTGATGTCTCATCTCATCTCATCTGAGAATATTTTGCGTACCTGGCTGTTAAATTTATCACAAATTGAATTTTAATGATACAGTGTGCGTACATTGATGTTTGTATTCAATTATAAGAGAGCTGTGAATTTCATTACCCTTCTCGGATTCATCACTTGAATACAGCAAATTACTGATTATGGAAATTTACTTTGCTTTGTGTATATGTGCTTAGAGGGTGCTGTTGGTCTGAATTGAATGGATGATGTTCAGAATTTGATGGTTTTGCAAAGAAATTTGAGCTTTTTGGGGGTTGTGAGGGTTACGTCCCACATTTTTAAGTTCTGAAACTGAGGAACTCATGCTGTTAATCTGGTTGTAAGGCTTTTTAGTGTCGACCGATCCAAAGTCGAGAATCAATGTACTTAACTCAGTATTGAGAATGAATTTTGACTGATAATAGGATTTGCTGCTCCGGTTAGTCAATGTAACCAGTCACAGCAGTTTTCAAGTATTTAAACTGTTCAAGCATCATAAAACCAACTGTCAGTAGGTTGAAAGATTGTCAAAATTGAAGCAAACCCAAAAAAATGTATGATAGAACCATATCAGCAACTTAAAGCACATTTTTGACTGTCCACATTAGATCACAAGATAAATTAATTTCAAAAGTATTTAAACTTAAGCTGGCGTGCCTAAAAATTGTTAAAATGAACAAATGATGACTAAAAAGTCAGTTTAAATGCTGTTTTGATTTTCTGCAATTTTTCCAACGTCCTCAGACCACAACGCATAGCATTAAGTGCCAACATTCAAATAACTTTCTGCAACAATAGATTTTTCCTTATCCGATAAACTCTTAAAGGCACAATCATTTGAGAAAATTTGATTATTTTTTTCCTTCAAGAATTCCACAAAATTTAATTTAATTCTAGAAAACAAACTTCTCGGAAAATTCCTCATTTTCAAAACGCAATTATTAAATGAAATTTCAATTCAGTCGTCTTTCTCATTTCGTACACAAAAATAATAATGGAAGATTTGGAAGTCAATCGAGAGGAGGCAAATCTGGTCTTCATTAAACCATCAAATGATTGCTTTCAAATGAATGTAAATGGAAATGAAATTCAATGAACTTCAATTTGATTGTTATTTGAAGGAACACAGAAGGGCATTTTCGGAATGGGAAACAAAGCAAAAAGATGAAAATTTAATAAAGAATTGGAAAAGGAATTTTTTTTGGGGATAGGAGAAGAGAAAAAATTATCATTCGATTTAATTTTTGTTTTTTTAAGGTTATGGGGTGCTGATGGGGTGGCTAGAGTCGGTTTTTGGGATAGTTTTAGAATTTGGATTTTTTTTAATTATTTTGAAATTTTTGAACTTTTTTGATTTTTGTTTTTTTAAAAAAAATCAAAAATTTTTGGTTTTATTTGAATTTTCGAATTAATTTGATTTTTTAGGAATTTTTTAATTTTTTTGAATTTTTTTGAGTTTTTTTGACCTTTTTTGATTTTTTTTTGAATTTTTGGAAATTTTGAAACCTTTTTATTTTTTTGAATTTTTCGGAATTATTTGAATTATTTTGAGTTTTTTTGACTTTTTTTGAATTTCTTTAAATTTTTTGAAATTTTGAAATGTTTTGATTTTTTTGAATTATTTTAACCTTTTGAAATTTTGATAAAATCAATTTCTTTAATTTTTTTTATAATTTTCAACTTAAATTATTAAAAAAACCTTCAATCCAACCCCTAGCCACCCTAAAAATACAACAAAATTTATCTCCAAGCTTTTCACTCCGAACATTTGCTTTCCTTTACTTATTCATCAGCCAGTGCTAAAGATAAAAATTGCGTAAAAATAAGAAAAAGGAAAAGGAATCACAAAATTGAGTTCAATGTGTCCCTTTTCGACTGCCATTGGATTGAAGAAAAAATAGGAATTTAAGCGAAAACAATTGAAGCAGAAATCGGAAATAATGCAAATTATAGGATTCAACATGGCATCTAAATGTGAGCGGAATTGGAAATGAAAAATAAAATAAAAGAAGAAGGAGGTCTCATTGTTTCTTTTTTTGTTTAAAATGTTTGAACATATTTTTCTTTACTTTTCCTATGTACTAGAATATTTTAGGCGCCAGTTTTTAAGGTGTCATAGGGGAACCGCTAAAACAACACGACTGCACTGAAAACCCAATAACTGTGTCACAAAATCCTCGACTTCAAACAGCTTCCATGATTCTGAGGCTGGGTATTGGGTGTTTGAAATAAAGAAGATAAGTATGCATCTGTATAAAGCAGTAGTGGTCAACCTTTTTTTTGTGTCACAGCACAATTGGTGGTAAGCCATAACCTAAACCGCACCCAACCTACGGTTTATGGTATATCACTCACATTTTTCGCGGCACAAGGTTTTACCATCACTGGTGTAAAGCAGTGCTTCTCAGACTATGCTCCACGGAACTTTAGTGTTTCGTAATAAAATCCAAAAGTAGATCATAATTCAATAATTAGTGTTCCGCGACATTTTAAACATTTAAAGTGTCGTTTCCTGAAAAGTTTGAGAACCACTGGTGTAAAAGAATAAAAAAAGTATTTAACAATCAAAAAATTAATTTATTTTTATTTATTCAACTTTCATTCTCAATTCTCAATCGACGATTCGAAATAAGTTTTATTTTATTTTATTTTTAAATTTGTATGTGTGTGTGTATGCATGTATGAATCTCTCTATCTTACAATCAAATTCGATAAAGGATCAACAAAATCATATAAAGTTCATTCATACAAAAATCATTCTCAGTTTAAGTTTTTAACAACAGAAAATTTACAAATTTTTAAAAGTTAATGTTAAAGATTTTTTTTCTCTACGATTTCTTTTTATTTATTTATTATAAATGTTTTCGAAAATTGTCCTTGTGGTGCCAGTGTGTGAACGAGAGAGAGAGAATAGTATTTGAATTTAATGATTTTCGAGTTGCTGATGGGAAAGACGTGGATGTGATGAGGAAGATTTAAGAAATTTTTGGGGGTGTTTTTGAATTATTTTGTGCGATTTTGAGGCAAATTTGAAAATTCTTGAACTTTATAAAATTCCATTAGCGCACCCCTACCCAACATCCAGTAAAATATGAAAAAAATAACAATGGAATTTTTCAATAAAATTCTCAAACCAAAACAAGCAAAAGCAATTCTCATAATGTCACAAGACCATATCGAGTTATTGATGTTGAAAACTGAGAGGATGCCGAAAAGTCTTGTAACATTTTGAGAACAAACTTCTCTAATTTGTTGTGTAATATAAAAAAATTCCACAATTTTCTTTCCGCAGAACCGACAATATCGTTTTATGGCTTGAAAAGTTCCCATCAAGCCCGAGCAACACATCATATTAATGGCAGCTAAATGACAGCCAATATCATGATGTGCAGCTCGGGATAAAATTCAAAAAGACAATTTTAGAGCAAGAAAAAGTGAAAATTTGTGAAAAACTGAGCGATTTTCCGGGGGGGATTAAAGATCTTTTATTTAGCACTAAGTTTATCACAGACTTCCTTTTTTCCTCGCCTCAACAAAATGCCTTTGAACTTATTTTCTTTCCACAGCAGTAAGTCGAAAATGATATTAAGTGTGAAGCCACAAGGACGAATTCTCGAATAAAATAAAACCCAAAAAGTTCCACTTTGTGTTTGGCTACGAAGTGTTAAAATTAGTAAATGTTTTCGTAATTTTTTTTTTGTTTTGTTCTTTAAAAAATATAATATAAGTTGTGTATGTATGTATATGTATATGAATAATAGCATTTCCATAAAACTCTTTCTAAATTACAAAAAAAAATGAAAAAAAAAAGATTCTTAAAATCAAGAAAAAAAAAACAATAATAATAAATATAAAATTCCTTCGTTGTCCTAACAGAAATGTCATCAATGGACATTAAGTGAGAATGCTGATATTGATTCTCCTTGACGTCCAATACCCTTCACTTGGTACTGTCCGATATCCGATTGACTAGCCTTTTTAATTTCCATACTATATTTGCCATTCTTTGCTGTTATTTTGATATTATCGTCTTCGCCTGTTATTTTAGTGCCATCTTTAAGCCACTCAAGGGAACTGATGTCATCATAGAATTGACAATCGAATTTCGCCTTTGCACCGACACCGACTGACTGTGATTGTGGGAATTTAAGGAAGAGTGGATTTTTGACTTCTAAAAGACGATCTTTGTCAGGCACTGTTGCTCCTGGTGTGTGTAAGAACTCGAGCTTCTCATGTTGTCCAATTACAAATATCTGACATGTGCTGAAACATTCGCCTACATTGTTAAATGCCTCGCATGTGTATGTGCCAGCGTCTAGATTATTATTTCGGGAAGAGATGAAATTATAGAATTAATAATTACTGTATAGAACTGTTGAGGATGTAGCTTTAAATAGCATGTTTTCGAATAAAGCATGTCTTCAGTGCTTGATCTTGATAATTATCAGAGAAAGGGCTCATTTCGTCCCTTTATGTCATGTCTCAAAGGATATTTCATCACGACAGCTTTTATTCGAGGCTTGTACATTAAATATTAATTTTATGGCAGAGGGGGACATTACTTGAGAGGCAGTGGATCAAAAAGAGCGTTTACTTTAGCAATTAAGGCAGTTTTAAAAGATCCAGTTCATGAAATCATAGATATGAGCCAATAACTACACATCAAGTGTTTGGAATCGATTACCAACATCCGTTGAACTCTCAGGGGGATAACAACATGATGGGAAAAAGTTACCTACTATTTTGATAAAATTTCAAATCGATTTCAAATCTTATCAAAATTACCATCAAAAAAATTTCCTCATCAAGTTGTTATCCCCTTGCATACCTCCCCTTCAATCCTCCCCAAAAAATAGAAACTCACCTTCAGGGAACATCTCGGCAATTTTAAGCTTTAGCGTATTTTTCTCTTTAATGTATTGGAAGTCAGCTGATGGTTTAATTTCCTTATTATTGTGAAGCCATACGACATCATAGATCGATGTGTCACCAATTTCACAGATGAGCTCGCACTCACCACCGTCCGATACATAAGTTGATGTTAAATGTTTTGTTACTTTTGGTGGTTTGTCTGAAAGTGCCTCATCTCCTGATTTTGGTTTTCTCTTTCCGGCATGACCTCCTTCCATTGCTGTAAGTATGACAAATAGGAATTAAAATTTGAAATATTTATGGGATTGTTGGATGGAACTTACGTTTAACTTTTAATGTACATTGTGTTTCAGCCTGATTAACATAATTCTTAGCTACACATCTGTATTCGCCGGCATCTTCAGGATAAACTTCCTCAATCTTGAGTGTTGCAAGTCCATATTTGTATTTAAGGTCAACAAAGTCATTTGATTCCAATTTCTTTCCATCCTTGTACCATGTGACATTTGGCTCTGGATCACCAGCAACTTGACACTGTAATGTAAGTCGTTCGCCATCACCAATTGTGAGATTTTTAAGGCCAGTTGTAAAGTTTGGTGGATGTGATGCAGAATCATTTGGTGGAAGTATGAGTTCCTTTGTTGCACTTCGTGATCTGTTTGGACTTGCCTGTGAACCGCCATATTTCTTCTTATTTGATGTCGTCGTTGTACTTAATGATGATGCAGTCTTTGTGTGTGAACTTGAAGTATGTGAAGAACTTACGTGATTACTACTACTACTGCTAGATTGATGTGTCGTTGATGATGTTGAGGTGCTTGATGTGTTTGTATAGGCAGATTTGAGTGGTGCTGGCGGCTGTTTAACCAATGATTGTTTCTCTACGAATTTACGGTCTATGGAGATCGAAAGGTTTTTTTTGATATATTAAAAATATGTTTTTTATGTGTGATTGGTCAACAAAGATTCTTACGAGACAGTACAAAGTACATAGACAGATATAAGGAATGTGTCAAACGTGTACGCAAAATAATATAAATAATGTAGTTAATTAAATTATAATGAAAATATATTAAATAACATTTGTACGCCAATAAATAATAATAATAATTTTTTTTGCTTCTTTCACATTAGTTGATTTCGACATATAACGACTTTTTGTTTAAAACAATAAATAAACTTTTTTAAAAATTAATTAACATCGATCTGTATTAAATAAAAGAAACAGAAAAAAGAAACGAAATGAAATTTAACCCAACGTAAAAAAAATTATAATTCTGAATACTACAAAAACTGAACTTGCAAAAATAACAAAAAAATAAAAACGAAAAACCATGGACGTCTCTCTATTATATACACTTGGAATCAACTTGATTCTTTTCTGCTGATAAAAATATGTTGGAAATATACAAAGTCAAATTATATTTTTTTTCGGTGTTATTTAATGCTTATTTTGAGGGCAATTTTTAAAATGTAGGTTTTATTGCTTTTTAAAGAAGAGGTTCAACTTTTAAGTTTTGTAGGAATCTGAAAAGTTCCCATCGAGAGATCCCAGAACCCAAGATGATCTTAAATATGCCAACTAGCAATAAAGTCGAGATATCTTAATTGCTTAAGTAAGAGTAAGAAGCATTAGAGCAAAAATCTTAAAAGCTATGGTTTGAGTCCTTCTTGAAAATCTGTTGTTCATCTTATTACTGTTGAAGAATAAATTAGCAGCTTCAAGTTGTTGAACAATAAGAATTAAATGTATTCAATCTTTCGCAGATTCAACTTTAAATAAGCATTAAATATCCAGAAAAAAAATTATCTCAGCGCTTAAATTGACAATCATATTGAAGCTATTTTACAGCAACCAATGATAATCATTCGAATGCTAAATGAATTCGACAGTGCAGTGACAATTACTGACTTTAAAAAATAGTTGAAGATTTTTTAATGTACAAGATAAATTGGATTTTAAAAATGGTTCGGTTTTGGTTTATTTCACAAGTTTATAAATTTAATTTTGATTATTAAAAGATTTTAAAAAAGTAAAATTTAAATTATTTTTAAAAAAAATAAGACAAAATTGTCCACAAAAAATATGTTTATATACACTGGACCAAAACATTAGGAACCAAACATGTTCCTTTAAGTAGGTATTACTAGGATAAATAATTTCGAAATTATTGATTTTCATTTAAGTTAACAATGTGTGAATAAAATACGAAATTTTAAAAGGATGTGAATAGAAGTGTGGTAAAATATGTTAGGATATATCTAGGTGTTATGTGTGATGCGGTTAGGTATTAATGTGTAAGAAAGAGTTTCTAAAATTTCGTATTTTTCACACGAATTTGGAGACACTTCAAAATAGAGAGAATCGATTTTTTTTATTTGTAGCTTTTTAATTCGTGTTAGTCACAATCGTTTTGTTTTCCATTTTTTATTTATAAAACTCAACAAAAAAAAAATCTCTGAAAAATTGGATTATCTAAACAATTCTATAACTATATCACATGACGTGCATGACGAACTATTTTTGTAAACAAAAAAAAAGTCCTAAATGACAAAAATTTACCTCCTGAATGTAAGAGATTATGGACAAGTTGCTCTTGTTCGGGCGATGTACCCTCGCCTTATTTTTCATATAAAAATTTATTTTTTTTTATCAACGACATATGCAAATTTTTAAAAAAAAAATATTTCAAAATATGTAGATAGATATTAAGCATAGCGTTTCGTGAATAAAAGAGATAGAAGAAGAAAGAAGAGAAGAGAATGTAAATATATTTTGTAGATAGAAAAACCAGCATTTTTAAAAAAATCAGGTGATGAGTTTGTGTTCATCACACAATTTTATAATTTCAAACTTGGCGATTTACTGGATTTTAAATTAATTTTCTGTAAAATGTTATTTAAGCGCATTTTTGTGGTATTTAAATTTTGAATTTTGTTCATTTTTCAGTCATTTAAATTTTCAAATTTCAAAAAGTCGTTGAAAATTCAAATTTGTATTCGATAAGTCGTTAAAATAATTAAATTCCAATAAATTATTCAAAATTTAAATTTTGAAACTTAAAAAAAATTTAAATCTGAAAAAGCCGTTAAAATTTTGAAATTTTAAAAGTCGTTAAAATTTAAAATTTTGAAATTTTAAAAGTCGTTAAAATTTAAATTTTTGAAACCAAATAAGTCGTTAAAAATTTGAATTTCAAACCCAAAAAACTTCATATTCAAAACTTCGAATCCCAAAAATCCTTTCAATCTTTCCCAAACCTCACCAAAAAAATGCGCTTTATTCATCTGTCTACAGATGACAACTCTACTTGTTTGTATAGTCTGTTGTAAAAGCTTATGTAATGTGAAATGCGGCATTTCGCGAGTATATCCGTTTGGAAAAGCATGTCTTCAGTGCTTGATCTTGATGAGTATCATAGAAGGGGCTCATTCCGTCCCCAATCTCATGTCTCAAAGGATATTTCATCACGACAGCTTATGTATACATCGCAAAATACCGTCTGAATAAAATAAATATAATTTCATGTCATCAACTGCGACTCACCTTCTACAATAACAACACAACTAGTCTCATCTGAACCGTACTCGTTGGTAGCGACACAACGATATTTTCCTGAATCACCCACTCGGCATCCAATGATTTCCATAAAGATAACACCATCGGCTTGTGATTGTGGATATTCGTATTTGTTAAGTTCCGTTGTGTTCTTATACCATTTGATGTTTGGTTTCTTTGCATTAATAGCAACACAGCACAGAAGTTTGCAGGTATCTCCCGTTTGCATGACACGTGGACGCAATTGGAATGTGAAGAATGGTGACTGACCAACAGGTGGTGTATCCTTTATTAGTGACTCTTCTCGTTTCGAGCGCACTTTTTCGCGTAATGCATCCAATCGTGTGTTAGCTTGTTGCATTGTCTGTGAAAGATCATTTGGTCCAGCATATGGTGATGGTTGTACATTAAGGAAGACGATCTCTTCACGTGCACCGTAGAAGTTCTCAGCTCTAATTATATATTCACCACGATCTGCCAATTTTGCTCTGTTTATTGTAAATTCATAGTCATTGCCATTATATCTCTTCATGTATTTCACACTCTGTCTTAGTTCGCGACTGTTTGTGTACCATGTTACTGTAGCTGTTGCAACAGCACAAATGCGACATTTAAATGTAACACTTTGTCCCTCATAACAGAATTGTGATTGTGGTCGGATAACGAATCTTGGTGCTGCCTGTCTACGATCAAAACTAAGTGATTGTGATTGTCGTGTAAGACGTAATCGTGAGCGTGCAGCCAATGATCCCAAATAGATTTTGTAGGTAGTTGTGTCCAAGTATTTTCCGAAAATGCCTTGTTTGCGTAATCTTGCGTGAAGTCTTTGAATTCTTTGATTGAATTTCTCGCGATTGAATGCTTCTGTCTTTGCAATTGAATCGCCAGTCAACCATACATGATCCAAACATTCATGTGCTGTCATACGCTTCTCCTTGTTCTTAACAAGCAATCTACGAATGAAGTCTTTAGCTTCATCTGAGACGTTACGGAAAGCTTCTTCATCGAATTCCCAATCGCATGCCTTAACATTCTTTAATGTCTCAACATCAGTCTCACCAGCGAATGGTGAAAGACCACTGAGGAGAACATAAGCAAGAACACCAACGGACCACATATCTGTATAGAAACCAACAGCATCACGTTCAACAATTTCTGGTGCTGCAAATTCAGCTGTTCCAGTTGAGATCTTAACTTCATCATTTGGATTTAATTTTGTAGCAAGTCCAAAGTCAATCAATTTAACGTCTGTGCTGCGGGATGTTGTCAACATAATATTCTCAGGCTTAATATCAAGATGAATGATGTTCTTCTCGTGCATGTATTTAGTAGCGTCACAAATTTGACGAATATAGTTAATGACTTCAGATTCAGACATAATATATCCATCAGCTGTGATACGATCGAATAATTCACCTCCTGATAAGAACTCATAAATCATGCAGATTTCACCCTCAACTTCTGTATCGTCAAAGGCATCATGCAAGTTGATCAATTTGTTATGATGCAATTGATTCATGATGTCAATTTCCTTCATCAAGAGTTGCTTCTCCATTGCATTTCCGACTGGGATGAATTTGGCAGCATAAATGTGTCCAGTAGCACGTTCACGACAACGATGTACAACACCGAATGCACCACTTCCAATTTCTTCGAGAATATCGTATCTTGAATAGACACTTCCTGGTTGTGTATCGACAACCTTTGGCATGAACTTCTGATAGATATCCCAATAGTATTGATCATAATCAGTGACTTGTCCCTTTTGATCTGTTCTAATCTTCTTGCCTTGTGAATCCAACTTCAATCTTGTTGTTGGTTCTTGTTTCTTTGTTTCCTTTTCTGGCATCTTTACCCATTCGTTCATTTCAGTTGGTTCAGAACGTCCAAAGATATTTTCTGAGAATACTCTGAATGAATAAGTACGTCCGGCTGTCAAGTTCTGTACAAGCATTGAATTGAGACGTGTTGTTCCACACAATACCCAAGTGTCATTTGGATATTCACGTTTCTGTACAATATATCCAGTAATGTTTGAAGCTCCATCTGTAACTGGTGCCTTCCATGTAAGTGCAACAGTTCCAAATGATTGAGACAAGAGAACAGTTGGTGCATCTGGTGGATATACAGTTGTGCTGACATCATCAGCTGCTCCATTTGTAAGTCCCTTAAGTTTTGCACTTAAAGCAGCAGCATTTAATGGATCATAAATGATGTACTTAGATGTCAATTCAATATTACGTGGTGGTTCTGGACGATCACAAATCTCAACCTTAATTGCTGCTGAGTCAGAACCAAGTTCATTCTCAACAGTAAGGACATAATTGCCATGATCAAATTGTTCAACATTTTGAATCTTCAACAATGCATGACGCTCACCAGCTTCAACCTTAAAGTGACCACCGCTTTCAATTGTGTCACCTTCACGTGTCCATGTAATTCTTGGACGTGGGAAGCCAATGAATGGAATCTTAATGACAACATTTTCACCCCGATCGAAATAGGCTGTATCACGGAATCGTGGTGGAACATTAAGTTTTGGTGGTGTCTTAATGACTAAAGCTCCCTTTGTACTCTTAACACCAGCCTTATTTGTAGCACGGCAAGTATATTCATCAGCATCTTCACCATATACACTGTTAATGATCAAATGATGTGTTGATGTTGATTCATCAGTGTAAATGTGATAGCGTGTACCACTTGTAATCTCACGAGCTCCCTTATACCATGTAATTCTTGGAGCTGGAACTCCGATAATCTTACATTCGAATGCAGCATCACGATTAGCAACGCATGCACAGCCATTGACTTCTTTAATGATTTCTGGTGGAGTTCCGTCACTTGGATCAACAATCTTAATTGGACGAGATGGTGGTGACCATGCTCCTGCACCTCCAGCACCAACAGCACGAATTCTAAATTCATAAGTACGTCCATCTAATAAGTTATCAATCATAGATTGTGGATGGAAGATTGTGCTTCCAGCATACATTGGATAACACAATTGATCACGACCTGATGTTGTGGTAGATGATTGTGATGGTCCAATACGTTGCCACAATTCAGTTTCAGTGTCTGATTCACGTTTCTCAATTTGATAGCCAAAGATTGTACTTCCGCCATCATCCATTGGTTGTGACCATTGTAAGATAACTTCAGCACATCCAACAAGTTGTGTACTATCATCTTCAACAGCTGAATCATCCTTTGATGCTTTACGGCCCTTAGCATGTTGAATTGGTGAGCCTACAAGAGATGGACGTCCTGGTGCTCCTGGTGCACGTTGTCCAGAGACTGTATGTACAATTTCTGAACAATCCAACCAGTCTGATGAGCCAGCATCATTAGCAGCAGCAATACGGAATTTATATTGACGTGCTGGTTGAAGATTCTGTACCCAAACACTTGTGTCACGGCAGTGAGCATTAGCTTGAATCCAAACGCCTGAATCAACATCACATCTGTCAATGATGTAGTGAGTTGTCTTTCGTACGATCCAAGTTGATGATGATTCAAAGTCTTCTTTAGGTGCTGACCATCTAAGGAAGCATGAGTTAGTTGTAACATTTTGTACATCAACTGGGCCTCTTGGTGGTGGTGGTGGAGCAAGGATGTATACATCAGTCTTTCCAGACACAACACCACTTGAGTTCTTCAATCTGAATTCATAAGAACCAGCTTGTGTTGTCTTAATTTCTCTCAAGAAGATGAGGAAGAATTCGTCAAAGATTGCGACACGGCAACGATCTTCAATGTCTGAATCTCCAGTAAGTTCAACTCCATTAAACAATACAGATACATCAACAGGTTGATCACCACTATAGAAGACCTTAAGCTTGCATGTATCTCCTTGATTAATTGTGACAGTTGGTTCATAATGTCCGAGTTTTGGTGGAGCACCGACACGAATGTGGCACATTGTCCATACAGTTCCAAGTGGATTGAATGCTTCGCAGCAGTATTCACCTTCATCTTCCCATTCAAAGTGTCTGACAGTAAGTTTAAAGACACCATTACACCATGAGACATCGTAACGTGGATTTTCAGTAATATCCTTGCCATTCTTTAACCAACGACAATCAGGTTCTGGTGTACCATGAGCCTCACATTCAAGAATACATTCACGACCTCTTGGTACGTCTTGTGCTTGTAAGCGACGAACAAATTCTGGTTTTTCACCTCCAGAAATCTCACAGATCTTTGTCATTGGTGTTGGTGGTGATGGTTGAGATGCACCATGAGCATTATGTGCTGTAACACGGAACTCATACGAACTGTATTCAGTAAGTCCAGTAACTTGGAACTCATTGAGTTTAAGAAGAATATCATGACATCTTCTCCATGATGCGCTATTCTTTTCCTTCTTCTCAATAGTATATCCAGTAATTGGAGAACCGCCATCATCATCAGGTGCTGCCCATCTCAAATCACACCATGTCTTGCCAACAGCAATAATCTTTGGTGCTGATTGTCCAGATGGTGGTGCAGTCTTTGTCTTTGTCTTAACTGGATGACATGGTTGACTTGGTTCACTAATGCCAGCAAGATTTGCAGCACGTACACGGAATTCGTATGTTTCACCAGGAACTAATCCATGGACAGTGTAACGTGTATCCTTAACAAGATAAGGTGTAATAAGCCATTGTCCTCCAGTTGTTGGTGAACGCCATTCAACCTTATAGCCAGTAATCTTAGCACCTCCGTCAGATCTTGGACGAGCCCACATAAGATTGATTGAGCTTGTTGTAATTTCAGTACATGATGGTGTGCCTGGTGCATCAGGAATACGGAATTGATAGCTTGCACTTACTGGACCAGCTGTTGTTAATGGTTCAGAAATTCCATATTGATTCTCAGCACGAACACGGAAATCATATTTGTGATTCTCGCGTAATCCACATGCTGTATATGTTGTACCACGATTGAATGAGCAGATCTTGACCCAAACATAATCAACTTCACGACGTTCAATGATGTAGTTTGTGATTTCAGATCCACCATCATCTTCTGGGACGTCATAAAGGAGTGTGACTGATTCAGGTGTAACATCAGTACATCCCAAATATTTGCCTTCAACAGCAGTCTTTGAAGTTGTTGTATCACCAGCCATTGGTAAGAGTGTTGTAAATCCTTTGGGTGGTCCAGGACGATCAACAATAACAACCTTGAAGTTGATTTGATCCTTTCCTGATTGATTCTCAACAGTCAAACGATAATTGCCAGTGTCACCAGGTCTTTCGGTTTCAAGAATCTCCAATTGATATTCTTTATGAGCATAAGTAATCTTAACACGTGAACTTTCAGTGATCACATTGCCACTGTTATCCCATTGAGCATCAGGAACTGGGAAACCTTGCAATAATGGAATTGTAATTCGCAATTTCTGACCAGCAGGTACAATATATTCTTTTGGTGCTGTTCCCAATTGTAATTGAAGATTTGAACGAATTGCTCCAAGTTTTGGTGCTGTTGATGGAGGTTGGCAGGTAAGTGGAATTGATGCTTGTGAGAAGGCACCATGTCCAGCAGCATTACGAGCTTGAACACGGAATTCATAGTTCTGTCCTTCTTCCAATCCAGTAATACGAGCCAAACATTCTGGTCCGGTTTGTGCACAACGATCCCACATATTAGTTCCTTCCAATCTACGCTCAACTGTATATCCAGTAATTGGTGAACCTCCATTGCTCTTTGGTGTCTTCCATTCGAGCATAATGGTCTCCCATCTTGTAATTGGAGCTGCTGATGGTGATTCAAGATCATCGAATCTCTTGACTGGACGATCGAATTCAGAACGTTGTGGAACGCCTGGTGCATCAGGTACATTGAATGAGTGACGAGCACGAATTGGTGTATCAGTTTGTGCCCAATCTGATGCGCCATAAGTATTTTCAGCACGAACACGGAAGTCATATTCAGTTCCAACATCAAGATTACGAACCTTGCATGAAGTTGTTGTACAATAGCTGTTAACCTTGACCCATCTTGAATCCTTAGCCCTACGCTTCTCGACTGTGTAATTGTCAATTGGTGCTCCACCATTATCTGATGGAGCTGACCAAGCAAGAACCAATGAATCTCCTTCGAATTGTGGTACATGGAGATTCTCAGGTGGTGATGGACGATCAAGAACTGTAACCTTAATGTCCAATGTATCAAATCCTGATGGATTCTTCAAGTGACAGCGGTAATTTCCAGCATGATTACGTTGTGCATTACTGACAACCAACATTGCATTATCCGATGTTAAGTTACTCAAAATATTGCCATCAGTTGACTTTTGTTCTGGTGCTTTTTCATCAGATGAGATTAAGAAGTCACCGTTGAAATTCCATGATGCAATCGGAATTGGATTAGCTGTGTATGGGATAGCAATTGAGAAGCTCTCTCCAGCACGAACGACAATATCGCGTGGTTTTTCAGCTCCAAAGATTGGACGATTCTGTTGTTCAATGATCTTGCACCATTGTGAACCGCGTGATGGATTAGATTCTCCGAATGAATTGACTGCCTTGATACGGAATTGATATTCACCGCCTTCTTCAAGTCCCTTAACTTCAGCATTTGGATTTTCAACAAATTCACATCCTGGAGCGACTGACCATTCACTTTCAGTATCACCATCACGTCTTCTCATTTCTACGCGCCAGCCTTCAACTGGTGCAATACGTGACTTGGCTGTTGTTGTAAGTGGTGCTGTCCATGACAATTTAACACCATCTTTAGTGATACGATCAATATTTGGTGGATATGGTTCGCCTGGTGGACGAGATGCAACACCAAGTTCAACTCCAACAGATGGTGGAGATGGCTCACTTTCGCCTGCATCTGATACAATACGATAACGGAACTCATACTTAAGTCCTGGTTGTAAGTCAGTAACAAGTAATGTTGTGCTTGGTGTTGGATAAGTTGTAAGCTTCTCCCATGGTGCACCTCTGGCACGACGTTCAATATGATATCCAAGCAATGCTCTACCGCCTGTATCACGAGCTGCTGGCCATGTAACAATTGCTGCATCACCAGATGTAATTTCAACCTTTGGTGGATCAATTGGTGTTGTTGGAACTTCATATGGACTCTTAATGACAATAGGTTTGCCTGTCAATTCATCGATTGAAGCACCAACAGCATTTACAGCACGAACACGGAATTCATATTTAGATCCTTCCTTCAAGTTCTTAACAACGTACTTGTTGGATGGGCAATAACCATTAAGAAGTTGCCAGAATTGAGCCTTAACTTCCTTATATTCAACTTCATAATGAGTGACTGGACTGCCACCATCATCACGTGGTTCTGGCCATGTTAATGTAAGTCCATCACGAGTTTGATCGCTATATGAAATAGATCCAACAATTGATGGTTCTGTAATCTTAACTGGCTTCTCTTCACCATCACGTGCCAATGAACGTTCCCTTGGTTCTTCACGTGTATATGCTTCCCATGTTGGTGGAGCAAGAACAGTAACATCAAAGACATATGAATCTGTTCCAAATTCATTCGATACTTGAATCTTATAATCTCCACTGTCACGTCTTGTTGTCTTTGTGACCCACATTTCAGTATTTTCACCATCGAATTTGAATCCAGTCTTGCTAGCTTGTGGAATTTCAGCGCCTCCCTTGCTCCATTCAACCTTTGGTGCTGGAGTTCCTCCATACTTGACATGCAAACGAAGTGGTTCGCCTTGACGTATCTTGACATGTTTACGAGTTGTAGTGTCATGAATAATATGAGCACCTTCTTTCTGGTTCTTAGCATAGAATGGTTGAGATGCATCTGAGAATTCACCTTCACCAGCACTATTAACAGCTGATACACGATATTCATAAGCATGACCTTCAGTAACATTGTTATCCTTGTATCTGAGATCTCTAAGCATGTCACTATGACACTTGATAAATCGTCCATACAATCGATCACGTCTTTCAAGAATATAACCTTCAATTCTTGCACCTCCATCAGAAATTGGTGGTGACCATGTAACAAGAATTGAATCAGCATTAATATCTGATGCAATTGGTGGTTGTGGTCTTCCAGGTACTTGTACAGCATTTGAGACCTTCTTCTTCTCACTGACAAGTGGTGGTGAACGTCCTTGCAAGTTCTCAGCAAAGACACGGAATTGATAGACAGTTTGATCTTGCAACTTTGTAACAACTGAATGAAGATTTGTTGGAGAAATATATGGAACAGCAGGTACCCATCCACCGCCATGAGTAATGTCTTGTTTCTCAATAACATAAGCAGTAATTGGTGAGCCACCATCATAATCTGGTGGATTCCATGAAACAGTAACTGAGCCTGATGTAACCTTCTCAAACTTGAATGGTGGTTGTGGTGCTTCTGGTGGTTCCAAAACAACCAATTGGAAGCGACGTAAATCAGTTCCACATGAGTTTGATACTTTAACTTCATAATATCCACCATCATCGCCTGGTTTCAAGTTAACAATATGTAAGTTTGTATGCCATCCAACAGCTGTAACTGTGCGTCTTTCATTTGACTCAATAACGGCTGCAGTTTCGAAGCAATCAGTTGAATCCAATGAAGCTAATGTACACTTATCACGTGTGACTCTCTTCCACTCAACAGTTGGTTCTGGTTCACCCTCAAAGTCAATATCCAAATGGAAAATGACTCCATTCTTGAATGTATAAGAATGAGATGTGGCAGTGAGAATGCGTGGAGCAAGAAGACGAAGTTTTGGTTGAATAAAGTCAGTCTTTTGACTTGGATCTGATTCTCCAGATGCATTGCAAGCAATAACACGGAATGAATAGACACGTTGTGGATTGAGATCTGTGACTGTTCCTTCATATACTTGTCCTAATCTTTCATTCATTACAGTTCCGTTACGACGTGGAACTTCAGCAACACGATGCCACATTGGTGAATCATCATCAGCTGGAACATTAACGCCGAGTGGAGCTTCCAAAGCTTCAATGATGTAATGATCAATTGGTGAGCCGCCTTCTTTTTCAGATGGTTGGAAGTGAAGAACAACTTTACCGACATCCCAGTCAACAACCATTGGTTTTCCAGGTGGTGTTGGTTCAGCATATGGATCTCGTGCAACCATTGGAAGTTTAGTGCATAATGGTTCAGAGTCACCGACTTCATTAACAGCAATAATACGGAAGAAGTATTTACGACGGTATGACAAGTTTGAAACATGTGCGAATGTCAATGTTGGACGAATTCCAGCATCATTCCATGTTCCTCTTGAAACATCCATTTTCTCAACCTTGTAATATTGAATTTGACATCCACCATCATCCTTTGGTGGGAACCAGCTTAGTGAACATGCATCACGTGTCATGTTTGTGATATCAAATGGTGGTTCTGGTGCATCAGGAACTGAAATAACCTTCAATTTACCAGTAATTGTATTCTTTCCAACTTCATTGCTGACAGTCAATGAATATGTGTCAGTGTCTGTGCGTTTCGAGAATGGAATTTCAAATGTAGCTTCACCAGAGAAGTAACTAAGATGAGTATGTGGAGCACCTTCTTCAATGAGTGTATTTCCACGACGCCATTCAACCTTTGGTTGTGGTGATCCACTGACATTGATTGACCATTTGGCTGACTTGCCTTCACGAACAACCAAGTCTGGCAATGCATTTCTATCCAAATGTGGTGCTGCATATTTAGATTTCATCAAATGTTGATGAGATGCTTCTGATGGATCAGATTCACCTCCCTTATTGACAGCAATAACACGGAATTCATATTTCTCGCCTTCAGTAAGTCCCTTGACACGTCCCTTAGTGTCTGGTGCATCAAATCGTCCAGCATCAACCCATTTACCATTAGGTCCACGTTTCTCAACCTTATAATAATCAATTGGTGAACCGCCATCCTTCTTTGGTGCAGTCCATTCAAGATCGACCCATGTAGCATCAGAGTCTGTGATTTGTGGAACTCCTGGTGGACTTGGACGTTTGAATTCATCCTCAGCCGTAATTGGTTGTGATGTAGCTAAGTATGGTGATGAACCAATCTTGTTTGTAGCCTTAACTCTGAATTGATATTGACGTCCTTCAATTAATGATGGAACACGGAAGTTAAGTTGAACTGTATCTCCAATTGGTACCCATCGCATATTATCCATATCCATTTTCTCAACAGTATATGACTCGATTGGTGCACCACCGTCATCCTTTGGTGGTTTCCAACGAAGTGTACATCCATTACGACAGATATCTTCAGCTCTCAATGGACCTTCTGGTGCTGATGGAACATCAATAATTTCGACACGAAGTGTTGCTGTGTCTGTGCCGTTATCATTCTTAGCGACAATTGTATAAGTTCCAGCATCTGCACGAGCAGAGTCGAACAAACGGAATCTTGTTGTTGGGAAATCAGTTGTAATCTTCAACTTACTGCTATCAAACAATGGAACATCATTGCGACACCATTCAATTCTTGGTGTTGGTTCACCGCTGAATGGAACTGTAAAGTCAATATTTGTTCCAGCCTTAACACGAATGTTATGTAATTGTGATCGGTCAATACGAGGTGGTGCATTCTTAGCACGCATACGATGAACCTTTGATGGCAATGATTCTGGTCCATATCCAGCGATATTTCTTGCTGTAACACGGAACATAAGGTTCGCACCTTCTGGAAGATTTTCAAGTTTAACCTTGTTAACATCTCCTTCAACTTCAGCGCCAGTAACCCAATCGCCTCCAGCTTGATCTTTGTATTCAACCAAATATCCAAGAATTGGTGGTTCTCCAAGTTCTTTTTCACCATCTTTGCCAGGAATTCCTGGTGCAGGACGTTCCCAAGCGAGATCAACAAAGTCTGAATCGAAATCAGTAACTTCTGGAGCTCCACAACGTTCTGGTGGATTATATGGTGACTTAGCTTCAATTGGTGTTGCTGATGTCAATGGATCTGACTTGCCATACTTGTTAACAGCACGAACACGGAACTTATACTTATGTCCTGGTAATAATCCATCAACTTTAACATCTTCACCAGGAATTGGTGCAAATTGAACTTCCTTACATGGAACCCATCGTCCAACACCTTCATCACATTTTTCAATGACATATGAATCAATTGGAACTGCATATTGTGCATCAGATTCCATTGGTGATGGTCTGAAACTAATTGCAGCTTCACGTTCTCCTAAAGCCTTAGCCTTTAATGGACCACCTGGTGCAGCTGGTACATCCATGACATAAAGATGAACAACAGCTGCATCACAACCGAAATCATTTTGTGCAGTCAATGCATAACCACCACTTTCAGATCTTGTTACTGTACGAAGAAGCAATTTAGCAGTTGTTTCTGTAGCAACAGCCTTAATTTGTTCACTTTGACTGACACCTGGTCTGCCTCCCTTCAACCATTTTAATACAATTGGTTCTGTTCCCTTGACTGAGAATTCAAATGCAGCACTTTCACCAGCACGAATACGCCATACACCAACATTGATAACATTTGATGAATTGTCATGTGTATTTCTAATGACTGCGCCTCCAAGAGCATTGGAAGTGACCTTTTCATCAGTTGGTCTTTCTGGTGCAAAGTTTCCATTGGTTGGTGCCTTAACAACGCTAATAAATGGTGGAGCTTCAGCATTAGCTGTCTCGAATTTACGTGATGGCAAAGACCATTCACTCCATCCAGCCTTGTTTTGTGCACGAACACGGAATTCATAAAGTTCTCCCAAAATAAGTCCAGAACACTTGAATGTTGGATCTGATGGTGGTAATCCAGTAACTTCAGTTTCACCAACACGATCCCAATTACCAAATCTATCCTTCTTTTGAACTTCATATCGTTCAATTGGAGCACCTCCATCCATTCTTGGTGGTGACCATTGGATTGTGATTTCATGAGCATCAATACGTAAAGCACGAACATTTTCAGGTGCTGATGGAATATCAAACTCATTCTTGGCAATAATTGATTCATCGGCTACGAGTGGCTTACTTTCACCCTCAGAATTGACAGCAATGACACGGAATTTATATTCACCGCCATCCATTAATCCAGAAACATCAGCATGTGGCTCAGTTGACTTGGCACATGGAATCCAAACGCCTGTGTTAACGTCTTGTTTCTGAACTTGATAATATTCAATTGGTGAACCACCATCGTCAAGTGGGCGCTTCCATTTCAATTTGCATCCACTGCTTGTGATGTCAGAGATTTCTAATGGACCGCCTGGTGGGTCTGGAACATCAACAACATTGACTTCAACAATAGCAACATCCTTGCCATATTGATTAGTTGCAATAATTTCGTAGCTTCCAGCATCAACACGTGTAACTGGTCTACGGAAGAGTTTAGTACCGTAATCTGTTGGCATTGTTTCACAGTTACCGCCACTTTCTAAACGTGCTTTGTTGAAGCGCCATTCAATCTTTGGTGTTGGTTCACCAATGACTGTAACATCGAATTTCAATAATGTTCCGACTGGTAATGAGACATCCTTGAATGTACGACGATCAATCTTTGGTGCAACATGATGAGGACGTGCAATATGTGGACGAGATGCTGGACCAAAGTCACCAGAACCCTTCTTGTTGACAGCACATACTCTGAATTGATATTCAACGCCTTCAATGAGACCAGTGATGTTAGCTTTATTCTTTGGACCGCCACTTTCACCACATTTTTCCCAAATTGGTGAGTATTTATCCTTCTTTTCAATGATATAATTGATGACTGGAGTGCCTCCATCAAGTGCTGGTGGGTCCCATTCCAATTCAACATGATTGATTGACCAATCAATTGGTTTTGGTGCACTTGGAGCAGTTGGAAGTGAGTATGGATCACGTGCAAAGATTGGTGCAAGTGATTCTAATGGTTCAGATTCACCTTCAGCATTAACAGCCTTAACACGGAATTTATATTCATGTTCTGGTGTCAAACTATCAACTTCCATTTCTGGTGCATCAGTTGTTCCACATGACAACCAAATTCCAGTTTCTGGATCGAATTTCTCGACAAGATAATGATCAATTGGCAAACCACCGTCATCCTTTGGCTTACGCCACTTAAGCTTGCATCCTTCAGCATGAATGTCACTGATTTCTAATGGACCTTCTGGTGCTGAGGGTTTAGACAAGACTTGAACTTCAATTTCAGCCTCATCGTAGCCATATTTGTTGGTAGCAATAACCTTATATCGGCCAGCATCACGACGAATAGCTTCTGTATTCTTAAGGTATGACTTGTATGGCTCATTACGGATTGACATGTGAGTTGTTGACATAAGAGAACGATCATTGAATTCCCATGAAATTGTTGGCTCTGGTTCACCAACAACCTTAACATCAACATAGAAGACTTCGCCTTCCTTAACCTTAAGGTCATTGAGTGTGCGTCTGTCAATCTTTGGTGGAACTGTGGACATGAAAATTAGGTTTTAAGTAAATGAAAGCTCAAGGAATCAAGAAAAATAACTTACGTTTGCGTGTACGAGCAATAACTCCCTTTGATGGATCACTAGCTTCACCAACACCAACAGCATTAATAGCACTAACACGGAATTCGTATTCTTCACCTTCATCCAAATTAGTTGCACGGAATTCATTCTGTGGAGTTTCACCAGCCTTAATCCATTTAGAGAAGCCATCCTTCTTACGTTTTTCAATAAGATATCCAGTAATAGGACGTCCACCATCATTGACTGGTGGTGCCCAACGTAATTCAGCCCATTCCTTATCCCAATCATATGCGTCAGGTGTTCCTGGTTTGCCTGGTGTCTTTTGGATTTCGGGATTGTGACGATGAGAAATTGTGATTGCTTCACCTTCTCCCTCAGCATTGCAGGCACGAACACGGAATTCGTAAGCTACATCTTCTTCAAGTTCTGGTGCAACATAGTGTGTGTCCTTTGTGCGACCTAATGTTGTGTATCTTGTGGCTGTAAATAATAAGATTTTTATTAAGATTAAGGAACTGAGAAAATACACAAAATAATCTTACATTCATCAAGACGTTTCTTCTCAATCCAATAATAATCAATTGGAACTCCACCATCATCTAATGGTGGCATCCATTTGATTGTGGCAGTGTCAGCTGTTAAGTCTTTAATTCCCAAGTCTTGAACTGGACCCGGTGGTCCAACGATTGTTACATTAACATCTAATTCATCTGAACCGTATTGATTAGCAACCTTGAATTGCCACAAGCCCATATGCTGACGTGTAACTGATGCAACATTAATACGGACACGATAATCTTCCATTTCACATGTAATAGTTCTTGTGAATTCAAGCTTAGCTTCTGGTGTAGCAAAAAGTGAGTCTGGTGTCTTTTGTACACCACCACGTGTTCCTGCAAGATCCAAACGTTCCTTGTTGTAGAGCCAGTAACGATCTGGACATGGTTCACCACTGAACTTGACATCAACCTTCATTGGTTGACCAACATGAAGCACAATAGTACGTGATCCATGACGATCTTCAATACGAGCTGGTGCAAAACGATCTTTACATTCAACTGGTGGTGTTGCGTGACTTGGTGGACCTGCTCCAGCCTTATTGACAGCCTTAATTTGGAATTGATAGCGGCAACCTTCTGTTAAATCAGGTACTTTAACCTTGAATACAAGTGGTGCTTCCTCACCATCCTTAAGTTTTCCGAGAATCAATTCAGTACCACGGATGTATTTTGAGGTATGAACTTCCTTCTTTTCAATCAAGTATTTCTCAATTGGACATCCTCCATCAGATTTTGGTGGATTATATTCAAGAGTAACAAAGTTACGTCCCCAATCAACAACCTTAACATTTTCTGGTGCATCTGGTACGCCCCAAGGTGAGCGTGCTGTAATAGCTTGTTCTGTTTCTAATGGTTCAGAATCACCTTCAACATTGTGTGCCTTAACACGGAAGTTGTATTGATTTCCTTCAACTAATCCAGGAACAAGGAATTCCAATGGAGTTTCTGGTGTCTTTCCATCAGCGCCTGGTTTTGGTGCTTCAACGAAACCAGCTTGAACCCATCGTCCTGTTGCTGTATCTTGCTTTTCAACGACATAACTGTCAATTGGTGATCCACCATCATCTTGTGGTGGCTTCCAGTGAAGAACAACATGAGGTTCACCAACATTTTGATCTAATGTTGATGTCAATGGACCTTCAGGCTTATCTGGTGGACCCAAGAAGTCAATATTAACTTTCTCTTCCTTGGTTCCAAACTTATTCTTAGCAACAATGCGTAAACGACGTGGCTTCTTACGTTTTGGTTTGTCAAGCTTAAGAACTAATTCACCATCAGCATATTCATACTCAATTCCGTCTTCTTTTGGATTCAATTTTTGATCTCCATCGAAGATTTCAACAGTTGGTTCTGGTTCACCATTGACCAACAATGAGAATCGAATAGGTTTATCCTTTGGATGTGCAATTTGAACCAATGGCTTGTCTTCTGCTTCCTCGCCTGGTTTTGTTGGAGCAATAAGATTTGGTGGAACATTTCCGAGCTTGATTGTTGGAGCTACCTTTGATGGACGCAATTTAATACGATCTGATGCATTTGATGGCAATGATTTACCAGCTTTGTTGATAGCACAAACTCTGACTTCAACTTCTTCACCTTTAATACCTGGAACTCGTACTTTTCTGCCGTTCTTAGCAAATACTAATGGCAATTTCTCCCAGTGAACTCCATCACGACGACACTCAACTTCATATGATTCAATTGGTGCACCTCCATCACTTTGTGGTGCAGCCCATTCGAATTCAGCAAAGTCAGCATCCCAATCAGTGCATTGTGGAACGCCTGGTTTAGATGGAACTCCAAATGCATCCTTAGCTGTTACTAAATCTTCAGCTTCTAATGGCTCAGATTCACCATTCTTGTTGACAGCAACAACACGGAATTTATAGACGTGTCCTTCAGCCAAACCTTGAACTTCACATTCTGGCTTAGTTGATTCGCCACATGGAATCCATGCACCGCCTAAAGCTAAATCCATCTTCTCAACACGATATCCTTCTGGAACTCCACCATTTTCTGGATTTGGTTCCTTCCATGCAAGTTTACATCCATTCTTACAGACATCAGAAATTTCTAATGGTCCACGTGGTGGATTTGGTGGTGCAGCAACATCAACATTGAATGTATGTTCATCAACACCATTGATATTCTCAGCCTTAACCTTCCATTTTCCTTGCCAGAATGGACATGATCTCAACAAGCAGAATTTACCAACGAATGTACTTGGATTTTCTAGAACTGTAGCTCCAGTTCCAATCAATGCTGATGGAGCCATGAAACGTGTTGGATCTTCAATCTTAACCTTTGCATTATCAGCCAATGATGATGAATCAACTTCCTCAAGTGGCTTATCATTGAAGAACCATGTGATGACTGGTTGTGGTTCACCAACGACTCTGAGATCAAAGGCAAGTGATAAACCTGAGCGAACTGTCATGTCACCCAAGTTCTCGCGATCAATCTTTGGTGGAACTAGATTATGGAAATAAGATATGATTAGTTATTGATATGGAAGGAGATAAATGATTGCTTCTGAAATATAAAACCCAGAGGTAGCTAGTAATCCCCGATTGAAGAAACCTTTTAGTCTGTAAATTATCTTGTATATAAGGAATGACTAAGGTAAAGTATGAGAAAATATAATAACTTAAGAAACAGAAACAATAATACAAGGGAATGACAATTAAGGCATCAGAACATAATCTGATGATCTACAAGTACAACTACTAATCATATGATAAGATATTAATCTAATACATTTAAACAACAATCAACATTTACAAAGAACTCTGAAGAATATTTAAAATGACTTCCCTGAAACTTTCATATTAATATCCACAACCCTACTTATTGATACTTACGGTTCTTCTTTCTTGCTAAATGCCAGTTACTTTCCTCACTAGGTTCACTAACACCGCCTTTGTTTACAGCCTTAACACGGAATTGATATTGAGCACCCTCAATTAATCCCTTAACCTTAGCTTTTTGTGGACCCATGCCTTGATTAGCACATTCACCAGCTTTCTCCCAACCATCATCGCCCTTAGCACGCTTTTCAATGATGTATGATTGAATTGGTGCACCTCCATCTCTGTGTGGTGGTGAGAACTCTAATTCAGCCATTGGACCGTCGAAATCGACTACAGTTGGGAATCCGGGTGGTGATGGTGGACCGAATGGATCCTTAGCTAAGATTGAACCGTCTGTTGTCAATGGTTCACTAGCACCTTCATCATTAATAGCCTTAACTCGGAATTGATAACGTTGTCCTTCTTCAAGTCCCTTAACTGGAACCTTGATTTCAGTATCATCATCACCATCAATTGGTGCATCAATCTTTCCACATGGTACCCAAAGACCAGTCTTTGTATCCATCTTTTCGAGTTGATATGCAGTTGGTTGACAATCACCATCATCCTCTGGTGGCTTGAATTTCAAGACACAACTATCCTTTGTGATATCAAATGCTTCCAATGGACCTCTTGGACTCTTTGGTGGTCCAATAAGTTTGATTGAAATTGCTTCAGCATCTTGACCATTGACGTTCTTAACAATGACTGTAATTTCACCACTGTAGCTTCTTTCCATACGATCGATGGTAAGATAACCTTTGTGTGTAAGAGAATCATCTGGGGTCTCATCCTTATGCCATTTACCAATTTCAAACTTGTTGCCAAATTCAGTTTCACATTTAACCTCTGGCTTACCCTTCTTCTTACGTGGCTTCAAGAAGAATTCAACTTCTGGTTCTGGCTCACCCTTGTATTCAACATCAAGACGGAATGATGTATGTAATTCAATCTTTGCGTCTTTCTTGAAATGTTCGCGCAAAATTTGTGGTGCTGCATTCTTTGGACGAACCAAATGTGCTTCTGATGGTTCACCAGCATCACCAGGACCTGCATCATTAACAGCACGAACACGGAATTGAAGAGTTTGACCTTCACGCAATCCATCAACAGTAGCTTCTGGTTTTGGACTGTCTGTGACAGCGATTTCTTTCCATCCAAGTGATGGCATGCTCTTATCCTTAGCTTCAACAATGTAGTGAGTAACTGGAGCACCTCCATCATTACGTGGTGGTTTGAACTTCAGCTTAACACTCTTTTCATCAAAGTCAACAATTTCTGGTTTGCCTGGCTCTTCTGGTGGCTTAACATTTGGTGGAACTAAGCAGACATCAGTTTCAGCTGGATCACCAATTTCATCATTCTTGTTGACGGCACGAACACGGAACTTGTACTTTTCATCTGGTTTCAAGTTCTTAATGAGAGCAGCTGTGTCATCTGGATCAGCTTCAGCAACCTTCTCCCATTTACCGCCCTTTTCTGGACGAGCTTCAATGATGTATTTTTGTAATGGAACACCGCCATCATCTTCTGGAGCTTCCCAGGTGACCTTTGCAGCTAATGGTGATGTATTTCCAGTTCCAATTGGCAAATCAGAGCGTGGCTTCTTCCTCTTGCCCTTTCCTTTGCCAGATCCATCATCTCCATCATCATCATCTCCACCACGTCCAGGAATTCCACGAAGACTTGGATATTCATTCTCCTTGTCATCATCTTTGCCTTTGCCTTTACCCTTTTTCAATTTAGTATCAGCTGGAACCAAATCAACCTTCTTTTTGACATTTGGTCTAGATGGTGCACCGAGAACGGTGTATTCAATTTCATATTCATCTGATCCATGTTCATTTGTGGCTTTCAACTTCAACATTCCACTGCGCTTACGTTGAGCATCAAGAACATTCAATTTAGCGACATTTGGTGTTTTACTATCAACTGAGAATAATTCAGTTGTTTCAATGACATAGTCACCGATCGACCAGATATATTCAGGTGGTGGAATACCACGAACTGGAACTTCAAAGGATGTAGTCTTTCCAGCCTTGAGTGTAATTGGTTTCATTGCATTTCTATCAATTCTTGGCTTCATCTTCTTTGGACGAACTTTGTGCATATCAGATGCATCTGATGGTTCACCAAGTCCACCCTTATTCTTAGCACGAATTCTGAATTGAACTGTATCGCCTTCCTTAAGGCCATCAACTTTAGCCTTAACCTTCTTCTTCTTTCGCTTTTCTTTCTTAGCCTTTGCTTCATCTTCCTTATCTGCTGGCACAGTTTTGACTGGAACCCATTGACCAGTCTTTGGATCACGTTGTTCAATGACATATTCATCAATTGGTGCACCACCATCTTCTTCTGGTGGTTCGAACTCGAGATCTACTGAATTCTCATCGAAATCGACAATTTCTGGTTTACCGCCAGCTGAGGGAGCGCCAACCGGTGTAATTTCACCCTAAATTAAATAATTCAAGTATTAATAAGTTAATCGATTAAGCATCAAGTCACAAATACTCACATCAGTGTAAGTAAAATCACTCTCGCCTTCATCATTCTCAGCTTTTACTCTGAATTTGTATGGCTGTCCATTCTTCAAGTTTGGAATTGTAGCCTCGAAATCATCGCCATGTCCAGTCTTGCTAGCTGGAACAAAGGCAGCACGAACCCACTTGCCGGTTTCTGGATCTAATTTTTCGATGGTATATCCAGTAATTGGAACACCACCATCATCCTTTGGTTTCTTGATCTTCAATTTGGCAGTTCCATTAAGAGCTTCTGTGCATTCACAGCTTTGAGCTGCTTTTGGAGCGCCTAAGACAACAAACTCTGCACTCCATACATCTTTACCGTTGCAATTGACAGCACTGGAATTAGAGGATGAAGATTAGATAATTTTATTGGGTTTTTTCAAGGGGAAAACAACATGTTGGGGAAAAGTTTTAATTTGAAATTTCTCATCAGAAATTTTTCCATCGTGTTGTTATCCCCTTGGAATATCTTCCGGACATCTAAGGAGATAACAACATGAATGAAAAAAGTTTTGACTTGAAATTTACCATTAAACCTTCTCCCATAATGATGTTATCCCCTTGACTATATTTCAAGTGTCAATATACTCACGTCAAAGTGTATTTTCCACGATCCTCACGCTGTGCATCAGTAATAGTAAAGATTGTATGGTTCGGTGTGCTGTTGTCAATCTTGATGCGTCCCGAGTCTTGTAAAGCAAGTCCATCGCGCCATGACCATGTATTTTCAGGTGTTGGTTCACCTTCGATATCAACAGACCATTGTAATGTACGTCCAGTCTTGATTGTGATGTTTTTCATTTGATCGCGTTCAATACGTGGCTTAACTGTTATAATAATGTTGAAGGGGGTAACATAGACGAGGGGAAAACATAAAAACAATTTTTTAGTGACAAGTGGACATTGATAAAGCCTAGCTTGGGGGTCCTTTTAAGATACTGTCTCAAATGGGTCCCTTTTGCTAGTATAGACAAAATTACATGTATAATAAAATAGGGAAAAAAAGTTGTGTGCTTGAGATAGAGTCAAAAACAGAACAAACGTGACACAAAAATCTAAATACTCAATAATAATAACATTGAACAATAGATGTTGGATATAAAGATAATTAAACTTGAACATCACAAAAGGATAGAAACTCATTATCTACATAGACAGATATACAGTAATGATAATAAAAGAGTACAAAATAAGAAGGTTGTTGTTGTGTGTATGTTTGTGTATGAAATGCAGATCAGAAAAACTTTTCCTTTTGTTTCTTCAATCATTTTCGAGTCGTAGCTTATCATCAAGTTCATTACTCATTTTCTTTACCCTTCATTTGCTATTAAAGATCCGACTCAATATTCTGAGAAATGGCACAATACTTACGATTCTTGTGACGAACAACGTGGCTGTCAGTTGGCGGTGATGGTGCTGATTTACCAGCTTTATTAATAGCACGGACACGGAATTGATAAGCCATGCGTTCCTTTAATCCTGGAACCTTGAATTCACATGCATTTGTCTCAGTTGGCATCAATTCACACCAATCAGGTTGATACTTATTCAACATTTCAATGACATAATGAGTAATAGGACGTCCACCATCATCCTTTGGTGGTTCCCATTTTAATGTAACCGATTGATTGTCATAGTCAATGATATCGGGTTTTCCGGGTGCATTAGGTTCATCTATAAAAGTTTATGTCAAAAAATGCAAGAAACAGGTGTTTGTGATAATAGAAAGAAAGAGAGATAGAAATAGAAAAAAATTGGAATCAAATCAGGGTGCAAAACCAGGAACAAAAAAAGATTTGTGTACATTGGAAGTTCAGTAATTAAAAAAATCGTGTAAATTGTGTACATTTTGTGTATAGAAAAACAATCAGTTAATCAAACCATTAAAATCAACTTACCGTATGGATTTTGAGCAACAAATGATTGTGACATTTCTGCTGGATCTGATTCACCTTCCTTGTTGTATGCCTTAACGCGAATCTTATAGCGTTTACCCTTGACGAGACCCTTAATTTCAATTTCATTGCTGTTTGGTCCACATTCACCAGCACCAACCCATCGGCCTGTTTCTGTGTCCATTTTCTCAACAATATATCCCAAAATTGGACATCCACCATCATCTTTTGGTGGACGGAAAGCAATTGTTGCACAATCAGATCTAACCTTTGTGGCTTCTGGTTCACCGTCGGGTGGACTTGGCTTGTCGAGGACGAGCAAATCAGCAAAATGTTCAGCTGATCCAACTTCATTGGTGACACGGATGTAATATCTGCCAGAGTCTAAACGTTGTGCCTTCTTGACTGTTACGACTGAATTTCTATCGTACATTTCAACAGTAACATGATCGCCATCTGCCTTAACTTCAACTTCGGGTGCAACACCCAATTTTCCTTTACTGAATGTCCATTTTGATGTTGGTTCTGGCTCACCGCCATATGCAACATCCCATCTACACATTTGTCCTTTACGGATCGTGACATTCTGCATAGTTGCAACATCAACGAAGAATGGACGAACATAACGTTCCTTAGCAATTTTCGGTGGTGTTTGTGCACATGGCTCTGAGTCACCCTCAATGTTGCGTGCCTTAATACGAACGACATATGAAGCACCTGTACGTAATTCAGGAATAACTGTATTAAGCTTCTTTGCATCTGGTTGGAAGAATGTTTTCCATGTTGATGCCATTTTTTCTTTGTACTCAATAACATATCCAGTAATTGGTGAACCGCCATCGGAATCTGGTGTCTTCCATTGAACTGACAATGTTGTTGCTGTCCAATCGAAGATTTCTGGTTCACGTGGTGGATTTGGTACGGTCCATGGATTCTTCATTGTAATACGATCAGCAATATTAGCTGGTTCTGATTCACCAACTTTGTTTGCAGCACGGATACGAACTCTCAAAACTTGATTCTTCTTGAATCCTTCAATCTTGTAGCGATTAATTGAGGCTTTGATGTAACGTTCAAGTTCACTGACAACCTTACGGACTGCCTTATCGTCAATGCTAACAACATCACCTTCCTTTGGTATGTAGGCATACCATGATGACTTCTCTGATTGATTATCAACTTCAATTTTGTAACCAATAAGTGGTGCACCACCATCATCAAGTGGAGCTGCCCATTTAAGCACGAAGCTTGATTCGAAAAGATCTTTCAATTCCAATTTTTGTGGAGCTGTTGGTGGTGTAAGCATGTTGAGCTTAATTGGACTGTCAACTGATCCTTGAGCATTTTCAATTGTAACCTTGTACGGGCCAGACATTGCACGTGTTGGTTTCTTGATCTTAATGAGAACCTTGTCATCCTTGACAACAATTTCAACGTCACTCTTGCCTAATGGCTTACCATCAGGTCCAATGATTTTAGCTTGAACTGGTGACTTACGGGTACCGTCAATACGATATGGAATTGCAAACTCAAACGGACCTCCTTTGTCAATTGGTGACTCAACATTTTCTGGTGCATCAACAATTGGTCCAGTCTCACCTTTCAGAACAGTAAGATTACATTTTGAGCTCAAGTCACCTGATTTACATTCAAGTTCACCAGCATCAGGCATCTTAACCTTCTTAAAGATAAGTTGGTGTTTACCACCACCAAGATTCTTAATCTCGAAATCATCTCCATCCTTAAGCTCTTGTCCATTCAAGTACCAATCAGCTGGTGCTGTTTGATCTTGTAATTCAACTTCCAAGACTGCACGATCACGTTCAATAAGATCTGTGTCCTTAAGTTTCTTTAAGAATTTATTCTGATAATTGACTGTGATGTCAGCAATTGTCTTATCAGCATTAGAGACGCAAGAATAGCTTCCAGCATCACTAACCTTAGCATCCTTGATAACAATCTTACGTTTACGTCCATCCTTAATAATTTCAATGCGCTTATCGCCTTGAATCTCTTCCTCACCTCTGAACCACTTGACATCACCACGAGAATCATTCAATTCGCAAGCAAGTGTCAGTGTGTCTTTTTCAACAAGACGTGCTGACTTGAGGATCTTTGTAAACTTGTATTGGAACTCGGAGAGTGAAATGACAGTTTCAGTCTTGTCAGGCTGCTTCTCTAAGTTACATGCAAATGTTGCATCATCTCCTTTTTGACAGTTGTTAACTGTAAGTTTCAAAAAACCTGATAATTCCTTAACGACTTGATATTTCTTGCCATCTCCAATTAAATCTGGATCAAGACGCTCGCCATTCTTGGTCCAATAAACTTGAGCCTTTCCGCTGTTGACAGCACACTCAAGATCAAAGTCATGTCCGTAATAACCTTTGCATTTTTTGTCAAGCATCTTAACGAAGCTGTAGGTCGGGTCTGGTTCCTCAACGCTCAATGTTGCTGGACATTGGATTGTGTTAATTTCGATGACGTATTTGCCAGAGTCTTCAACTCTTGGTGCTGCAATCACCAGCTTGTAGACTTCTCCTTCATTAACCATCTTGTATTTTGATGATGGGAAGATTTCATCCTTACGGAAGTACCAACGTGGCTTGCAGTTGGGTTTTGTAAATTGTGCCTCAAACACAACCTTCTTGTCCTTGCCTTCCTTGGCAAATTGATCGATCAATGGACGTGAGAATGTGTCTGCTTTCTGTATTTAATTATTTTTTTTGGAGTGAAAGAAAAAAGTTTGTGCAAAAATTAGAATAAAGTTTTTGGGGATGTCAAGCTTCTATGCATCACTGGACAGCATTAAGTCAAAAACATTCCAATGCTGACCAGCAATGCGAAAAGAAAAGGAAAATTAAAAATTTAAAAAAATTGTAGAAAATTCACTGCCGGCAAAACACGGATTCTGAAAAAATTCCTGAAAAATAAAATAAAATTCAAAATTTTTGTACGGACTCGACGAAGTTCCAGCAAACTTCAAAATAAAATAATCGAAAAATCTTCAAAACTCTCAGCAGAGGTAGAGAAAAAAAACTAGTAAAGAGGTGATCACACGTGATCGACCGAAGCGCATTTTCTCCGCACAGAATTCGAGTAGAAATTAAAATCTAAAAACTCAATACATTTGAAAAAGAACGGTCAAAAAATATTTGAAAAAAAAACTGTTAAAATTATATGAAAGAAGGAAAACGCCCAAAAAATAATTAATATTTTATTAAAATAGCGTTGGTTCGATATTCAGGATCAGGCACTGTGTCTACTTGCCAAATTTCAGCTCATAAGTTAAAAAAAAAGTTCAAAGTCAACGCAAAATTTTTTTTACATAGGTTACCAACCCTGGAATCTTAAAATGGCGTTGGTTCCATATTCAGGATCAGGCACTGTGTCTACTTGCCAAATTTCAGCTCATAAGTTAAAAAAAAAGTTCAAAGTCAACGCAAAATTTTTTTTACATAGGTTACCAACCCTGGAATCTTAAAATAGCGTTGGTTCCATATTCAGGAACAGGCACTGTGTCTACTTGCCAAATTTCAGCTCATAAGATCAAAAAAAGTTCAAAGTCAACGCAAAATTTTTTTTACATAGGTTACCAACCCTGGAATCTTAAAATGGCGTTGGTTCCATATTCAGGATCAGGCACTGTGTCTCCTTGCCAAATTTCAGCTCATAAAATCAAAAAAAGGTCAAAGTCAACGAAAAATTTTTTTACATAGATTACCAACCCTGGAATCATAAAATGGCGTCGGTTCCATTTGCAAGAACAGCCACTGAACCTACATGCCAAATTTCAGATTAATAGGGTAAAAGATACAAAAGTAATGGCAAAAAAAGTAATTTTGTATGAAAAATGTATGGAAAAAAGAATAAATCTTCGAGAAAAGCTCGGAAAATGTCGGGAAAATTTTGAAAATGGAAAATTTGATCACCAAACACCATGACAAACAATAATAAATCAAAAAAGTGAAAAAAAGAATGAAAAAAAAAGTTGCTCGTTGTGAGGCTTGAACCAGCGACCTGAGGATTGTAAAAAAAGTCACCTTTTTAATGACTTCGCCCAAAATAATCACGTGACTTTATAGGTGAAAAATTTTAAAAATTAATTTAATTAACCTTCCTGTGCTTCAATCATGCTGAAATTTTGGCCACTGCTAGCCAGGAATAGCACAAATATTATAAGAAAAAAATCGCATCAAAAAATATTAAACTGAAGGAGGAGATAGCTGGACGGACGGACGGACGGACGGACGGACGGACGGACAAAGTGAGGACAATAGCGTCATTTCCTGATAGGAAAATGCGCTAAAAATCAAATAAAATCCAGTCAGTCGCAAAATTAAATGCGAAAAAAATGTCAAAAGTCAATATTTTCTGTTGAATTCTTCAATTTAAAATTGAACAAAAAATAAAATCGAAAAAGAGATGAAATAGAGACAAAAATGAGAGAAATAATGGAAATTATGGAATATTTTACTTTTGTATATTTCATGCAAACAGAAATAGGAACAGATATTGACACTCAAATTAAATTAAAATATATATTCGACCCAAAAATAAAGAGAAAGATAGACAGAGTTTTTGTAGGAGTATGTGTGATATGAGTTTGAGGGTGAGTTTGGAAAGTCGGGCTGAAGTCAATGATGTTTCTCTAGTCTCTAGTCTGTTGTCTGTAGTCTTTAGTCTGTAGTCTCTGGTTTGTAGTCTCTAGTCTATAGTCTCTAGTCTCTAGTTTCTAGTCTCTAGTCTGTAGTATGTAGTCTGTAGTCTCTAGTCTCTAGTCTCAAGTCTCTAGTCTCTGGTCTCTAGTCTCTAGTCTCTAGTCTCTAGTCTCAAGTCTCTAGTCTCTAGTCTCTAATCTCTAGTCTCTAGTCTCTAGTCTCTAGTCTCTAGTCTGTAGTCTCTAGTCTGTAGTCTCTAGTCTCTAGTCTCTAGTCTCTAGTCTCTAGTCTCTAGTCTCTAGTCTCTAGTCTCAAGTCTCTAGTCTCTAGTCTCTAGTTTCTAGTCTCTAGTCTCTAGTCTCTAGTCTCTAGTCTCTAGTCTCTAGTCTCTAGTCTCTAGTCTCTAGTTTCTAGTCTCTAGTCTGTAGTATGTAGTCTGTAGTCTCTAGTCTCTAGTCTCAAGTCTCTAGTCTCTGGTCTCTAGTCTCTAGTCTCTAGTCTCAAGTCTCTAGTCTCTAGTCTCTAATCTCTAGTCTCTAGTCTCTAGTCTCTAGTCTCTAGTCTCTAGTTCCAAGTCTCTAGTCATTAATTTTCAACAAAAAACTTCAGCTCGACTCTCCAAAAACACCCTCCCAACCCCTCACACACTTTAAGGAAACAACTTTTGTATAGATAGAAGAACAACTTTTGCCAATAATTGAGTATGCAAATGTAAATAGAATTTTGATGTGAGAAGAAGAAGTAAATATGTCAGTTGTTTTACCAATTTTTTTTATCGAAGATAAATTCGCATTCCGAAAAAAGTAATAAAATAAAATAAAATAATACAACATAAGAAAGAAGATAGAAGATAGTCGGTTAAGCTGTTAAGAAAGAAACGAAACAAATTGTATTCGAAATAATATTGTTTTTGTGTGCATTCATTAGAGATTGTTTGTGCAAAATTTGGTTTTTTTACTTTTTTTTTTGTTGAGACACAGATAGAAAGACAAAGAGGATTATTTACTTGAAAGTCAAACCTGTTTACGGACTGGATGAAGTACGGGCCAATCTGGAATTATTTCGGCTAGTGACGCTCGTCGAGATGCTGGATCCTAAATTTTTATTTATTGTACACATCACGAGATTTTTGGTTTTAGTAAATTCGATTTTTAACGGAAATTTTTTAAATTTTTGAATCTTAAAAGCTCGTTAAAATTTTTTTTGAATCTTAAAATTTTTATGAATATCAAAAGTTCGTTAGAAATTTTTTTTGAATCTCAAAAGATCGGTTGAAAGTTTTTGAATTTTAATAGTTCATAAAATATTATTTCAAATTTTAAAAGTTCGTTAAGAATTTTTATAATTTTTTAAAACAGTGAAATTCGTTAAATACCATCGCAGTTAAGTCCTCATGCGTTGAAAAACAGAAATAAATGAATAATTTTTTTTGGTAAATATTTTAGTCACAAACAAGAAACTTACCCTTTCGACTTTCTTAAGTGCTGGTGGTTCTGGCTTTTGGACTTCCTTCAAGTCACCCCAGTTGGGATCATTATTGTCTCCTCCCCATTTGGCATACTTGCGCTTCTTCAACATCGCACGGAAGTCCATACCGCTAGAATCAGACACATATAATGGACTTTCAGCAGAATCTTCGCCATGAATGTTAGACACAACAATACGATAAGTTCCTTCATCATTTGGTTTAATTTTACGAATGCACAATGTAATAGTGTTGGCTGCGCCATCAGTGACGAATTTATAGCGACCACCTTCAATAATTTCAACAACACCTTTGTAGAATTTGAAGGTTGGTGCTGGATTGCCTTCAACTTGGATTGTGATGTAGCCGGTTTGATCTGAATAATTTAGAATAATTTTTGAAAATGGCCAAGAAAAAGTTGAAAGCAGGTTTTTGCCCTAGGAAATTGTTTTGTTTTGAATCTTTAGATTTGCCAGGAGGATATCGCTAGAATGAATAAGGATTAGGCATTTTCCGGATTTTAATTGAGTATGTTCAAGGATTTTATCAGAAAGTCTGGCTTAATGTGAGACATGAGGTCACCCAAATCATTCCTAAAGATTCTTATAAAACTGCTGCTAGGGTCAAAGTTAGTCGCACATCAAAAATTTTCGCATTAAAATCGTCAAAGCCATCAAAAATTAATAATAATTTTTTTTTGAGTAAAGACAAGATTCGAACCTTCAACAGCCGAGTAGCTTTCTTGAATATCAACAATCGACGGTGGACCTCCATCACCAACTGGACGAAGTGGGGTTGAGGGCTTGTCAATCAAACCTTCAAGATCAGATACACTTGGACGACGCATGTCAATCGATGGTCTTCGTCTCTATAAGTTGTTATATTGATATACAAAATTAGCGGATATTTTTTGAAAAAATTTTATAAAATTTTATTTGGAAAATTTTTAACGTCTTTTTTAATTTTCGAAATTTGTTTTTTAAATAAACATTTTTATGTTTTTTGATAAGTTTTGGAGTCAAATTAAGACCATCGATATTTTTTTGTATTTACAATGATGATCAAAAAACGCTCGATAAAAAAATTCAACTAAGCAAAAATTCATGAAGCTTAAATTCATTCGATTGTAAAAAAAAGTATTGCAGAAAATAAAATTTTGAAGCAAAAATTCAAATCAAATTCAAAAAACATGCCATTTTTTAAAAAATTAAAAAAAATAATATTTTTCGATGTGTGTGAGTGTAAAAATATATAAAATAAAATAATGTACAAAATAAAAGTAAAATAATGTAAGAATGTGTTGATAATGTCGAATTCTATTGACTATAGCTTTTGAATGATTGACAAAATATAATGTAATAATTTAAAAAAAAAATAAAAATTATTGTTTATTTTTTTAAAATTGAAAAAATGTCGAGGATAAATCTCAAAAAATTAGATTTCGAAAAACTTTTGAAAAATCAAAAAGAAAATTAACAGAAAATTTCAAAAATCTTAATTCATGATTTCTTAAAATTGCAATTCAAAATTTAAATTTAGATTTTTTAAAAAATCTAAGTTATTTAATTTTTTAAAACATTTAAAAGTAAAAGTTTAAATTTTTTTAAACCATTTAAAAATTAAAATGTTCAAAAATTTAAATCTGACAAATGTTAAATTTTATTTTTAAAATTTTAAAAAACCAAACGAAATTATTCTAAATTTTGGTTTAAAACTTAGATTACAAAAAAAATTTAAAGTCATTCAAATTTGAAGAATTTTTGTCAATCATTCATTCGCTTAGTTCCATTCGACTGCAGTTTTCTATTCTACGGCAAAAATTTCTATTCTAATTTCAAAAAAGAAATTTCATATCCGTTCATTTTAAATATTATTTTAAGATTTTTTGCTTTTAAGTTTGAGTTTTTTGTATTTTTTAAGAGATTTCATTAATTTTGTTTAGAGATTTTTGTTTAAGTTTAGGCAAATGATTTTGAAAAATTTTGAAACTTACAATTTGAATTTCATTTTCAACTTTTTTTAAATCAAGTTTAATTTTAAAAATCAAATTTAATTTTTTTAAAACATGTTTCAATTTTTAAAATCAAATTTAATTTTTAAAAATAAAATTTTCTTTTTTAAAATCAAATTTCATTTTCAAAATCAAATTTAATTTTTTTAAATAAAATTTAAGTTTCTTTAAAAGAAATTGAAATTAATTCAAATTTTTAATTTCAAAATTTCCAAAATACATCAAAATCAATGGAAGTCATAAATTTTGAAAAATAAATTCTAAAACTCAATTTCGACATGATTTTTGGATTAAATCAAGACATCCATCTAATGTTAATGCCTTGGATTTAATCTAATAGATCCAACTTATAAAAATTCGAGTCGAATTCGAGTTCAGAACAATTCCAAAAACTTCTGACTTTAATTGACTGCCTTAAATAGATTTGTTTTAAGTTTTATTGATGCTTTATTTTTTCTTGACTATAATATTTTTAAGTTTATATGCAAACTTGTTATTTCACATCTACATACAGCTACTACAATGGGTATTTCCTTCATTGCTCATTAAGTGAGAGTGAAAACTAGAAAATCTCTTGGATGTCGATCGGATGTTGATTAACTCTAGGAGGGAAAATATACAAAATATTCTACTACAGACAGGGTTTAGGGACATTAAAATACAATACAATATGTTCTATAACATCCGACCGACCAACCAACATCCAATTGCTTAATGTAAATTTAATAAATTTTCTAGTCACACTCTAAATCAGGAAATAAAACCCATTTATAAGGTTCAAGATATTTACATACTTGTCAACTACCATTCCAACTACGAATTCTATAAATCAAACTACTATGAATCACTAGCAACACTAAATTAGATCTACAAAATTTTCTATACATTTTCGGCTTTAAATTTTTAATTCCCATCATGACGCATATTTATGTACACAACCATTAAATTCCCAATATATGTTTTTTCAAATGAAACCAACAACGACGTAACTACGATTTTGTTCGTTGATTTATGTGAAAATTGCGATGATTTTGTGTCAAAAATAAAATGCAAAAATTTTCTATTCTACAAAATTTTTCACATTCCAAAAAAATATTGTTGTCGTAAATTCAGCGGCATTCTCAAAAAATATATATCTACATTTGCTGCATCTATTCTAATTTCTATTCTATCCGCTTGCCAAAAATCAAAAATAAAAATTATCAAAAAAAATATTTCAATTTTCATCAGAACGATAAAAAACCTGCTTAGTTACATCCAAACATTCACCTGGCCGAACCTTTTTCTATAAAAATAGTAACAAAATCGTACAAAAAATTATCATTATTATTGATATCAAAAATATTATAAAAATTTTCTGTTCGCTAAATTAGCATTAAAAAAAATCAGTTATGCTGCATGTGTAAAAAAAATCTTATAATTTGTGTTTTTCAGCAAAATTCAAAAAAAAATAACATAAATCTAGTTAACCAGCAGATTGCTTTCATTTTGCGTGATTCTTCATAGCTAGAATGAAAAAAATTCTTTGAATTTTTCATCATTTTTAAGATGTGTTTTGTGATTGATAGAAAAGATTTGGATTTTTGGGTGGAGATTCTGTCAGATTTTGAGATGATTTTTCATTTTATAGCTTTAGTTTTTTTTCGCAAGAAGCTAGTGTCAACTTACAAAAATATCATTTTTTTTTGACTAGGGGTCGTTTACTTATGACGTCTGAAATTAACGGTAATTCGCTGGGTTTCTAAAATTGGCGAACCTTCCCATAAATATTCAAATAACGCTTTTTGAAAGCCATGAATCGCTAAGTAAGTTTACCAAGGTCAAGCTTCTAGCTTTTCATGGAAGTAATGTTCATAATAATGATTCGTTCGTGACTTTTACTTAGATAACGATCAAGGGTACCTCTGAGAAAGAGTACATTAAGATATAATAGCTAAGAGTCTTTAGTGGGGATCTAAATTTTACCTAGTGTTTTACGTAGGTTTCTAGAGTCCCTGGTAGTCACTTAAGGTCCTTAGTTGATATTTAGAGTCTCTAGTAGGCACTTAGAGTCTCTAGTAGGCACTTAGAGTCCCTAGTAGATTCCTAGAGTCACAAAGAAGAGTATTTTGGATGTGGAATCCCAATTGTCGCCCTTAACGAGGTTACCTCTAAAGTAAGATACCTCTAGAGTTGCTATATAAGTAGCACTGCAACATTGAGCTGACAAGAAAATTCCCAATGTTAGCAAAGAGAACAGAGTCCGTTACAAACAAAAAAATTTCAAAATTTTCGCGCAGTATTTTTTTAAAATTTCAAAATAAGAAAGTCCGTTATTTTTTAATTTATTTTTAAACTAGCTGTTTTTTAAAGCATGAACATTTAAGGAATGCAATTTCCTCACAGTGATTATCTTAATCATAAAAACTAGTAGGAATGTTCACTAAAATTACAAATTACTCGAAAAATAATAATTCGCAACGAATTTTTTTAAAAATAAGAACTTCGAAGATTCGATTTTCGACAAATAAGAACCTTAAAAATTCGAAGTTCGAATAATAAGAACTCAAAAATTTCTGTTTGCTAGCATTGGGAAAATTCTAAAAAAAACTTCTAGAGTTCTTTTCTCTTTGTTATCCTTAAAATCAGCTACATTTCAACCTTTAAAAGAAATTTTCAACAAATCTCAACATCTGCTTCCGTTTAAAAAAATCATCTCAACTCAAAAAAAGTTACAAAGAAAAAAAAAATCTGACAAGACCTTCCCAAAAGATCATAGCATCGTTTTTTATAGAGCAATATATTCTATTCTATTGTCAATAGTCAAGAAACAAATTGGAGACAAAAAATATTTTGCGCATCTGTCATTTTTTGTTCACCACTTGTTTAAAAAGTACAAAAAAAAATGTGTTCAATAAATTGTGTGTATGAGAATATAGATGAGTATGTATGTATATAGTTGAAACATGTGTTTTTAAAAAAAAAATAAAAAATCTTCAAAAAAAATCTCATCAGTTGCATTTGTCATCAAAAAAGTTTTTCTATTCTGTTCATCAACTGATAAAATTATGAAAATTGTTTATGAGACAAAAAAAAAGGAAAAGTTTTGTATTATGAATAAGTTGATTGTTGACTTATGAAATATTGAGGCAAGTGTCAAATGACAAATTGTTTACATATATCATTCGATATGGTTGATAAGGATATACATATACTGATTGGGTGTCTCAGAAATTTATTTATGCTGAAATGGAGAGGTTGTTGACTCAATTGAGTTTTGATCGGTTTATGATTTCTTTGTTGAAGAATTGATGAAATTTATTCATAGTTTAAAAGACAGGGGTGTTGCTAACAGGGTTCGGAGGATCAAAATTCGGCTCCAACGGAAGTTGAACTTCATTTTAAAGGAGTTTTGAATTAAACCTCCAACCAAGGTCCCTCCGTAACCCTCTATTAAATTTCAAATCTGGACACTAAAATACATCCTCTTCAAATAAGGACTTGGATACCTCCTGGATTAGTTTAAGGCTTATTTTCTAGATACCAATAACAATATTATCAATAACAATGCCATAATACTATGATCGAGCCATTCATGGAGATGATGTAGTTCCTACTAAAGTGCCTCGTTAAAAATGATGATTATCTTAGGAATAGCTTAATTGTATTGAAAAATTGAAAACCTAGGCAAGGTAAGGACTACTTCAAATGTCACAAAGCCTAGAAAAGTCGAAAAACAGTTGATTGAACCTGACCGTTGGCAGTCTGGAGTTCAAAGAATTCAAGTAGTTAAGGCTAGAATAACTAAGGCTAGTCTAGGAGTCTGGGATACAATACAGTGCTCCCTCGACACAAAGGCAGTCATTGTTACTCGGTCTAATGAATTGTTTATTGTGAAAGGTTCTGAAACCAGTCTAGAATTACCTGGCAATGGATGTCAGGATGCTCCCATCCTGTACTCTTCCGATTTAAGTCAAATATTTTAAATTCATAAAAATCATCACGCATTTCCCAGTAAATCCTTTCAACAATCAAAAAATTATCCTATGTAAATTTTCAATGTCATTCAACACTCAATTCAAGGCCACATAACTTGATATGCAAAAATCTTTGCCTACATCAAATCATATCAGCCCTTCCTCAATACATTATGTAAACATTTTTCAATAAGTCTCAATCATAATTTTTGGTAAGATAAAAGCTATTTGGGATAACCACCCAAAAGTGACGCAACAAAAAAAAAAGTTCAAAAAGCTTTAATCACTTTTAGGACATGACAAAAAAAAATAAAATTGACGGACACAAAAAAATAACGCAAATTTTGTTTATCAACAAAAATCAAAAATCAAATTTGTGTGAAGAAAAAAAAACTCAAAAATTAATTTTTTTATGGCAAAATTGTGGAAGTATGGAACTATAAAGTCACTTTGGTTCTTCCACAAAAGTTTCAGATTTGCTTCTCAGCAGCAACAAAAAAAATCCAATAAAAGAAATATTTTTAGCATTTGACAGTCTATCAATGAATAATAGACGAGAACGTGCCGTACCTTTGGATCAAAAACTTCACCGGGTCTCAATTTCAACTGCAATTTTTTTTAATATTTTTTTTCGGGAAGTTTTGAAATTTTGTTTATGATTTTTGTGGATGTTTTGTGTGTAAAATTTTTTTTTTGGGGTGCGAATAAATTTTGGAAGAAAATAAAAGAAAAATAAAATAAAAAATTTAAAATAAAATAAAAATAAAAATTTCAAGTATTTGTGACTTGATTAATAACCAATGATCCTGAACACAAAAATGCAGGAAGACACGCGACAACGACGATCAAAGAAGGACCAAAATATTTTTCACTTTGATCTTAAACATGAACAAAATATGTAAAATTCTTCAAGATCAAACGTCGTCGCAGAATAAAATGACTATTTATCAAGTCACAAATACACAATACATCTGCTATATATATAAAAAAAATTATTGAAAAAATAGAAAAATAAATAAATAATAATAAAAAAAAAAGTTGTAATTCATTAATGCCAATTAATATATTTTTTTTGCTTAAAAAAGAATGAAAAATTACCAATTATAATTCCCATTAAAAATGACCATATTGTGAGAATATAAATTGCGAGACACGGATTATAGACACATATTATTACTTGATAGCATTTAGTCTAACTAGTCTCTATTGATGCTGTTTCTATTATTAATTTTAAACTAATTTCTTTCAGTCAAGGAAGTTCCTCAAAATTTTTATTGAATTATTATGTAAATTCTGATGTGGATTTTGTGGGTTTTCTAATAATTTTGGATTCTTCGGGGAAGTTTTGACACTGACTTAGTATTTTTGACTAGGTTGGCTAGATATTGTTTTAAATAAATTGCCACAATTCTATTAAATGGAATCTATGAAATCTAAAATCTATGTGGCTTCAAAATGCTTGAACATGAAGCAAAGCATCATCAAGGCATTTAATAGCCAAGATGTAGTTCAAGTAAGTCGACAGGGGTCCTATAAGGTCCGAGCAACCCATCAAAAAATTATTAAAATTTAAAAATTAAGAAATTTGTGACTAATTTCTTCAACAAGCTCAAACAAAGTCATTCTTGATCAGTGTGCCACGTTACATTAATGAGCCGTAGAATTTTTTCAAAAACACCACGAACAACACTTCGTGTCCGGTTTAAGTCATGGTTTACCATCAAGGAGTGTTGGAGCTCAAAAAGCTCAACCAAATTCATTCTAGGCAAGCCTTATGTCTGCAGTAAATGATTTTGACTAGAAACATGGCATAAACTATAGTTTTGGGATATTAAGCGACATTAAGCGCTTTTTATTCTTGCTCGAAGCTGGAAATAATTTTTTTTGAAGAACAAGGGTTCAGAACTGATCGAAATTGATCAAAATGTGGCTCCGAACACTTGATGAAGATTTTAAAAAAGTTACTATTTCAAAAAATCTACCAAATCCAACTCAAAATCCACCAAAATTTTGAAAAACTTCCCATCAAGCATTTCCAAAAAGTCTGCCAAAATTTTCTAATTTTCCGAAGAGATTTCCCACCCCAAAAAAGTCACCATACCTGCATTAAGTTGACCAATAAATTTCATCATAAAGAAACTAGTTAGATTTTAAACAGAGTCAATTTTAGCGCAAAAGTTTGAGAAAGAAGTAAAAAATTATGCGAAATTCGTCATCATCAAGAAGATATAAAAAAAGTCATGTGCTCAACATAATTCATTCAGACGGTGTAAATACAAAAAAAAATAAAATATTAAATTCATATGTTTCATATCAAAAAAAGAGAGAAATGTGAAAAAAATTCTCGTCGATTGAAAAAGAACTCGTATAAGAGATTTTTTTATGTTCGAAACGATAAGAAATGAGTGAAAAAACAGCAACAACGTGTGCGTGAAGGAGCTTTAAGCTCTAAATTCAGTGAGGGGAAGAAAGAAGAAATTGTGATTAGAAGATAGAGATAGATAAAGTGAGAGATTAAAGGATAGGATGGGCTTAAATTGATGATGATGAAATTTTTTTTTGGGTTAATATTGTGAACTTTAAGCTCAATTATTTTGTAGGAAGGCTGTTGAATCAATTGATTTTGTGAATTTTGAACAAACTTGACTATGCTACTATGCAAACACTTAGATTTATAGCTCCTTGATTTTAAACTGTTCAACTTCATTAAAAATTTCAAAATCACCGGATTAGATCTTAAAATTCAAGCCTATACCCACAGTTCAAAGTGGTAAACCTAACCTATATTGAGCTTAAAGTTACAAAAGGAAGACTATGTTAAAAGCACTTATTAGGAACTTAATCTGTAAATGGGTGTAGTTGTGTGTATGAACATCAATAAACAAAAATTGTGTAGACATGTGAATGTGTTTTTGGTTGGAATTTTGAGGTTATTTGTGGACTTTGTGCTGTCTACAAATCTTAAATCTTGAAATTTAAATTAAACTTCCTCAAAAATTCACAAATAACCCCAAACCTTAAATTAGGTTCATTACAAAGGTGACAATTAGCAATACAAGTTTCAGTTAGTAGAACAGGGTTAAGGAACCAATTTTTATATTTAAAGTAATAGCGGACATTAGTGACATTTAAGAACCAGGATGTTTTACCTTCTTATCATCGGGTAATTCACCAGGACGCAGTTTCTGTTTGGGGTATAGAACAATCAACAATACTTTATCTTTCTATTCTATAAATTATAAAGGATTTACAGGATTTATTTGGATCATTTAATTTGATATTTTAGTGTTAGTAATTTTTGTATAGATGTCTTATTTTGTATGTTTGTATGTATTGTGTAGCATTATTCGGATTATTCATAAATTTATCCGCGTCTACATAAAATAAACTATTGTCGTAACTTATGAATAATCCCATCATTCTATACATCTAGGTAAAAATAAATGGGTTGTCCTTATTCAATTAAGGTATCACAGAAATTAAATTTGTCCCAATTTTGTTTTTCTTTCTTTTATCGAATTTTATGGAACTGCTTACGATATAAAGGGATAATATGAGAGGGTAAAGGAACATTTGATGTCTCTTGGGTAATTAAATTGTGATTCAATCTGAGATCGTTTCGACGACTGTAAAGGAAAAATAAGCTGAGCAACGCCGTATGAACCCAAAGTATACCTTTAATATGAAGCCTCCCCTTTTTTTCAGACGTTGGGAAAATTGTCATAAAAATACATTAATATATACAATCTCATTTATACTAATCAACCAGTGGAAAATCTTGGCTATAGCATAAATTAGGTTAATTATTATTTTGTATACAGAAAGATAGATAAATGCTAAAAGATATTCAATTCAATTCAATCTTTCTCTTTTGTAACTAAGATCTAATTTTCTACCTAGGAATGTCAAACTTAATTTTTATTTTACACTACTAAGGATGGTCATGAAGATTTGATTTTTTATTATTGTGAAGATTGAGGCGGTCGGTGGCTTTGTAGGTTGCTTAAATTGAAATTCTTGAGAGCCATGACTCACTTCTGTGTTCATTATTGTTTCATATTCACACAAAATTTTCAATTTTTGTGAATATATTTGAGATTTAAATTTGGCTCAGATAAACTAGAACGCATCTTAGGATCTGATATCAGGTCCTTTCTGATGCCAACAAGTTTCATTGTTGTGACTTCATCTTAAAATACTTATATATTGTCAACAAGTCATTACAATAGGCATATATTGCATTAATATTCCAAATACGCTACATTATTCCACCAAATTGACATCTAACCTTTCAAATAGCCACTCAACCCCCCTCAATCTCCCAAAAAAAAAAATCACAATCCTCATTCAATTTGTTATTATTTATACTTTTAGGCTAGAAAAAAATAATAATATTACCCGTAAAAAATATTCTATGCTGTAAAACAGTCTACTTAATAATTTATGGCATCTATATATAGGCAGTATACTAACCTCGTCATTGATCAATAAACTTGGACGTCGAGAATCATCAAACAATGAACCACGACGACTTGATGGACCGGAACCTAGAGAAAAAGGAAAAATCTTATTAAATTTCTGTCATGAAAGTAAATTGTCAATGGTTTTGTGCCTGAAGAGACTCTTAATAACTTTTTTTTTGGATTATTAAATTACGAAAGAATATTTAAGTCATAAGAATCTCTTCAAACATCACTAAGGGAACACAATAAATTGCACTGATTATAATCTTGGCACGAGTCTATTCAAGATTCTTATCAGTTCTCTAACAAGTTCATTTAGAAACTCGAGGGAATGAATACGGAAGCTTATTTTTAATGTATGACGTCAATTGTAATGGAATGAAAAATGAAAATAATCACTGTGAAATTTTAAAATGCATTTTTCATTTTGTGGTGGTGAATAAATAGAATGTCAGAATTTTATTCATGGTTAGGCTGAATGTCTACGTCATAAGGCTGTAATTTTTGAAAGGAAGATTAATTGAAGTCGATCGATGATTCTTTATATGTTCAAGTTTAGTGTTTAAACTTGATATCTATTTAGTATCAATCTAGTTTTAATCTAGTATCAATCTAAAATCAACCTAGTTTTAATCTGGTATTAATCTATTATCAATCTAATATCAATTTAGTATCAATCTAGTTTCAATCTAGAATCAATCTAGTATCAATCTAGAATCTAGTATCAATCTAGTATCAATATAGCTTTAATCTAGTATCAATATAGTATCAATCTAGTTTCAATCTGGTATCAATCTAGTATCAATCTAGTATCAATCTGGTATCAATCTTGTATCAATCTGGTATCAATCTAGTATCAATCTAGTATCAATATAGCTTCAATCTAGTTTCAAACAAGAATCAATCTAATATCAATCTAGAATCTAGTATCAATCTAGTATCAATATAGCTTCAATCTAGTATCAATCTAGTATCAATCTAGTATCAATCTAGTATCAACCCAGATGAATTCTACATCATGATTTTTCACCACAAAATCTTTAAAATATGCACTCTAACCTTAATTCTATCCCAAATCACTCACTTACTCCTCACATATCTCTTCCCAATTCACTCTAAATGATGCTCAAAAATAGAGTCATTTCGTCATTTTAAAAATTCATTCAGATATGTGATTTGTTGATTGAGCGAATGGAACATATGATTTGATTATGGAACTTGTTAAAAATTGTTCACAAGAGAATTACTTCGGGGCTTTATTTGTAGAATAATTTTCCGATTAATTTAAACTTTATTTCAAAGACATTTTGTTGTCAGAAAAAATGACGGACATAATTAAGTTTTAGTCTTTAACTTCCCTCGAGCTTCAGTAAATGTTTGACACAGCATTTTATTGACTTAAAAATTATTGAAATAAAATCAAAAAAAAAGACTCTTTAGTCACATGAAAGTGAACTTGGGACATGTTAATCACATAATTATTATTTCTGCCTAGCACATGATATTAATTAATTTTCAACTGTCTTAAAATTGCACATTGAACATTAATATCGTGTATTGATCTACGGCAATACCCATGAAGGTCAATAATATAATCATCAATCATGAAAATATTTTTTTTTTCATAATTTTTTCAATTTAATAATTTTTCTCGTCGTGGACACATAGCTTACTGCATAATTTAATATAAATCTGCTGTGTGTGCCTGCCTCTATCATGATTGAAACTTTTCAATCAGTTAGAAGAGGCACAAAAAATACTAATTTATGCATTAATTAGATTAAATGAAACTGAACGATTGACAGGAAGTGGAAATGTTGAGTAATTAAATGTCCTGACTTGAGAAACTTTTTCTTTTTTGTTTTGATAAATTTGATTTTGATTTTGTGGGAAGTTCTGTGTTCTGGTAAATTTGTCAATCGTTTCAGTTTTGAGATTTTTTGATGATGGGAAATGAGTTTTTGATGGATTTTTTTAAAAGTGATTTGCAACTTTGTTGGGCTTGTAGTCCGCAAACTAGTCTCTTAATGAAGCCTAAGGGGGTCTTTTTGCTGATTTTAAGACATTTTTGAATTTATTGATTTTGAAACTAATTTAATTCTAATTTTTGCACTTTTAAAGAACTTAAAAAATTTAGAACAATCTATATTATGTACAAAAAGCACATACAACCCTAGTCTAATGGTTAGAGTTTTACAAAAAGCACATGCAACCCTAGTTTGATGGTTAGAGTTGTGTGTATGTTACTCTTGTTTCTGAGCTATTGCTGCTTTTTCACTCCTTTATTCAATTAAATTACTTTTGAGCACTTATTATACCTTCAAATCCTTCACTAGTATCTCAATCTCAATAGTTTGAGTTATGCTTCGATTTTCTTCTAAATTCTCAATCGAATATTAATTAAGTCTACAAGTTTTGTCATCAATTTCACCAAATTCCCTAATTTTCACATCCAAAACTTTTTAAAAATCCACGAAAAACTTTTTTCCATCATCAAATAAATTTTCAAAAAAAGTGATTAATTAGTGAATAAACATTAAACACCTGGAGCTAATGAGTTTTTACGATCAGGAGTTGGCTCACGTATAACTTCGATTTTAGGTGTTTCCAATTGAGTTCCTCCTTCAGCTGGAGCTTTGATTTCTGGTACCTTTGGCTTTGGTTTGTCCTGAATATTTTTATATTATTTTTTATGTTGGAAGAGAAAATTCACATAATTAGAATTTAAACGATTAAAAAGCACTTTAAAGTCAGACGTACACAAAAATATATTTTGTTTAAAAACTTAATTTATGTTATCACATTAATTTGAATTTTTTATGAATTGTGTAATAAAATTTCCATAAATTAACTATAATTATTATTATTTATTTCCCGTAATATTCTTTAATTAATTATGCTGCACTTTATAATAAATCCTCTCACTCTTAACGATGCTACACGATCAACGGTTGAGTTTATAATTAAATTATTAAGTCGAAATGAGACTAATGAGATACGAATTTTTTTACAATTTTTTTTTTGTTGTTCATTCCTTTTAGGCGAAAGCCAAAAAGCTCAAGTTATGAGCATTCGGGGAGAAAGAGATAAATACATTTTTCATAACTATGCATAATTGTGACCGAACGAAAATTAAATGAAAGGAATGAAAATTTATATGAAATATTGAAATGTCGCCAAAGTGATTATGAGTTTGTAATATTTTTAGCGCTGTTCTAGCGAGACGCTTTGTAACGCGGGGTTCACTTTGCATGGCTGGTTGAAATTTTGAATTATTATCTTAACAAGTGCAGAAAGTAGGAAGTAAGAGAGTGTTCTTGGATTAATGTAAGCGTCACTAATAATGATGTGTAATTTTTAAAGCGAATTTGAGGCTGTTTGACTTAATTTGAGTCTTAAATGATTTGTAAGAAACTTTCTAGCCTCTGCAAGGCCTTGACAGATTTCCGGAGCCTTAACAAACTCTTAAAAATCGTTGCCATGTTTAAAGAGCCTTAGGAGAATCTACAGCATCTCTATAGTCTTTACAGAGCTTTACTAGACTCTATAGAACCTTTTTCGATTCCATAGAGTATTGTTAGGCTTAACAGACCCTTTCTAGACTTCACAAACCATTGTTTGATTTTATAAAGCTTCACTAGACTCTAAAAAACCCTTTAGAACGTTACAGAGCCTTGCTTGATCTTCTAGAGCTTTACTGGACCTTCTAGAGCATTTCTAGACCATCCAGAGCTTTGCTAGACCTTTCAAAGCCTTGTTTGACCTTTCAGAGCGTTGCTAAAACTTTCAGAGCCTTATTTGACCTTACAAAGCCTTGCAAGACTTCAAAAAGACATAACAAACTTCAAAGAATCTCTACATTCTCTTCAAAACATCACTTAACATCACATAAATGCGCCTCACTCACAATATCCCCCAAAAAACTTCTTACTTCCATTTCCCACGCCATCAAAATTTATATTCTGTTGTTCAGCATCACCAAAAGGATTTTTTTGCCTCTCATAATTATTACATAAATTTTTTAATAATTTTTTTATTCTGCTCGCTTATGAATTATGAGAATATTTTCTACATGAAATGTGTGAACATCACCTCGATATCGTTCATTAAAATTTTAGTGCAAACATCTACGAAATTTCAAGTACGCAATTAACAAATTGTAAAATATGATTTTGTAACAGTCTGTGCAGCATTATAAATTACATTTTAAATGCTTCGAGTATGTGCAACAATTGCAGGATGTGCACTTAAATTACATTACCTTCTTGTTTGGGTCGAAATCACTCTTATCATATTTTTCTAAAACTGGGCGTTCATAATCGGGAATTTCGGGAAGTTCCTCGTATTTTGCTGCCTTTGCTTTCTTTGCTTTTGGCTTTTCTTTTGGCTCCTCGACTGGAGTTGCTTTCTACATTATTTTTCATAAGATTTTTAAATTATTTTTTACTTTACTTGAAAAGTTTTGAATAAGGTACGGAAATGTCACAGGATTTTCCGTTATCTTTTTTTATGGATTATGTGAGTGCCTTGAATTTGAATTTTTTTTGGAACTTGACTCAATTGGAATTTATCAAAAAAACAGGATGCAAAATCGTTTAAGGTTCCAAAAATTCAAAAACTTTTCATACACCCAACCGTACCCTCGGAAAATATTGAGGAGGTAAAGGTCGGAGAGAAAGCATCAAAGGTATCTCCTTTTTGGACATGCAAGATAAGTCTACTTCCAAAATATACTTTTTACAATATCAAAAGCTTACGAATTTACTGCCAGAATTTTCATATTTTTATGAAATTTATTCTCAACTTATGTACCAATATAGTCTACTTGCGTATTGTCTAAAAATTATTTTCTTTCATCATGCGCTCTATCGATCGTTATTAAAGGATAAAAGCATATAGAAGCAGCTATGGGGTTGTTCATAAATGATGTCTATTTAAAGTTTGAGGTTCTTGATTTTAGTGCATGGCAAGACTAAGATTTCTATTTCAGAGAAGCTGTTAAAGATGGTCTGGTCTTCTACATGTTTCTTCTGGATAGACTGCTGTCTCTTGTTTGTTCATATAGCGACAAAAAAGCTGATACTGTCAAGGTTTCATCATGGATTGGGCATTTTGTAAATTTGTCTGTCTACTTGACTAATATATCAACACCACCAAGACAGTAATGACAGCAATATGACAGCCATTAAAATTCAAAGATCAAGTGACTCAGGAACAATCCCAAATCCATAAAAATCTAGTCCTAAGATTGATCATTCTTGTCTGAGTAAGCACAAATCAACTCTTTAGTAATTAGGGACCAAGCTTTAATCTTAGCATATTGAAATTAATTGCCACAAAAGTCTACAAACTGCCTCAGACATCCCTCAAACCTTAAAATTTAGACGTCATTAATGAACATTCCCATCTCTATTGATTACGAAAAAAACTTAATGTTGCACATTTTGTGCTCATTATCTCATTTTCACTATCTACATTCGATAAAAATCTTCTTCGTATGATTGATTTAATCATCAATTGAATGATTGAAGTAATTAGTTATAATGAATGAGCATACGATAATGACGATGCTGTATACACACATGATGATGTAAGTTTCAATTTATGGATGTTAGATGAGCAAATTAATTGCAGTAAATTTTCTACGAATTTTCATCAACATTATGAGAAAGTTTTATGGATTATTGACGATAAATTCTGTAGAAATTCTGCATTGATTTTATTCAATTTTTCAAATGATAAACTCAGATGTTAGAATGATTAGTGTCATTATGGAATTAGATTATCTAATTATTAATTGGTGATTTATTGAAGGTCGTGGTTTGCCAAATGGTTTAGTTTTTTGGATTGTATTGATAGTTTTTTAAATAAACTTCCCATTCAGGAGGGCTTAAGGGGGTCCAACTGAAGTTTTATCATGTCAATGTCTTAATTAGCTAGTTCTTAAGTAGACCAGCTTAATATCATGAATTATAAAGCTACTAGTAATCTTAGAGAGTTGATAAAGACCAGATATAGCTGTCACAAGCAACTAAAAGTGAACTATTGCAGACCAGCTAAAATGGCACAAGTTAATCGAATAAAAATCTGTCGCCCAGCCGGCATGACTCTAGAATGATGCTAGTTTCAAATTAAATCCAGCACCATGCCAAAGTCGCACCAGCGTAGTGTCAGATTTCTGATCGATTACCCGACTTGTGCCATTCGGGATTACATCTACTATCCACATCAATACATCAAAGTCCACCCATTTACCCAAAACAACGTCACATGAACTTTTAATCAGTCTCATAACTTAATTAATTCTCTAAATTTAGCAAAACACTCATAAAACATGCCAAAAATATCAGCACAAAATTCCTTATCCCACTCATTTTGAAGGCATTCCATTGGCATACTACGACATGAAGGTTAATTGTGTTGATGAATTTTTTTCGTTCCTCGAGAGAAATATTCCCCTCTCCCGCTATGTCTCTCGAGCAATTTTTTTTTATGAGTAATTATAACACATATGTTCACAAATTAATTAAAATTCTTAAGAAGAGAATCAAAATTAATTACCTTAGCATCAGACGGTTTCAATTCACTTTTTTCGGCAGGCTGTGAAGGATAATAAGAAAATTTTATGTCATCATTAAAATTTTTGCATACACAACATTTTCATCATCGTTTTTTTTCGTCATAAATGAGCAACAAAATGTAAATTTACTTTATCTGGGATTGGTTTAAGCTTGACAGCTTCACCGTCATCCTTCTTGTCGGGAATTTTACCCTTGCCCATTTTAAGCTTTCTAGCTTCTTCGTCGTCAGGACCATCAGGCTTCAATCCACGTTGATATTTGCCTTTGTTGGGATCTGCATCGCTGATTGTTGCTTGTTCTGGCTGTTTAGCATCTTGAACGATTGCCTTTTCTCTGTCAGTCTGTTGTTATTGGTGGGGGAAAAAATTGTATTATTTCTAGTTTCTAAGTAAATTTGTTAAAATTCTTGATGTTGTGCTTTCAAAAAGGTAGTGCAAGAAAAATAATCAGTGGGGGGTTTTGGGGGTTTAAAGAGCCTTACTATTGTTTGAAATTTATTTTGGTAACTACTGATGATATAATATTGTAGTTGTGGGGTTTAATCAAGAAGATTATAGCATTATGACGGGGGTTTTGATGGTTAAAGCTCTTTTCCATGGAGGATTTCCACTCTGATTCAACAAAAATCAAAAGATGACCGTACTAAGACATGAAGGGGAAAGAAGTAGCGACTACGGTCGCAACCAAGAGTGACCAATAGAAACATGGGATATATCGAACCAGCAAGTAAAATTCAGGAAGGTTCTAGGGATTTTCTCAAAAAGTTCTATTAACTTGAAGAAAGGGAAGATTAGTTCCTCGCTGACTACGCCGTGTAAAGGATACTTGCCTTAGCCATCCTCTCTAGAATGACTAGGAAAGGCCTTATCAGTAATCCTTTTTATGACCAAATATAGAGATCACTGAAAGCCTTGGCTACTTAAACAGTTAAAGCTAGGTTTTCAGAGTTTGTCTTAATTCAACTCAAGACGTCCTTAACGTGCCTATTTAAGCACACAATCCCCTTTCATACCTCACAAAACTCAACATTAAGATCATTTAAGTAGCTACCAAATAAAACTCAACATCTACATTTCAGGCAGAGCATTTAGGGGTCACTCATTCAGAGGGGGAAACAGTGTAGAAGAAAAACTTGACATATATCAAAAAAAAAATTCTATTTTGCAGAATTTTACACACACATTTTATGATGTTATAAATATAAATATAAATTTTCGAAGTGTATATGGAGTGTACGTATATGAGGGATACATTTATATAAATATAAAAAGGAAGTAAAGATAAATAGAGACGCATGAACAGGTAACATAATTTAATATGTGAGACACACGAAGGAGAAAATGATAATAAAACAAAAAAAAATATAATAAAATAATTGAATTTTGCACTTTTAAGGCAGGTAACATGAAACATTTATAGGAGACATAAAATAATCATAATCGTAATGAACATTTTGGGGAAAGAACATCAAAAAAAAAATAATTTCCTTGGCATTTTCTGTTCTTTTATTAAGTTAATTCCAGGTCTGATGGATGCGATAGAAATAGAAATAGAAAGGACTTCCGTTATTTGTATGTGAACTGCTTCATGATTTTTTTATATTTCGAGTATTTTTTAACTCATATATTTCCGCTCAACTCACCCTTTCCAATGGATTAAATTCAGTTTTTTCATATTTTTCCAATTCCGGACGTTCATAGTCGGGAATCTCTGGCAATGCATAATCTGATTCTTTTCGTTTTTTAACAGTTTTCTTTAATTTTTCTTTTTCTTCTGCATCTTTTTTCTTTTCTGGCTCGGGCTGTTCTTTAATGACTTTACGTAATTTCGGAATTTCCAACTGTCCCGGCTTTGATTGTTGCAAATTAATTTCAAGTTTCTATAATTTTTTTTTATCCAATTTTCGATTTCGAATGAACATAAAACGAATATATAAACATTTAGACATTTATAGAATTTAAAATAACAAGATTTTAAAAAAGTTTTTTTGCTGGAGGAACTGATTTGAATGGTTAATTTAGGTTGCATAGGGTTGGGTCTTTGTTGATTTTGAGATTTTTCAAAAATGTTTTGATTAAAAACTTAGAAAAATATTAAATTAGAGATTTTGAAATTTATTTGAAATTTCAAAATTCAAATTATAATTAAAAACTAAGCTTTTCAAATTAAAAAACTTGATAATTTTCAAACTTATTTTTAAAAGATTTAAAATTTTAAAATAGTTTTTCTTGAAAAAATATTAAAAATTAAAATATTTTTGATTATTTGAAAATATAATAAAAAATATCACAAATTTTAAAATGAAAAAAAGAATTTGAAAATATTTAAAAAATATCAAAAATTTGAAAATATTGGAAAAGTTCAAAAATTTGAAAATATTAAAAATGTTCAAACATTTGAAAAGTAACCGAAATTTCAAGAAGTTGAAAATATTTTTAAATAATCAAATATTTTTTAAAAATAATTTAAAAGGTTTAAAAAGTCCAAAAAAATTAAAAATGGCAATAGAATCAACAAATAATTGAAATTGTAATCCCATAACCCTAAAGACAACATTTAAAAAGATTTGACAAAGTTAAAGAAATCATAAAATGAATATAAAATCGTAAAACTTCAACAGAACCTCTTTAAATGTCATCCGTAGACCAACCATTTAACTATAAATGAATTTATTTACATCCAAAACCATTCAAATGCATTCCCTTGCGAAAGATATAAAAGGAGAAAAATTAAGAAAAATATAAAATTTTATAGAAATGAAATTAAAATAGAGATAGACGACTAATTAGGTAAATAAAGAATAAATGATAGACAAAGGACAGTGTATAGATTGTGGAAGGAATATTGTATAAGAGTAAGATTGTCTTGAAGAAGAAGTTAAAGTCAAATGTAAAGTTTTTTTTTCTATCTCTAAATATTTGATCTTGTGTAGTACGTGCGACATATGTGTGCATATATTTACAAGCAATAAATAAAATCACAAAAAAAGAAATTTAATGTTCTTTGCAGTATGAAAGAGTTTTTTCGAACTACTTCTTACCCAAAAAAAAAATATAAATAAACTGAGTCTAAAGTTTAAAGCAAGAACGACACTAAAAGCAGCTATAAGAACTACAAAGCGGGAGAGCGGAATAAAGAGCTTTTCGGACATGCAATCGCAGTATTTAATTTTGTGTAATTGTGTGCGTGTTTTGTGTGTGTTTGTGTGTAAAATGTGCAAATACCAAATAAGTTTAACTAATTTTTTAACAGGTGTGTATTGATGGAAATGTTTTTAAGAAATTTCTAGAAGGTTCCATTGGAAATTTAGTCTTGAAAGCCTTCTTGATCTTCAAAGTTTCCAACTATACAGCACCTATACAGTATATTAACTACTTATTGATTGTTTGATTAAGTTTCAATTTCTACTTTTTAAAATTGTAATATATTTGATTTTAAAATTTAACAAAATTTTATTTTTTGAATTTTGAAATGTTTTGAAATTCAAATTTTGTTAAAATTCAAATTTTTTTAAAATTCAGATTTTTCAAATTTCAAGTTTTTCAAAATTCAAAATTTTCAAAATTCAAGTTTTTCAAAATTCAAAATTTTCAAAATTCAAATTTTTCAAAATTCAAAATTTTCAAAATTCAAATTTTTCAAAATTCAAAATTATCAAAGTTCAAATTTTTCAAAATTCAAAACTTTCAAGTTCGTTAAATTTTGATTAATAATGCAAATTTCTACTAGTCCTGAGCAACACATGCATACTTGATTTTACCCGACCAACACAGTTTTGAATCTTTCTTATGCGAAATGTCAAATTCGCATCCACCTAGAACTAAGTTCCATTTGAGCAAATTTTGATATTTTGCCTAATGTCAGGTGTTCAATACTGCTGGACCTGACATTGTCAAGCATAATTCATCATTGTGTCAATCAGCTTACATATGTTGCTCGGGAAAAAATGTATCAAAAATACTTTCAAACAATCAAATTTATAATTTTTTTCACCGTCGTTTAAATTTTGAGGCACTTTTGTGTGTATTTTTGTGTGTTTTAATGTATTTGTTTATGTTTACCTGTGGTTCTGCATTGTCTTTAATGCCATCGTCCAAGTCCTTCAAGTCATAGGAGAAAGGATCATAAATGGGACTTTTGGGTTTAGGATCTTGGGATTTAGGGTTTGCCTGAGATGGTAGTTCTTCATCTTCAGGCACTTTAGCCATTGGATCAAATCGACGAGTTTTCTTTTTTGTGTCTGCTTGTACATCCTCAGTTTCAGTTATTATAATCTCGACTGGCATGTCCTGTGGTTCTTTTATTGTTATATTTTTGGAAGCAGCTTCTTCGACAGTTGTTGGTGCTTTAACTTGTGGTTTGGATTTTATATCAGCTGCAACTGATTCTTCTTCTGTAGTTCGTTTTGGTGCTGGCTTTTTGGGTCCTTTGAATGTTGCTTCTGTATCTTGATTGACTGCTGGTTCTTGTGGTTTCGGTGGTGATTTCTTACTTCCAAGTTTTAGGTTAGCCATATCAGGTAAATCTTCATCTTTGAGAGTTGGTTCCTTTGTTTTCTTCTCAGGTTCTGATAACTTTTCAGGTATGTCACTGCCTCTTCGTTTCTTATCAACATCTTTTGGTGATGGTTTATCGGCTAAATCGCTAGCTCTTCGCTTCTTTTCGGTCTCTTTAGGTTTTGGTTCCTCAACCTTGTCTGCATCTTTTTTCCAAGGCTTTAGTGCGATTTCTGATGGCTCTTCTTCATCTTTTGGTTTAATTTTACCTGACCATGACTTTGGTTCCTCTTCTGTTGGCTTCTTTTTAGGCTCATACTCGTTCCTCTCATATTTTTCCAACTCTGGCTTCTCATATTCTGGAACTTCTGGTAATTCTTCAGTCTTTCCTTTTGGTTGTCTCTTTCGTTTCTCTTTGACTGTTGGATCGAAGTCTGATTCTACATATTTCTCAAGTTCTGGCCGTTCATCGTCAGGTATTTGCGGAAGTTCTTCTTGTTTTGTCTTCTTTGGGAACCTAATTCTTTGTTTTTCTTCTTCTGGTGGTGGTTTTTGGTCTTCATCCTTCTTTTTCGACTGTCTTAATGGTTTTGACTCTTCGGGTTTTACTTCTTCTGGAACCTTTTTAGTTGAAGCTTGCTTCTTTTCATCTTTAGGCTTCTCAGTTGGCTCAAATGGAGTTTTTTCATATTTTTCCAGCTCTGGCTTTTCATAGTCATCAATTTGTGGAAGTTCCTCAACTTTTTCTTTTGGTTTCGTGACTTTTGATTTTGGCTTTTTGTCAACATCCACAGGCTCTTCTGGTGCCTTAGTTTCAGTTTTTTTCATCGGCTCAAAATCTGTCTTCTCATATTTTTCCAACGGAGTTCTTTCATAGTCTGGAATTTCAGGCAGTTCCTCATATTTTGACTTTGGAACTTTTTTCTTCATTTTTGGTTTCGGTTCCACTTCAGAACTGTCTTTTTTAGACTTTTGATCCAATGGCTTTTCGTCGGAGGTCTTTTCTGAGGTAGGTTTTTTGGAAACTTTTGACTTTGGACTGTCATTTGGCTTGATGTCTGATTTGTTATCAGGTTCATCAGTCATTTTTCTACTCAAATCACTCTAAGAAAAAGTTTGGAAAAGAAAAATTTGTTTTTTTGGCTATAAAATATTTGAGAATGCTTGGCAATGGTATGACTGACCAATTTTAATTTTGTGGGGTTGAGAGCATATGCGAGGGGGAAGGGGGTCTTAAAAAATAGTAAGTTCTTCTCTGGAACTCTAATTTAAATGAGATTTTTTGGGTATAGAAATTGAAAGATGTAAGCTAGTGTGATAGATTGCATCGAGGAAGCAAATAATCAGGCATAGAGCTGATGCGATGATGGCTAGGCACCAAATTCACACCAACCCCGAGTGTGTGTCTTCAAAAAAGCAGAAAGAAACATGGAAAACTCAAAACATTTTCCAAAAAGATAGAAAACTTAAACTCTATAAAAGCACAAAATCCAACATCCATTGGCCAGTCATAACTCCAACAAATGTGAAAACTCAAAAGGAAAATTTACAAAATAAAATCAAAATTAAAAAAAAACTAAAGAGTAAAAAAATGTGATGAAATTTTGATGACAAAGAAATAATATTTTTTAAGGCATTTATTTAATAATACCTCCTCGTCCTCCTCCTTCTTTCCTTTATCCTGTATGCAAGAATTAGGTTTATGGTAACATTTATGTACGATAAGCAGGACAACAATGATTATTAGATAGTATAGTGACAGATAGATAGAGGTTTATAGACATATAGAGAGAGAGAGAAAGAAAGAAAGATAGAAAATACATAGATCATAGATAGATAGATAGTAATAAGATAGAATTTATAGCTAAAATAGTTTTGATCCACTCGAAACGAAAGACCGTCTCAAGAGGATCAATGCTTAAAATTACAGAATATTTATAGATATAGAAATATAGATTTTTATAGATATAATATAGATAAGCAAAGATAATAAGCAAGTCAAGATCATGTCACACACTTTACCTTGACTACCGTTCTCTTAAACGGTTTTAACCCTTCCAACCCTTCCTAGAAAGTGTTATTTATACAGTAAAATGGTTTTTATATACATCGATGAAAAAAAGAGAAAAATTTTGTCCTTAAAAAAATTTAAGAATTTGAAGTGTCCTTTCGAATTTTTTTTTCAAGCTTTTTAGAAAATAAATCCAATTTCGTATGAATTTTTTTGACTTTTGGGGAAATTGAAAAAAAAACAAACAATAAGATTAATTTTTAAAATGGAATGTTCAGAATTTTGATTGAATTTTGGCGGTTTTCAAAATAATACTGGTTCCAAAATACTGTTCGGTTTTCGGTTTAGCAGAGTTTATCTTAATCTATAGTCAAAGACGCAATTCAAACTCAATTTTACTAAATTGATTTGAACTGAATTGAACTAAATTGAACTGAATTGAACTAAATTGAACTGAATTAAACTAAATTGAACTAAATTGAACTAAATTGAACTAAATTGAACTGAATTGAAATGAATTGAACTGAATTGAAATGAATTGAACTGAATTGAACTGAATTGTACTGAATTGAACTGAATTGAACTACATTGAACTGAATTGAACTGAATTTAATTGAATTGAATTGAATTGAATTGAATTGAATTGAATTGAATTGAATTGAATTGAATTGAATTGAATTGAATTGAATTGAATTGAATTGAATTGAATTGAATTGAATTGAATTGAATTGAGTTGAATTGAATTGAATTGAATTGAATTGAATTAAATTGAATTTAATTGAATTTAATTGAATTTAATTGAATTTAATTGAATTTAATTGAATTGAATTGAATCAGATGCATTAAATTGAACTAAGTTGAACTGAATTGAACTGAATTGAACTGAATTGAACTGAATTGAACTAAATTGAACTGAATTGAACTGAATTGAACTGAATTGAACTACATTGAACTGAATTGAACTGAATTGAATTGAATTGAATTGAATTGAATTGAATTGAATGGAATTGAATTGAATTGAATTAAATTGAATTGAATTGAATTGAATTGAATTGAATTGAATTGAATTGAATCAGATGCATTAAATTGAACTGAATTGAACTGAATTGAACTGAATTGAACTGAATTGAACTAAGTTGAACTGAATTGAACTGAATTGAACTGAATTGAACTGAATTGAACTGAATTGAACTGAATTGAACTGAATTGAACTAAATTGAACTAAATTGAACTGAACTGAATTGAATTGAATTGAATTGAATTGAATTGAATTTGAATTGAATTGAATTGAATTGAATTGAATTGAGTTGAATTGAATTGAATTGAATTGAATTGAATTGAATTTGAATTGAATTGAATTGAATTGAAATGAATTGAATTGAATTGAATTGAATTGAATTGAATTAAATTGAATTGAATTGAATCAGATGCATTGAATTGAACTGAATTGATTTGAATTGATCTAAATTGAATTGAATTGAACTGAATTGAGCTGAATTGAACTTAATTGAACTATATTTTGTCATTAGAAAAATAAAAATACACCTTAAACCGACTTTTTTTTTATCGACTCAGTATAAAACATTGAGATCGTTGTTGTTATTTAATACTTTCGAATTGACAAAAATTATCCTTAAAACTTACAAAACAAACTATTCATAAACTTAATAACTATCAAAAGATTCAAAAATATCCTCGAACCTTCCCGCAAACCTTCAAAATTCTGAACATACAAAAATTAATGTTAATGCCAATAATATTTAAAAAAATAAATGAGTTCAAATGAGCAATAAATTCATAATAAAAAAATAATAATAATAATTTGTACACCTAAAAAATCTTTTCATCTCGTAACATCGATCATATTATGATCCTCACCTTAACAGACTGCCTACGAGCACCAAGAGCATTAGGCTTAAGCTCATCTTTAAGAGATGCTTTACGTTGATCCGGCTTCGATTCTTCTAGTGGTTTTAATTCATCAATCGATTCAAGCTCTTCTTTAATAGAAGCTTTGCGAGTGTCTTGTGTTTTTGGTGTAATAGTTTTTTCTTGTTTTGTGTCAGCGGGTTTTTTGTCTGAGGGTTTAGGTTCCAATTTGGATTCTACTTTAGCAATTTCTTTTTTATCATCAGGCTTAACCTCGACTTTAGGTTCGGGCTTAGCCTCAACTTTAGGTTCGGGCTTAGCCTCAATTTTAATTTCTTTTTTATCATCAGGCTTAGCGCCAATTTTAGTTTCTGGCTTAGCCTCAACTTTAGATTCTTTTTTAGTTTCTTCGAGTTTAGTTTGTTCAATTTTTTGATCTACTTTAGGTTCTTTTTTATCATCGGGTTTTTGTGTTTTTGGTTCTTCAGGTTTAGGGGTTTCTTCAGGTTTCTAAGGGCATTGGCATACAATATGTAACAATAAATAAAACAACTAATATCGATCTATTCAAACACTAAATCTTATAAATAAAATAAAAAATAGTTTGCTAATCTATGCAAAGCCAATAGGCAGCAATGCAATATATTTATACAGATTGTCATGATTATGAATGGTGATTCAATGAGATATACAAACCTTTTGCTTAACAGATGCCTTCTTTTCCTCCTCCTTCTTCTTTTCTTCAACCTTTTTCTTCTCTTCGACTACTTTCTTCTCCTCTTCAACTTTTTTCTTTTCGATGACTTTCTTCTCTTCTTCCTTCTTCTTTTCAATTGTTATCTTTTCTTCTTCCTTCTTCTTCTCGATGATTTTCTTTTCTTCAACCTTTTTCTGTTCTTCGATCTTTTTCTTTTCTTCAGCTTTCTTCTTTTCTTCGACAATTTTCTTCTCTTCCTCGATTTTCTTTTCCTCAATCTTCTTTTTCTCTTCGATCTTTTTCTTTTCTTCGACTTGTTTCTCTTCAACCTTTTTCTTTTCTTCAACAACCTTCTTGCGCTCTTCTTCAGCCTTCTTTTCTTCAGCAATTTTCGTTTCCTCTTCGAGCTTTTTGATCTCTTCTTCCTTCTTTTTCTTTTCTTCTAATTTCTTCTTGTGCTCTTCCTCCTTTTTCTTCTTTTCTTCTTCCTAAACATTCAACAATTGGTATTGAGTTAATCACAAAGACATATAGTGACTTATGAGATAGACTAGGACTTAGATTTCTTTTTTATGGAAACAGGTGACTTATGAGATTGAGATATTGGGATTGTACATTATTAAAGACTTTGTACATAGATAAAGGTATGTGTAAAGAGTGTAAGGTATGGAAACGATGAGCAACAGATGGATTTTTAGAAATTAATATTCATAAAGTGTTGTGAACTTTGGACTAGTTTTTAAGAAACAACAAAAAATATTGTTTTTATGGAAACAGCAATTAATACTGTTTAATATTCGATGTGATTTTCAATGCAGCTAGCTTTGAACTAGTTTTTTTGGATCTGAACATTAGTCTGAAAGTCTAACAACTTTATCTTAAAGACTATCAGTTAATTGCTAGTTTACATGAAGATAACATATTTGAAGTCACTTCAAGAACAATTACATTTTACAATTAAACAGTTAACAGAAATAACAAATGATTACAATTGATTCCAGCATCATTATGCTAAACATTGTCAGAATATAAGAAGACACTATTTGAGGTTAATTTTCAAAACTGATAATATTCAACATATAATCAAGGAAATCGTTTAAAGGACACAAAAATAGGAATTTTCTTGACTATTTAATAATTTTGTACTCTTCATCGAAAATAAAAGTTCTGTTGCATAAAATCATTTAAGCTATACCATCTAGATCTCCCATAACGACAAAATTTTACCTTCTTTTGCTCTTCTATCTTGCGCTCTTCTTCCTTCTTCTTTTCCTCCTCTTCCTTCTTCTTTTCTTCTTCCTTCTTTTTCTTTTGTGGTGGTGCCATCTCTTCTTCCTCTTCATCTTGCTCGATACTTGTCAAATTGACTTCCTGTGAGAAAGCCTCTCCCTTGACATTCTTGGCAATCATTTGATATTTACCAACATCCTCCTTGGTGACATTCTTAATGAAAAGCTGTGAAATGAATTCCTTTGTTCCACTCGAGATGATAGTTTGTGTTGTTTCTGTCACGGACGATGTATGGCGTGTTGATGTTTTTGAAATTCTCTTTCCATTGTGCGTCCATTCACACTTTGGTAAATTAGCTTCGCCAATTGTGACAGCGACACGGCACTCAATGATAACCTCCTTCTTCTTGATGATTTTCTTGATGCGTGGACGTTCCTTGATGACGGGAACAACATCAATATTCAATGTAAGATTGGCATTAAGTTCACCATAAGTGTTACGGATGTTGCACTTGTACAAACCAGCATCGTCAATACCCGGCTTATTAAGTACAAGGGTAATGATAAATTCACCTGTCTTGACTTCTTGAATATTAAGTTTCAAGTTCTCCTTCTCAACAATGACATTACTGTCTTTGGTCCATACAACTTGCAATTTTTCTGTCGTACATTTTGTTGTGACATGACAACGCATTGTCACAACTTCGTTAACTTCCTCAATTTTTGGTTTCTCCAAAAATATTGGAGCAAGTTCGGCCATTTCTTCTTCTTCGTCGTCAATGTTGAGATTGAGATTGGCGCATGCATCACCAAATTCATTCTTTAAGACGCACTTGAACACGTCACTATCGAATTTACGTGGATTTGTAATGACCAAACGAATCTCATAGAAATCCTTCTTCTCATCACTTGTTGCATCAACAGCAGTGCAAGAGAAGCTATAACGTTCAATCACTTCGCTGAGTGTTTCATCCTTCTTGATCTTCTTGGAAGCATGTTCAGCTGATGGTGTTACATAAATCTCATGAATACCCTTGAACCATGTAACTTCTGGCTGGGGTTTCGAACGACATTGACACAACATTTCGATCTTGGTGCCGTTTGCCAATGGCGTGATTTTAGGCTTGCTTGTGAATGTTGGTGCAAAACCTGCTGCATTTTTCTGGTCGTCGGCATCGCCTAAAAGTGAAATAATTTGAATTTGTTATAGCTATTGACAATTTTTGGCATTTTGTTTACAGACACGACATAACAGACATAATTTTTTGTGAGGGGGAAACAACTTGTTGAGAAAAAGTTTCATCAGCGTTGAAAATTTTCCAAACGTTGATGAAAATTGTAGGAAAATTTCAAATTTTTAAAACCAAAATTTTTCCCACCAAGTTGTTATCCCCCTTAATTTTTTTTTGTTCAATTGTTTGTTGTGTTCAGTTTTGGACATGAAAAAAAGTTACATGAATGCAAAATTAAATTATTAAAAAAAATCAAATGAAAATTTGTTTGTTATTGATGCAAAGCATGGAATGGCTTGTCTCTATTTACAACCACAGAATATATTTCTTTCATCGGGTCTGACGCGTACTCTCCCACAAATATTATTTCAACATTTCACGGCTATTTGCCTGTTTACTTTCACTTACCCATCCACATGAAAAATTATTCACAAAAAATAATATTTTTCATACATTCAAGGATTACTCAAAAACACATTTGGACTCTTATTATCCATGTAAATTTACCTGCGAAGTTAAGGGCAATGTTTGCGTTTGATTCACCAAATGAATTAACAGCATTACAACGATATTGACCACCATCTTCTTGAGTTGGTGCGCGAATTGTTAATGTCAATGTGTATTGATCACGTCCAGTCTTTTTTCGTTCCATTTTGTAACGTGGTGTTGACTCTTCGATTGCAGTGTCACCTCGGAACCAACGGATTTCTGGTCCTGGATTTGCTTCTAATATGCATTCCATGATCAAAAGCATTTCCTCAGAGATTGCATCTTCATCTTGACGAATGGTTGGCTTCTTTGGGAAACGTGGTGGTTTGCCAGCTGGGATTCTACAAGAGATTGACAGGAATTAAGTTAGAATTCTGGATTATTCTTGTTTGAAGAAGGGTTTGGTCTGAGCTAGTCTTTGTTCTTATTACTTATCCAGATCAATGGTCAGTTTCTAGAGCTTTTCTGTTTATCATACTCAATGTAGCTTTAAAAACCGACCACAGACATACACCTGACCTTACAACCCCAAAATGCACAGCCATAAATGCGCTTATGTCACATAAACATCAAAAAATATGTCAAACTTACTTTGGAGCTCCTCCAGCAGCATTATCGAAATTAAGATTAATCGTAGCCACGCTCTCGCCATGCTTATTTGATGCTACAGCACGATATTCACCTTTATCGGTTGGTTGTACACCACGTATTTCTAATTTAGCGATATAATAAAGCTTTTGATCAGCTTCTATAGTCATATGAAATCTTGGACCATTAACAAGTAGTTCATTGCCATGATACCTAAAAGAATGAGATTCAAGAAAAAGAGACAACAGCACATTGAAAGCTAGGAAATAAAATATCAAATGAATCATGCATTACCATACTAATTCAGGCTTTGGATCGCCAACACATCGACATTCAAACAAGATGCGACCGCCAGATTTATCATCATCCAGTTGCTTTATTACTGGTCGCTCTGTAAATGTTGGTTTACATCCATCGTCCGGTACAGCTGCTTCATCGCCTTTGAATTGTGATGAGTTTTCAATTACAATTTATTTGCAATTTAATTTAGAAATTGGTTGCTTCCTTATAGGAAGCTAGTGAGAATTACTTTAGAGAGTTTTACTGGAGAATTGTTGAGAAATTTTATTCGGGGAAACGTTTGGAAGTCTTAATAGTTTGGGCACCTATATGAGGTTCTTAATGGTGTTGGACACTTATATGAGGGTTCTTAGAGCTGTTTAACTCCTGAATTAGGCGATTAAACTTAGAAGGACCTTATTGGTGGTTCTTTGGTATAAGATAATCTTTTGAGGCGGTCAAAGATAAAGCACAGCCAAAATTTGGGGCGTGTAATGTCACCCCCTCACGGAGACCCCCAAAAATCGTAAATCCTCCACACTTTACTTTAATAAACCCCATAATGATAGAAAATCTAGCAAAAAATGTCATAGACGACAGAAAAAATTCCAACAACAAGTCAAGGAACTAAAATATGTCCACATCATCCATAAATCATCATTTGACCGAACAAGAAAAATTCATTTACGTATGAAGATGATGATGATGATGAATAATACGAATAAAATTTCTCACTAGTAGCTTCCCCCCTCCCCTCAATGCCAACGTGATCATCCCGCATTTTTAGTCTATTTTAAGATTTTTCTTTTCATTTCGTTTCGGCAAAAATATGAATTTTATGAATTAAAACAAAAATATCTGAATATTTACTTTCTCAATCTCCAACAACCTCACATTCATATATTTCGTAATGTGATATTTAATAATAATATATGAAATCAGTGAGAGTGTGAGGAGAAGTAATGACAATAATAAGGCATTTTAAAAATAGCATCACGGGGCCAAAATACCTAACAGCGAATCTATAAAAAATATCGAAATTTATTTTTATTTTTGTTTTTTTTTTGGGAGTGTACAGCATAATCTGCCCTCGGCTAGTACCGATGAAAATTTTTATTTTTTTATATTCCCGATCGTATTAAAAAAAGAGCAAACCGAGAGAGTAAGAACAAGTGGTTGATTTCGACGTTAAAGACTATAACTAAAACATGAATAATCACACACACGAATGTAAAGAAAAAGTACGGCACCATTTGCGAATTAAAAAAATGGCTGGTTAAGAAATGCTCGTTAATTTTATTTTTTTATTATTTTGCAAACATGACTGATGCTCATCAACCTGCACGATCAATCTAAAGATGCTTGTGTGTGCGGCGATAGAATTAAATGAGTAAAAGCTATTAATAGATCATTGCCACACATCCATACATACATACAAGTGAAGATAAATCGGCATTTAATTATGTATGTGGATTTGCTAGATAATTTATATTATTTAGAGTAGTATGTCTACTCATTTGGATATGTATATTGTTAGGTTAAGAGATTGATAATTAGAAAATGATGAAGAAGCTCTTAAAGTATTAATGCTGAGATGAATAATTAAGTAATTGATAGATAATAAAGAAGCCTTCGAGTGTGTGTGATTAAAATTTTTTTTCAAGTTTTTTTTTTATAAAAGTCAATTTTTTTGATGTGCTTTAATGGGTCACGTGGGTCTGTCAATGGAGACACTTAGGGTCTTTATGAGTTAATTTCAAAATTTAAATTTAAATATTTTAACGAGTTTTATAATTAAAATGTTGAAATTTTAAAAGATTTGTAAAAATTTGACATTTTTTTAAAAAACGAATTTTTATCGAATTTTAAAAATTTGAAAATTAAACAAACTTTAAAATTTGTAATTTTAACGAATTTTAAATATTTGAAACTTTAAAAAAATTTGAAATTAAATCGAATTTGAAATATTTGAATTTTTAAAAGTTTTTATAAAATATAATTTTACCAGATCTTACAAGTTTGAATTTAAAGCGAATTTTATAACGGATTTAAAAAGTTCAAATTTTCAACGAGTATTAAAAATGTGAAATTTTAATAGATTTTTAAACTTTGAATTTTAACCGGATTTTAAAAGTTTGAAATTTTATCTGTTTTTTTAAAAATTTAAATTTTCAATAAATTTTAAGAACTCGAAATTTTAACCGAAATTCATAAATTTGAAATTTTAAAATTTTGTTTGAAAAAGTCATAAAATCCACAGATTGAGTTTTGTTTTCTAGAATGCAACCAAAGCTTCAAACCATTTAAAATTTTCAATAATATTTTCTGAATTTAAAACTTTTCAATATCAAATTTTGCGCTTCCTTAAGATTCCTACGCAAAAATCCATAAAGTTTCCAAATAAATTCAATTATCAACTGTCAATTTCAGAATTTATTTTGATTCCGCAAACAGCTTCAAGATAAATTTGCTTCCTTTATTTTTCTTTAAAACATTTTCTTCCATTAAACTCTGAATCACATCCATTTTTCAAAAAATTACACACATTCTCCATTAAATTCAAAGAAAAAAATTATTTCCAGCATTTAAAATCTCATTTTACGGTTCCATTGACAGACCACGCACTCGAGTTCCATGTGAATTAATTCTACTTACTGTCAAAGTTCAATGTAATCGTTGCATTGCTCTCGCCCAACTCATTTTTTGCCGTCACTTTGTATTTACCGGCATCCTCAACGGTAACATTTTTAATCTCAAGTGAGGCAAAATATTGTTGGCCATCCTTCGAAACTGACAGCTGAAGGTTACGTTAAGCAAATAAAAAATAATGAATAAATTTTGTTGAGCTTAAAATTTAATAATAATAAATACCTTGTGTCTAGCGTCGTCTTCAACTGGACTACCATTATGACTCCATCGGACTTGTGGCAATGGATCGGCTTTAATTAAACATTCAAACAAAAGACGCTTGCCATCATCTTCTTGACGAATTGCTGGTTTCTTTAAAAAGGTTGGGGCTAATCCATCAATTTGTCTGTAAGTGTGCACATTTTGTTGATGTAAAGAACAAAAAAGAATAATATTAGGTAAATAATGTCATAAGTTCTTATGCGTAAGAGCAAAATAGCAACAAAAAACAAACAAAATCCAAAAATACAATTCTTGGGATGCAAAAAGATATCAAATATCGGAAAATACATAAAAAAAATCACACAGCTGTTAGACATGAGGTAAGTCTTGATTACCTTTCAAACTGTTCCAAATCGGGCACCTCTATAAATAAGCCAATGCAAGTTTGTTTGTTAGAATTAAGCGAAAAAAATAAAATAAAATCATAAAAAATAATAATAATAAAATCTATAAAAATGGGTTGGGGGACTTCATCATGAAGTTTTGGGGGGGGGGGGGGGGGGGGGTTGAAGATGCTTATTGGATTCCTCCAGTGTTGTTATACTAGATTTTATGTTAAGTATAGATTTTGTCATCCTAGTTAATACTCAAGACTTAATGTCTACTTAAGCATAGTTTAAGAGACTTTTAGATATTTCTAGTCTCAAATACTCTTAGGATCGATTTTTCCGATACATCAATGCAATACTAAGATAAATGGCTATAGTATACACAAAAAAAAACCAGCCTTAGACATAAAAATAAATGCTATCAATGATCATTAACCAAAGATATTCATGACAAACTAGTTGTAGCCATGTCTGCCCAAACGATCCTCTAAGTTCAGACAGCACTTGGTTTTCCTGATGTTTAAATCAAGATAACATCTATAAAAGGACTAATCTAAAGCTAGTTCACATGGTTTTCGCTAGAATGTACAACTTGCATGATTTTGAGCATCAACAAGACATCCTTAGCTAAGGGAGGAATGTTTTCCGTGTGGAACACTTGACATGATGTCTGGTAAATTACTAGAGACGTATCGATTAGTTTTGAGAACGTTCATAAAAGCTGTCATCAGTAAATTAGTCATTAGTAAATTACTAGGGTTTCCAGAATTCTCGTTCTCGGTTATATTTTGTTCTCGGGAACGTGAATATTCCGGTTCTGGAGAACAAAAAAAGTCCCGGAAACGGAAAAATGGGAATTCTGGAAACTATAGTTAATTTCTAGACGAAGGGACGATTAATGACCATTTTTTAAGGGAATAATTTATTATAATTTATATATTATAAATTATTATAAATAATAATATAAATTTTTTTTTAAGACATAATGTCAAATGTTCCACTCAGGGATAGACTAAACAGCATCATCTGTGTTGCAACAAGCTTTGTCTTGACCTAGCAAGCAGCTAGATAACAACACTGGATTCTTCAATACACATTGATGGATATCTTTATAAGTTTTTGTTGATTTTTATTCCTTTCTTCTCCAACACAGCAGAACACGGCATCAACAAAAACCTCCAAAAGAGCTTCCATCCCTTTACAATACTTCCTACTTATTACTATAAAACCAAAACTCATAAAAAAATTAAACCATAAAAATCATTTTGCTTGCTAAATAAAATAATAATAATCTATAAATTTATGGCCACGCAGCATTGTTATCTCATCAATACAACGTAATTTTTTATTAAACGTGTATCACTAATAAAATGAAGAAAATCAATTATTCGTAGGACTTTTATTGCCGTTTGATGTCATGAGTCATGAATCAGATGATGGAAATTTCACGTGGATAAAACAAGCTTTGATGAGTACACGAGTCGTGCTAGGAATATTATATAATTTTTTTGGTAATTGAAATTAGCTTGGTATTCTTATTAGAGAGTAATTAACAAGGTATCTTAATGAGATTTCTGTTGAGAAGTGTGGGGGAAGTTGTACAAGTTTTTAGGACGTGTTTGGAGCTAAATGCTTATGATTAGAATCTAATGAACGACAATTCATAGCAACAAGCTTTAAAAGCTACAACAAAATACAAGCTATCCTTTGTATGGTCCATTTGAGTGCCTCATAACCTCCAATTTACTCCAAACAATAAAAATCCTCCATTCTCATCAAATAAACTCAACAATTCATGACATCATTTAATACACACACGCAACAACAGCATCAGCCTCATAAAACTACAAAACTCATTGCAAATCAAGGAGCACAACAAAAAAAAAAGGAAAATGAAATTGTCTCGTTTTCATTTTCATTTTTTTATTATTTTTTTATCCTACATCAAATTGTGAAAAAAAGCATAATAATCAACTATGTGAAGAAAATATAAAAACGTAAAACAAAAAAAATTATATTGCGAAAGCATAAGCAAAATCACCAAATAAATTTATAGCATCATAAACTTATGAAAGTAAATTTTGCTTACTTTTCTTTCGGTTCATCAGCCGCTAAAAGTGCGTAAAATATATATACGGATAAGGATGTAACGTTGAAAAAGAGAAGAAGAAAAAACAGAGACGTAAAATAAGAAAGTGAGCATGTTACATTTAGGTATAATATTTTTTTTTGTGTTTTTTTTTTCAGAGAAGTTTCTTGTTACTTTATTGCGTTTTCTTCGTGGTTTTCTTGTTAAACGGAAGGTGGATGTCAGGGTGTGGAATGATAAAGTTAACATTTTTGATTGAAATAACTTAAATTCTTGAGACTCTTTTTGGGTTTTATGAGAATGAGTGCTACATGAGTAAGCAAACCATCTGCTAGGGTTGATGAAATTATTATAAATAAAGCTAGTTGACCTGTTCAATTTTGAAAAATATCTGATAACCTATAGGGATTTGTAACTTATAGTGATGCAGGGCGGAGCCAATAGGGTCTGGAACCCCCCCTCCCCTCCAAAAAAACAAATTGAGCCTTTTGCTGCGGTTCAAAAATTAAGGAAGGGGGTCCATATCCTCCTTGCTACGTTCTTGATTTGACGGAAAAAATTAAAATAAATCCTAAGTCAAGATCAAATGTTCTTTAACCAGAGACTAGACGTAAGGACTACATAGGGAACCCCTTGATGTAGTGTACATGGATTTCTCGTTTTTATGATAGGAAACTTTCTAAGATAAGGTAACCTCGGGTGGTCCTTAAAAACCGATCTCGAGAACATTTTCTCATCAAAATGGAGATAACACAAGTTGGGAGGTGGTTCAGCTCAAATATATGTCATTAAAAGTGACTCAAGTAGCTATAAATCTATTACAAACCGAAGATTCAAATAAAAAAATCCCAAAAAACCACCAAACTTTCCACTCCATTCCCAATCCCTGATTCTCGTCATCTATCCCCTTCAAGCATCATCATATGTGTGCAACATGACAGGTGCTCCAAAAAAAGAGTAAAATGATGATATCATTTTGTAGCAAGATATGAGCTCATTATTTTAAGTGGAAGGTATTAGATATATATTTGAGTATGAAGCACCTTTTGATCCTCATTCAATTTGCTCCTTTTTTGGTATCTCAAAAATAATTCTCTAAAGTTCATGACTCACAATTGTGCATGTTTATCGCTGATCGGGGGAATTTGAAGTGAATTTAATCTGTCTGAATGATGCTGTGGGAAATTTAAAGGAAATTGGTAAATTTTGAAAAATTTATTAAGGGTGTTGGAGACTAAAGCTAGGTTTCTGACCACCAGACCACCCAATGAATATGCTGACCAGCCTTCACAGACACAACAGCACATTTAATTCCAGAAATTCCACAAAAACATTTTCAGGATCAACAAAAATCTCGTATTTTTATGAAAAAAATGTTCTACATGTCTTTTACGAGCTCTTCAAGCCCACCGCAAATAAATATAAAAAATATTTTTGTTGTAACTTCTTTAAGGGTTGTAAAAAAACTATGCAAAACAAGAAAAAATCCTCAAATTAGAACGGAACATGAATCGTAAATGGGAATTATGAGAAAAAAGTTTCAGTCTTCATTTTTTATGCAGCACAAACTAATTTTCTTAATGGATTTATCAAAAACTTTTAATAAATGAATAAATCTTCTTGTTGATTCGAATTTTTCAAGTTCAATGTCAAAGATTGTTCATTTGACAAGTTAATGGACACTTTTTGTATAATAAATGTGCTAATTGAGTATCGTAAAATGAAAATTATGGTCAGTAAAATGAAGAATTGTACATAAGGGAACTTTTGAAGTGATGTTTTACGATTTGAATGACATTTGTCAGAAATTATTAATTGTGTGATTTTTTGATGGATTTTTTTTTTTGGGATGTTATGAAAAGGTTTGATAGATTGTTGTTCATTCTTTGGCATTGTAGCTTTGAATTGTAATTTAAAATTTAAGCCAAACTGCTTTATAGGATCTGAATAATTTTTTAATTTTAATCTGATCTTCCAAGTCACTCTTCTGGGCAATTAATACTAAAATTACCCCAAAAATTACTTTAATTAAGAAAATTTCAACATTTCATTAATCTTGATTTTCCTCAAGATTTACACACAAAAAATCTTCTTATTTTGTGCAACAAAGATTATCCTAATTTAAAATCAACTACTTAAATTATTCAACCACCAAAAAAAGATGCCATAACAAGAGTCGTAAAATGCAATTAAGATTTTCATGTGAATTTCTTTATTATGCTTTGTAATCCTTAAAATTGTCGCGTGTCGTAGCGAACAACAAGCAATTAAATTAATTGATTATCTTATAAACATGGGCATATAATGAGGTTTTTTGTAACAACAGCTGCAGAGAAAAATTATGATTATTGCTTACATTTGAAGATTGTTTTAATTTTTTTTAATTGCGAAATGTAATTGAGTCATAAGTTTTGTGAGTCATGAAGAGAGGATTTGGTGATTTCATGAGATTTTTTTACACATTTTGGCAAAGTGAGGGTGATTTTCGAATAATACAGAGATCAGGAATTCTATGAGTCAATAAAGTAGAACTTTATGGAAAGAACTAGAATCAGTAAAAGAGATTAGATCTTTGAAGGTTTGACTAACTCATCCGCAGGCTAAACTGTATAGAATATACAATTATACACTAAGCAGTGGTTTCTATAGCTTGATTAGAAAATTGAAAGTTAAGTTACATCTTAGTTTGAATGTCGAAACTATTTCAATCTTGTTTAAGTTTGCGGAACTGATCAAAATGATCAAAATGATGAGAAAATCATCTAAATGACCAAAAAATGACCGAAAATTTATCAAAAATTATCAAAAACTGATCAAAAATTATCAAAAATGACCAAAATGAAATTCATAAGTTTCGCATAACTTTCAAAAATTGAATGAAATTCTAAATATACATTTTTAAAAAGAATTGAAAGCCCAATTCATCAATTTAACCTTCTGTATAATTTTCTAATGATTATGCGAAAATAACATCCTTGAACAAATTCTTCAGAATCAATTTAAATTCTCTTCATACCACAAATTCTGATGAACAAAATCAAGTCTTCTTCAAATTGCCAATGCAAACTCCATTATCATGGATATTTAACAAATTCCTCAAATTACTTGAAATGTCAAAGAACCTTTAAATCGGTCAGAATGTTCACATTCTACAGATGAAATTTTGCTCATACAAAATGAGAAATCATGAATAAATTTCCAAGGAAGAAGAATTTTCATCGCATTGAATGGAAAAATTCTTGGAAACTTCTGCTTTTTGTTCAACAGCAAAGAAACATTGGAAAATCTCTAAAGAGGATTAAAAATTGTATGAGATGAACATTTTCTTTGTCATTTTGTAAGGTAAATTATCTTTTAATATTTATTTACTTTTGTTCTGTCTCTCAAGAGTATTTAAGGACATAGAAGATTGTGAATCATCTTTTGTTCGAGAGCTTATGGTAAATAAGAAACTTCTTTTATTGCAGTAAACGTTTAGCTGATTTTTTTCTAGGGAAACCTTATTTTTGATGGTGAAATTTAATAAAATTGTTGTAGAGTTTTGAACTTCTTTGATGAAGAGCTTTGTGAGTGGTCTATAAATGTGGATGAATATTCAGAAAATCGAAGTGGTTGAGATGATTTTATTATGGATTTAAAAATTGCAGAATTTGATGGAATTTCTTGATTGACAAATCATAAGTTATTCATGAAAATTGTCTGAGCTGAATTCGTTTAACTAATCCAAAGATTGATTCAATATATAAACTTAAAATCAATGAACCTTAATCTAGATTAGAATTAATATCTGCGAAAATTCTGATTCGTGTTAAAGTCTTCTAAATTCAATGTCCTTTACCAATGATTAGATTCTAATTGATTTTAGCTCAGGACACACATTTTCTGAACATTATCCCAACTTAGATCACATCTGACATCTTCAATAACCTCAAATAAGCTCTCACCTCAATTTCATAATAATATCAAATCTAAAACTTTTCAAATTATAATGACACAAAAAAATCTTCAAAAAATAACTTACGGCTAAAATTCAAATTGATTGATGCTGCAACCTCTCCTGATGTATTACGTGCAACAATACGATATAATCCCGCATCAGTTTCAACAACATCATCAAGTGTCAATGAAACATTGTACGAATTTGTTTCGCTACTTGGTGCAATTTTAAAGAACGTACGTCCATCAGATTCATTCAATTGCTCATCACCGCGCCACCATTCAATCGACGGTTGTGGCGATGCGGCAAGTGAGCATTCAAAAATTAACTTGTTGCCATCATCAGCCTGTCTCAGCTGAGGCTTTTGCTTAAAAGCTGGTGCAAAGTCACCGTTTGCTGGTGTAACCACCATTTTAATTCACTTTATTTAGATTCCACTTTCCAAAAATATTTTCAATAATTTTTTTTTGAATAATTTAATTTAAAATAATAATAAATAAGTTATTGTTCCACAAAGGAGTGGCAACTGATCCTAAGTCTTCTGTCACTTTTTGGGTTTTAATTTTTTTTTTGTCACACACACTTTTTAATTTTTTCTAATAACTTTTTTGTTGTATTTCCTTCTTTTCTGTTGTATTATTATTAATGATTAATGATTCCTAACATGATCTCACCAGCTGCCTGTCCCCTACGGCACAGCTGGGGTCGTTGATCTCTCGATGTACTTTATGTCAAGATCGGTTTAGTAATCGTGATTTCTTGTTGTTTCGACGGATATCTCTCCTTAATTTTTGTTTAGGAATTTTATTTCTTGATTTTTCATCCACTTGACGCCCACAAAAAAAAATATAAAATTTTTTTTACTTCTTCTTTATTCTCCTCAAATTACTTCTTTTCTTTTCGGTACGTTGAGAATTAAATATTTTTTTTAATGAGGGTATGTGCGAATAAAAAATTGTTTTAATTTTCACAAAGTTGTTGATTGGCTCGTTTGCTCGAAATTTTATTTCTTTTTAATCCTGCATTTGAAAATTTGGTGAATTAGAATTTTATTTTTGGATTAAAATATATGCTAGTGGTTTTGGGGGTTGTTCATAAATGACGTCTATTTAATAATTGAGTTTTCAGATAACCGGAACTATCGCAAATCATTTTTAAAGGATGCAATCAGCAAAATCTATTGAATTGTGCCTTTCAAGACGGACTAGTAAGTCTCAAGGTAGTGGACTAGTAAGGATCAAGAATGTTTCGGAACCTAAGGCCAAATCATTGATTTGTGCAATTTTAATTTAAGATTAAGTGCTCTGGCTTATGAGTTTGAAGCATCACCAAATAAAAAAAATATTACATTGCAATTAAACACTAAGAATTGCAGCCCTTTCCTTGCTGCATCACCCTTTGAACTCACGGGGTAAGTTACCAATTATTCAATGATATTTTAAATTGTTTTAAATATTTTTGCAAGAAAATTGAAGCAAATATTATCAAAATATTCAAAAATCATCAAAAAACTTAGTAAATAAGTCACAAGAAGTAAAAACCAAACTGCTCTAAACCCATTTTAACTCATATCAATAATTAAACATCATTTATAAGCAACCCCACTAAATCAGTAAATCACACATCTTGCAAATCGTATCGAAATTGTCAGATTACAAGTCAATCAACTGAGGAATTTAGTTCACGCATAAAATGTAAGATATTATTTGTGTACACAAAGTTTGTAGTGCCAAGTTCTCAAATTGAATTGTTAATTGTTTTAAGCTCTTGGCTTATTATTAAGTTCAGGCTATAAATTTTTTTTTTATTCTTGAATTTCTGCCATTTCCTAGCTTTTGAGAAAAAATATTCAATTTACAATTTCAATGTTTGATTGACTCTCAGAGATACTTTTTTATCACGAGTCATTTCCTTAATGTGCTTCTTGAAAAAAATTGTATTAATTATCGTCTTTTCAGTGAAGTTTTGTTAAGAAGAAGAAAATTAGATTTTGTGCTTAATTTGATCGTCAGTTTATCTTAGATTTAATTTGCATCATTTGTTGGAATGAAGTCAGCTTATGTTTGAGATTGGGAGAAAAAAGTCTGTTTGTGTTGGATTTAGGATTTAGTAAGTTTAAATTGATCGAGAAATTAAAATATTTTATAAAAAAATATGAATTAGATTTTTAAAAGATTAGAAGAAAATTGGCTTTTGTCATTGAGTTTTGTATTTTTTGAACCCTAATGAACAAGAGTCCTATCATAATTCCCTAACATCATCAAAATCTATTTTCTTCACATTCCAAAACTTTAAAACAATTTTTGTTCACATTTTAAATTCTAAAATTCTTCAGATTTACTCAAATATAAAATTAATTTCATTTAAATTTCGAAACATGTTGAATTCTTCAATCAATTCAAAATTATTTCCTGAAAAATTCCACAGCATTTTTATGATTGATGCTCGAAAAATTGTGCTTAAAATTATTCACAGTCTCGTGACATCCTCAAAGAACATTTCAATGACAAACAATTTATTTTCTCATTTTCTTTCTGTTTCACAAAATCTTTGTCATTAGCATGAAGCTTAAAGGACCACTTTTCTGCTAGATTCCAATTCCTTTTTGCACTAAAGTGTTGTAAATTACAGGGAAAAAAGTTTTAATTGAATTTCTTTTAAGTTTTTTCAGGAGTTGCACAAAAAAACTTAAAAAAAATCAAGAAAAGATTTTTCCTGACTTGGAACAAGACAAAGTTACTTGATAATCTTTTTTGTTGAAGGAATTTTTATGACTTGTTCTTCTTTGCAGCATTAATTTCATTTTATTGCTGCTGAAAATGCAATTTATGAGGTCGACTGGGTAAAATTTTGTTTCGTCTGCTTATTGATAATTTTTTGAGTTCTTTCTCGTGTTTCTTGCAGATTTTATGAGAATTTTTGGAATTTAAATTTGATATTTTTTATTACAAAATGTCAATGGTTTTAAAATTATCAAGAAACTGAACTCTTTTAGAAGAAAAATGAAGAAATAAAATAATTGTTGATTTGATATTAAGAGATTTGATAATGTTGAGTGAATTTTGGTTCAATCTTTGATTTCAAACCATTTATTTTAGGAATAAGAAGAATTAGCATTGACAATAATATCAAATTTTTGAAAGATTTCAATCTTTAGATGCTCCAAAGTTGTGGAATTGGTCAAAATTGTTCAGAAATTATCAAAATTTATGAAAACTGGTCGAATTTGGTTTAAAGTCTTTATGAAAATTATCAAAAATTATAAAAAATCATCACAATTGATGAATAATGATCAAAAATGAATAAATTTGATCAAAACTTTATCATTAAGTTCCAAAATCTTTAAATTATCGTAAATACGATATTACTTTAACTTTTTGAATCAATTTTGAACCTTTTAACCAACTTCAACAGAAATCAAAATTATTTTGGAAAATGAATTGCTGAATATCTTAATTTGAATATAATTAATTTTTTGCAAATTCTAATACAAATTGTCTTTAAAATTCAAATTTAAATGTTTTCAAAATTTCTTTAATCTTCAAAAAAGTCTACAAAAAAACTTTTAATTCACTAATATAAATTCAATTCATTTTTCTCACAACTTTATCTTCCATACATGCCAAAACATTCATTTTATATTCATAATATGTGAACGGATATAAGCCACTATTTCCTTTTTTCATTTTCAGCAACATAAATAAGTTCACTAGATTATTTTCCACATCAACTATAAGTTTTTATGCGAAATTTTAATTTGTGGTTCATTTTATTAGAAAATATATTTTTCACTTTGATTAATTTAGAAGTCGTAATGAATTTTCTCATCATAAATTCAAAGGAAATGAAAATTGTAATAAGGAATTCTTTTTAATTTTGTAAATATAAAGTTTGAGATGAAGTAGTTTGTTTTAACATTTCAAACTTTCTTTTAATTTCATTGGAGTGTTGAAGACAATTGTTCTCAAACCTATTACCGCGAAATTATTTCTCGTAAGATTTTGTTAAAATTCTAATATCTTTTTAAAAAAATGAACACCTTTAACAATGAAAATGAAGTTTGTTCTTTATAAATTTTTGGAAAATTAGTGAGTCGCGAACCAAAAAAGTTTTGAAAACATTGGGTTATAATTGTCTCCAATTCTAAAATTTATTCTAACTTAGTTTTGAATCAATTTCAATCAAAGATCATTCAAAAACTAATATCAACAAATTTTCTTGTTTTTTAATTTTATAATGGAATGTAAATCTGGATTTATTAAATGGAATCTTTCAGATTCGCAGTTTTCACAACTCAATCAATCCAATCGACGTTTTCCTGTCCAAATCAACCAACACAAAACTCTAATTTAATCTCCTTAATCCTACAAATCCGGTCATTTTTGTCTGCAGTCTACAATAAACACTTGAGGCTCATTATTGATTATATTTCACATATTTTTCTCGTTCATGATATAATATTTTTTATATTTCATCACATCACATCACGATGAGTATCTTTCTCCTGTTCTTACAATTATTATTTCTTTTCAAACCTATTTTTAAACCTCACAGCATTTTTTTTTACTTTTCTGAAATGAAACTCGAAATTTTTTCTCTTCTTAATTCTTTCTTTTTTTTGCGATTTCACAACGTTTAATTTAAATATATACATTTTTTCTTTCTTATTTTTCACGATGATGATTAAGAAGAAATTTAATTTTTTTTTATTTTTATCTCGCGTTCATGCTACAAAAATAACATTTTTTTCAAACTTGCACATCGGAGTTATTTTTTTGGAGTTTTCACATTTTTTGTAAACTTTTTTTTCTTTTGTTGCATAAAACTGAAATTTTCAACGGTTTGCAAGATGTGTTTTGATTATTATTTTTTTTTTGACGATCTCACCTTTTACACTAAGAAAAACAGAGGCGATTTTAATTGCAAAAAATAGCGCTTCACTCACAAAAATATGATTTGAAATTTCTTCTTCTTTTTACTTTTTTTCTTTGCTCTCACTTTTTTTTATATCCCCGGAAAATTAAAATAGCTTGAGCAGAAAATTTATCACTTGATGGTACAACTAAACAAAAATTGAGAACGAGAAGAAAAGTTTTTATGAGAATTTGATTTTGTTGAATTATTTTTCCATGAAGAAGCACTTCCAAAAAGGTTTAAGATGTGGTTTTTTGGAACTGCAGGCTTTTCTGTGGCTGGAGTTCAACACGTATTTGATGACATTTATTTTTTTGTATTTTTTTTTTTGAGATTTTATTTGGATTTTCTATTTACTGGGGATTTTATGGATTTTTTTAAATAGCTTTCAAGTTTGATAATTTAAATGCAGTTTTCTATAGATTAAGTCGATTCCTAACGCCTTCCTATGATTAGACTTCTAAGATTTGTTGTAGTTTTATCAAAAACCTTGGACAAAAAAATTGATTTATAAGAAAATTTTGATTTGTTTTAAGTTGTCCAGATTTAATTTGTTGAATCATTCGCAAGAATTATCAACAAAAAGACCACATTCATGAGCCATGAACAATCATAAAACCCCACCCACCCTTTTTCTCTCAAATCCCTTCCACCTGTTGAATCCATTCTATTAATAATAATTTCAACTTTATTTTTTTTCTTCACGAAAAAGATGAGAAAAACCTTCCATTGGGGTCATAACTTGTAGCTTTTTCTCACATCGCTCACTATTATCGCCTACGCATATGTCTCACTTTCTTAGCGCATTTTTTAAAGTGAAATTTTTTTTAATGTAGGCATTTTGAAATGAAGTTTCTAGAAATATGTTTTTATGTGAGTTAATCCTTGGAATTATTTTTATGATTTTTGGTTTGGTTTCTGATGAAATAGTTGACTTAAAATTATGAAAATTGGTAACGAGGTTGACAAAGAATCTTCCAGAAAAGTTTGATTTTCAAAATAATTCTGATTAAATTGGTTTTTCTTTTTAAAAAAGATTGTAAAATGAAGTTTGAAAATTCCTGATTAAAATTGGCTTTTAAAATTTTTAAATGTTTAAAATAAGATTTTTTTTGGTAATTTTAAAAATTTCAACTTGATTCTAAAGTTTAACTTTTATAAGATTTAAATTTTTTTCAAATGAGTTTTTCGATTTTATGTTTTTCCACAATTTTTAAAAATTTCAAATTGATTAGTTTCATTAAATTTTATGAAAAACAAAATATTAAAAGCCAGAAAATTTGAATTGTTTTAATTTCAAAAAAGCAACTTTCTTTAAAAATCATAAATTTAACACTTTTTTCAATAAACTAGATCAGATTCAAGTTTAGAACCTTTTCTAAATTCATTCTAAACTTTCTTGACATTTTCAATTTTGCAAATAAATTTCATTTTTTTAAATTTTTGAAAACTTCAATTTTAACATATTTTTTAACTTCAGTTTTATTAAACTTTTTAAAACTTTAACTTTATAATCTTTTTTTAAATTTCTACTTTTAAAACCTTTAAAAAGCATTTCAAAATTTTCATTCAACATTATATTAATTGCCGATTCTTTTCTAGCATTTTCTTCTTTTTCATAATTTTTCAACTTTTTTTCATCATTTCAGAAATTAAATTTGTCTTCGTTTTCTTTATTTTTGTCACCACTCTGAACCAGTTTCTTTTCATTCAGCCACTCACGCAATGTTACACAACTGAAATTATTTTTTTTTTTAAATTTATTTTTAACTTTTTGTTTAAAGTTGCACTTTTTTAATCCAGAATTTTTTTTGTGTTATTTTAAATTTTTATTTTGTAAAAATTCCATTTGAATCTCCATAAAATCTCAAAATAATTTCCAAATAGTCATCACTGTTGAACTCCCCCACAGAAGAAAAATTCTTTATGTCTTCGTAACACATCCGCGAAAATATTCATAAATATCAAGAAAATCTTTTTCAATTCCAATAAATGATCATTGATTTTTATATATGTATGTGTGTGTGTGTGCTGCACTTTTTCTTTTAATCCACTGGAATTATTGAATTTTATTTTTCACAATTTTTTTTTTAATTTTTTCAAAAATTTTTTTCTTTCTTTTCTTTTGAAAAATATCAGTCGACACAAATTCCGACTACACACATTTTTTTCACATTCTCAAAGCAGAAAAAAAATTATTTTTCTTCTTTTTTGTGACTTTTTCACACCGAAATGTTACATAATTGAAAAATTATTTTTTTTTCACATTAAAATTTTCAATTTCGGTTTTATTTTATTTTTTGGAATTTTTTTTCAATGCACTTTCATTTTAAATCATGGATAATTACATTCAGAAAAAGTAATCCTCAGTTGAAATTCCCGAGCAGCTAATTCTCTAAGAAAAATATACAATTTGAATAAAAAAAAAGAACTTTAAAGCAACTGGTTTCTTAGGGCAATTGTTGCAACTCGCCGATGTCAAAATTAAAACTGAACTGAAAATTTTTTCAATTTCTCGACTCACAAGCGAGAATGCTGTGTGTGTTTTCTGTCTATTTTTTCCTTTAATTCAGTCACGTAAAAGCGAGAAAATGAAAATTCGGGCACCGCTCTATTAACTGTTTTAGTTGAGTCCGTCCGTGCCGAATCTAAGAAGTAGAAAAACAAAAAAAAAATCAAGAAAAGAATAAGAAAAGTATTCGATCTTATTTTTAGAAAAACGCGTCGGCGTCGAATACTGCTGATCTTCACGATCGCTTTTTTTCTTACTCACACTTTTTTTTCTCCTTCTTTTCTTCTCGCTGCTCTTTCTCTACATCCGTGGATCGTATTTTTTCTATTCGCTGTGATTTAAAATCCCAAACACTCCTTGGTATTGAATTTCCAAGTACTTTTTTTCTTTCTTGAAGTTTCCTGCTGTCCATTCAGACACTCGATTCATTGCCTTGAGGACTTTCGAGAAATTTAATCACTGCGGGATGTGTCTTGTTTGGAATGCAACAGGTTTGAATTTCTCATTTTGAGATTCTTGAGATTATTCGTGAATGGAGAGTTTGTGACGACTGGTGGGAGTCTTTGAGGATTTAATGACATTTCAAATGACTAAATTTCGTCTTTCAAATTGCACAGTTGATTTTAAAATACTTCAAAATTACTTATCATATTAAAATTCGAGCTGATATTTGATGATTTGAGGCACGAGGTGGTTAATCGATCAGGAATCCAGCATCTTTTCGATGTGATTCTGATAGGGTGCTGGATTTAAATCGAAGCCGTAAGCAGTAAAAAAGCAGCGATAGAACTAAAAACTTAAAAATCTGTCTGAATCCTTTTTTTGAGATTTGGAGTAACTAAATGGCACAAGTCGACTAATCGAATAAAAATGCTGTTCCAAGCTGGCATGACTCTGGCATGGTGCTGGCTTCGATTTAAATTCCGCACCATACCAGAGTCATACTGACTTGGTGCTGGATTTTTGATCGATTATCCGACTTGTGCCATTTGGGGGGCTTTCCTTGATGCAAACCAGGACCCTTCTTTGGAAACAAAAATTTATTCATTTTAATCAAGAAATCCTAAAACTTTTGGTTCTTTCTCTTCAAATTCCTAGCTACGCCCTTGTAGCGTGGTAATATAGTTAATTTTTTGAATAAATTAAGAGTGCATAGAGCCATTGATTTAGGAATTCAAATAGTTTCTTCAATTAACCGTCGATTAGCTACTAAAGCTTCAAAGTCATCGATACTTTCTGATCATGCGTTCTTAAGAAAATAATTTCAAATCATTTCAAAACTTGATAATATTTCTTTTCCTTTTTTTTTTCTCCTCTAACACTTGCGAGTGAGAAGATATAATCAAACAACATCTCACATTCCATTCTCCCAAGGTGTAAAAATATAAAAATATAAATCTAAAAAAAATCAAAATAGAAGAAAGAAGCGAAAAGAACTTTTTATTTCAATTAATGAGATCTCTGTGCCACTGTGAGTATTTTTTTTTCTTTATGCAGCATTAGACACAACGGCAAGGTCATTGAGAAGAAAAAAATAAGGTTTTTCGTGATGATCATAAAAGACGTCGTGTGATATCCTCTTCTTATTAGCGACAGGTAATTGTTAACAGGAAATTAGGCGCCAGCTGATTGCTTTACAGCTAAATTGAAAATTCCTCAACTGATCGATTCTCGATAAAGCTGCTGTTTAATTTGCATCATCATCATCAACACAGAAAAAGATTTTTCTAGTTTTTCTTATTATTTTTTCACGATCAGCACGATTGAATTATTGGCCACAGAGGTAAGAACTACCACAATATCGCATGCGAATGAATGTATCGTTTATTCTCACACTTTACACATCATCGTCATACACTAGTGCGATTTGCTTGCTACTGTGCTTTTGTAGAGAATCTCTAAATAAACATTTGGCGGCTTTTAAGTGTGCGATCAGAAAAAAAAAGAATTTTTTATTCTAAAAATAACACAAAAATTTCGTTTAAAGATTGAATAAAAAAAAAATATAATTTCATGATGATGATGATAATGATGACGGGTAGGATTGTGGCAAAATATTACTGATGGAATTGTATAATAACATGTGAAGGTGATGTATTGAAAGCGATTTTCATGTCACGCGGATCTATTTTATGACTCAAAACTTTCCTCCTACAAAAAAATTATTATTATTGTTATTAATAAAAGTGATTGAGGCTGGGTTAAGTTTGATGAATTTTTTTAAAGGACCTTTTTACCAATTTTTACTTAACATTCTTGTAATTCTTTCAAATGTGTAGCTTTTGACATGATTGAGGAACCAATAAATGCTAGGAATCAAAGGTTTTTATATTTTAAACTTAATTCTTATTATTTACATTCAAATGCAGCAGTAAGGTTCAACTATGAAACCTCATATCACTGATTTGATGCAGCAGTAAACCACAGTAAACAATTACAGATATCTTGAGAATTTAAACTTTTTTAGCTTTAAAATGAGGCTTAAACACTGTTTTATTGTGAAATACATTCTTAGAGCGTGTTTAAGGACCATTAGCTTCAGAATCAACACTCTGTGACTTATTCTTTGGAGTTCAAATAAAAATTAACTGTGACTAGGACAGAATACCTCAATTGAACCAAGAAACGAACTCCTAACTGCCATTTGTCCTGAGTTAATGACCGGATACTTTTAAGCTAACAAATGAAGGACATCAAACGCATGTAGCTTGCAAATTAAACTTCTTCTATTCAATACTATGTATAATCTTAGAGCCTACCCAAACAAACAGCCTTTTGGTTTCAAGATTCAAACAATTGAAAAGTAGCGATGAAATTCTTTATTCCAGCTTTAATCAACAATTATTTGAATAACACCATTCATTCACTTCCAATGGCTTTTCAACGCTCAATGTAGCCCAGGGGCGTAGCCAGGGGGGGGGGGCCATAGGGGGCCCGGGCCCCCCCCCCCCCTACGAAAATCTGATAATTTTTTTTATTAAGTATTTATAGAGAAGAACCAGTTAATGTAGAGGAAGTGATGAAAAAAATGTCAAAATCAGCACGAAAAATTAAATTTAATGTATGAATAATGAATTAAATATCTAAACTTATGAAGAATGAATATAGATTTAAGAATACATAATAACGGTTTTTAATTTTTGAAAATGCCCCCCCCCCCTTAAAAATTTTCTGGCTACGCCCCTGATGTAGCCCTCTATTAACTTTTGAGGATTCACTATTGTTGGTTCCAGTCTCTAGAATACCCTCAAATCCAGTACAGACCAAAAAACCTCCAATCGAAAAATTATACAAAATTTTTATTATTGACTGTTTTGACAATTAAATTTTTTCATATTTCTGTTATGCATAGTATAATGGAGCCGATGTGAGAAGAAAATATGAAGAAGAAAGAAAAGTTGGATGGAAGAAATGTCAAAATCGCAATGTTCTTTTTCCCCACAAATCACAACACCATCCTTCAGACTTCTTTTTTATGATAATATTTCATAAATTATTCTTTTTTTTCTTATTAATGAAAATGTTTTGTATTTGAGGACGATGAGAAGTGAAAAAAAAAATGTTTTGGATGTGTACGGAATAATAAATTGCTGTTGAGTCGTGAAAGTCAGATTCATTTATTATTGATAAAATTGTAAAATAATTCAATGAGATTTCTGTCAGATTGCGAGTGTCCTTGATAGCTGTTTTGTTGTCTTCAACATCTACTTTCACTTCTTCCTGCGGAAGTCTATGAATCCGGGTGGAAAATTTTTGTTTTTTAAGTTGACAAGCTGTTATTTTGATCGAGATGTTTTTACAAGAATGAACCAATTAAGTCTAGCTTGATGCAGGCCACATTTATTCTTATTAAGATAGATTGATTTGATGATTTTTTGGTCAGATGCTATGTTTAAATTGTTGTGGTGACAGAATGAGTTCATGTGAAGTCGAGGAAGTGCTTGGTCAACAAACTGCTCTGATATATATGTTTCGAGACAATATCAGATTTGTAGCTAGAGCTAGATTTTAACTATAATCAGCAGTTTAAAGGAATAATACAGTTAAGTGCCTTGCTGGTCGAATAGGTAAGGCGCTTGGCTCAAATTAAGGATTGTAACTCGAAAGTCGTCGGTTCGAATCCAGCCATTACCAAATTTGTTCTATTTCGGCAGTTTGGATACTTCGACTCTTTAATGTACGAGATCAAGCCATAATTGGGCATTTGGGCAACGTTGGATTAAGAAACGGGTCAGGAACTTAAAGTGTAGTGGGAGAAATAAGGAACGAGAGCTACAAGATTACCCCCGAGTGGAATATTGTTAGAACGGACTTGAAAAATATCACGTCACGCCCACAGAAGATCGAAACGAGAGCCTTAATTTATTTGAAACCTAGATTTGAATGTCGTCAATAAATGCAATAGAGTGCAACTAAACTGAAAAGAAAATCTATGATTCTGGGTTTCTCTTGAGCCTCTTGAGGAGTCTCTAAACCGTACCATAGTGATAAGTAGGTTAGCCTCAAGAAGTTAAGCCTGAACTAGCTGAGATACATGGATAAGACAAGACAATGACTGTATCTTAAGGTCAGAGCCCGGATTCAGGATCGGGATTGCCAATATTTTCCTTAAAATTTCAGTAATGACCGTGCTCAATGCATCCCGGGTCCTATGTATACTGATAACACCCACTAGAACTGTCTTGTTCTTATTTCCTTCTTATTTACGTGATAATACTGTCATATAACCTATTGAATTCGATATAGAACCACAATAGCCCTGAAATCAAGCAAAAAATGCTTCCAATCCAAGCATCGCATGACCCTAGGAATAACAACTCTGAGAACAATAAACTAGCTCCTTCATTCTCAAAAACTAGATCACAAAAACATCAGAAAACAAATTTAAATTTCATACATGAACATAAAGTCGATCTATCAACGCAGACATCAAAAAATAATAATAACAATAAATGACGATGAGACAATAATA